GGGGACCGAAGGTGGGGGAACTGAATTCGGTGGGGACGAGGATGTCGAAATGAGGGATGCGTCCGCCGGTACGTCCCGCTCTCGCAGTTGAGCAAACAATACAGTACTGATGACGGCATAGACCCCAGGGCAACATCGCCTTCCAGCAAACCAGGGCGTCGGAAAGCTGTTCCGGCTGCACCGATAGTAGCGCCAGTGCCAACACCTCCAGCTACTCCAGCAACTCCGCCGGTTCCAATTGTCCCCGTCAAGCGACCACGTGGTCGACCGCCGAAAGATCCCAACGCGCCGCGACCAGCACCGAAGAAGAAAAAGAAATGAGCAGATTCTGTACTTTCCTCTACTGTACCTTCACCTATGTACATACATACCCCATTGGCTCTTGAGCTGTTTCTGCGTCCAGCGACTGTGGTCACGTTATCGTGATTTATCTAATCTTTTCGATCCCTAGCACTTACATCATCACCAATTTTTCCATGTCTACAATCACCACCATCCTGGACGCCCTGCCCCAGTCGGAGGATGAAATCGGCCAATACTCGGATTATGAATCCGATCCCGACTCTGACTTTGGCTCTGAGTTCTCCGATACCCGAGTAGAGGACGAAGACTGGGAACAGGCTGAAGGAGGTCAGGCTTCTCGTGCGGCCGTTTGTATGGCCCGGTCCCAACATTTCCAGACTTTACAAAACAATTCAACAGGCTCCGTCAACATGTTGCTGTGCGAACTGGGAATGCACAAGGGTCCGCGTCCGCTATCAACAAAACAGCTGCGGTCGCCGCCGTACCTGCAATAAACCATCCCAGCGCTCGAACGACCACAAATGCACCGCCTCGGGACAAGACCACCGATCAGCTAGCGGCGCTTGCCAAATACTCTTCGCGGATTGCAAAGATCGACGCTCCGTATGCGCTTGGCGTCGGTGTGAATCGCAAGGGCCCCAGTGCGACTGCGAACCAGAAGGACAAAGCCGATCGGGCGACGACCGAACAAGTTTTGGATCCCCGGACACGCACGATCCTCCTCAAGATGGTCGGTCGGGGCCTGATCGACGAAGTGAATGGATGTATCAGTACGGGGAAAGAGGTGTGCACGGGCGTTCTGATCGCCGTTTACATCTCACTCAGTATTGCGTGTTCAGGCCAACGTATATCACGCTCTGACACCGGAGAAGGCCCATCTTGCATTGAAGATCTACAAAACATCCATTCTGATCTTCAAGGACCGAGACAAGTACGTCTCCGGCGAACATCGTTTCCGCCGTGGCTACGCACGCCACAATCCGCGGAAAATGGTCCGTCTGTGGGCTGAGAAGGAGATGCGCAACCTCAAGCGGCTGCGTACAGCCGGATTGCGTGCCCCAGAGCCGGTGGAGGTCCGGGAGAACGTGTTGGTGATGACTTTCCTCGGCGACAAGGAGGGATGGGCGTCGCCGCGTCTCAAAGATGCCGAGTTTTTGGAGAACGACGGCCCGCGACTGTATGAGGAGCTGCTACTCGGTATCCGGACAATGTACCAGCAGTGCCGCCTTGTCCATGCCGATTTGAGCGAGTACAACATCCTCGTCCACGAGGGTCATCTTTGGATCATCGACGTTTCACAAAGCGTGGAGCACGACCATCCCTCTGCCTTTGATTTCCTGCGGAGTGACTTGAAGAATGCCGAAGAATTCTTCGGGCGGAGAGGGGTCAAATGTTTGGGCATCCGTCAAGCGTTCGAGTTCGTCACTCGCGAGGTCCTCCCGGAGCTTGCAGCGGAGAAAGATGTTTCAGTGGAGAACACGGACACTGAACCGTTGTCGCTCGATGTGGACGCCAATGCACAGGCTTTGGCGGTTTTACGACAATGGCTGAACGATACTGAGCCCTCTTCCTCGGAGCCAGATACGATTCAGAAGGAGACTGATACTGCTGTGTTCCTCAACTCCCATATACCACGATCTTTGAATGAACTGATGGATCCCGAACGAGATATGGGGGATGGGGGTCTGGTTTTCAAAGATGCACTGGGGCTTGTGGACGAGGAAGATGATGAAAGCGAGGGGAATGACGAAGATGAAGACGAAGATGAGGACGAAGAAGCCGACGATGAGAACAAGGATCAGGGTGAGGCAAGGTTCACAGCTCGCGTTCCCAGGGGACACAAGCATGAGGATAAAGATGCGAAAAAGGTGGGTACCGACGGCGTACAACGGTGCAGGCACTGACTGGATGTGCAGGAGCGCAAAAAGGCGGTCAAAGCGGAAGCCAAAGAACGCCGGAAGCAGAAAATGCCCAAGGCAGAGAAGAAGAAAGCCATTAAGAAAACGAGTCGGGCATAAGCTCCTTCCACAGATAACTATTTTTGTATGCTACTACAAGTCGGTGACGCAGCCGTGGCTGGCGTCGGACACGGCCTTGACATATTTGTAGAGACCGCCCTGCTTGACCTTGAGCGGGGGAGCAACCCAAGCCTCACGCCGTACAGCGAGCTCTTCGTCAGAGACCTCGAGCTCGATCGAGTTGGCTACGGCGTCGACGGTGATCACATCTCCGTCTTTGACGAGAGCGATCGGTCCCCCGACTTGTGCTTCGGGGACGACATGGCCAATGCAGAACCCATGGGATCCTCCGCTGAACCGACCGTCAGTCAAGCAAGCGACGTCGAGTCCCAGCCCAGCTCCCATGATGAGACTGGTCGGCTTGAGCATTTCCGGCATCCCTAGGGATGGTGAATTGCCGGCCAATGATCACAAAAGGAAAGACGCACCAGGTCCACCTTTGGGTCCGAGATAACGCAGGATCACCACCGTCTTCTCGCCTTGTTTGATTGAGCCGCTTTCGACAGCAGCGACCATATCAGCCTCTGTGTCAAAAACACGCGCTTTCCCCCTGAAACTGAGCCCTTCTTTACCAGTGATCTTGGCTACGGCGCCCCCTGGGGCCAGGTTGCCCTTGAGAATGCGCAGATGTCCCGTTTCCTTGATTGGTTTGTCGAGAGGTCGGATAACGTCCTGCGACGTAAAGTCGAGCTCGCCGTACTGGTGTGTCCAGCGCTCGAGATTTTCACCCAAGGTCTTGCCGGTGACCGTCATGTTGTTACCGTCAATGAGTTTGTTTTTGAGGAGGAAGGCCATAATTTCTGCAGCAGCGGTTGGTCGAGAAATGCTGTCATCAGGGACTGGCACGCACTGGGGATGCCACCGATCTTGTAGACATGTTCCATCACATACTTTCCGCTGGGCTTGATGTCAGCCAAGAACGGAGTCCGATCTGCCACTGATTGGAAGTCATCGATGGTGAGCTCGATGCCAACAGAATGCGCGATGGCGATCAGATGCAACACGGCGTTTGTGGATCCTCCGAGGATCATCGTCAGAACCTACAAAGAGATGTGAATCAAGGCACAAAAATGGCACAATGAGTGATGCTGACCATCGCGTTTTCGAATGCTGAGCGAGTCATGATATCTCGGGGCAGGATGTTTTGGGCGATCAGGTTGTGCATCACAGGGCCTATTGATTTGCATTCCGCGATCTTTTCTTCGGAGGTGGCGGGGAAGGATGAAGAGCCAGGTAGTGTCATACCCAATGCCTCGGACGCGCTAGCCATCGTGTTGGCGGTGTACATCTGCGACCTTATTAGCGCAGGCCGGTCATTGATACTGCAGACTGACCCCTCCGCAAGCGCCAGGTCCAGGGCAAGCATGTCGTACTGTATTGTACCGCTCCTTTTCTGCTGCGGGAGTCTGACCATCCATCAAGTACTTGCCGTAGGACTGGAACGCGGAGACCAAGTCCAGTTGAGGCATTCCCTCGCAAGAGCCTGGACGGATGGTGCCTCCGTAAACCATGATACCCGGGCGGTTAAGCCGACCGACTACGATGTTTCGGCATCAAATGTATGCGGGTGAAGTTCAACCACTCACGAGCCATTAACACGCCGGGCATGTTCTTATCGCATCCCGGGACAACAACCATTCCATCCAAGTGATGCCCGCCCGCGGTCGACTCAACGGAGTCGGCGATGAGGTCCCGCGAAGGGAGGGAGTACGACATTCCGGCGGTGCCCATACTGATTCCGTCACTGACACCGACAGCACCGAACTGGTATCCAATAAGGTCCGCATCGGTCAACGAAGCCTTGATGTCCTGTCCCAGACCCAAAAGGTGCTTGTTGCATCTGAGAAGGACTGCATTCAGCAAGGAACAGCTGAGCACCTTTAACTCACGGGTTCCCTTCGTACCTGACAACGCGTCAGCCGAAAATAAGGTACACGGAACAAGTTTACCATATACTAGCCACGCCAACCATGGCTTTGTTGAAGTCGGCATCACTGTTAACGCCGTCTGTCGCGTAAAGCATGGCCTGCATTGTTTGAGCGAATGAGAAGGCAGGCATTAGTGGGCGGCGCACCTGGCTTGCGCCCTGGTCCTTGGGCTGCGTGATAATTCGGCTGTGGCGGTTCATGACAGGGGCCTCTGTGCACGGCGCACATGTTGTCGAGAATGAACGCGCAAGGGCGCGAGAGGTCCGGTGCAGCATACTCACACTTGGTCGCAACAACTTTTTGACTCGACAAGTGATGTAAGTAAGAGCGATCGGTTGATCGTGTGATGCTCAGTCACGTTTTATGATGGGGGATAATGGAGATCGCCGATGCTTCCATATTTGGAGAAGCACTTTAGATAGCGAGGAGCCGTCCGAGTCTGGAGAGGGGATGCTGCGGCTGTCTAAGGGGGACTGTGTAGACATCTATTGTTATCTTTCTTTACACAGACAATCTGCATGTTTGGCCTTGTCCGCAGACGATGAACCTGGAATGTAGAAAAAAGACCACATCAAAAGAATTAGGGTTTCTGCACCTTACCACTATCGTGGGTTGATAGGCGTGAGCTCCTAAGCTGAATTCTTGTTTTGCTGTCGCCGATGGAAGGTTAATCTTCGAATGCCAGTAGCTTAAAGCCTTAAAAATGACTCGGCACCCACGAGGGAACAATATCGTGGCTGTAGTTTATCGGGGAAAGGCGACAGAGAGCAGAGAGCCTCGGAGATCAATCTGGAATAACTTGGCCAAATCATACGAAAGGATATGCCAGACTTTGTGGCTTTCACCCTCTGTGTCCTGCGCTTTTGGGCCCGTTCGCGCGGAAGTAATCTGCATGCGACCCGCGGTTGCATCCAGTTCCACTATTCTTCCGCGAGAGTGATCGAGCGGACTGGACAACGAATTTGAGACATTCTGGACGAGCTGGATGGGCTCTTCATTCCCTCGGGACTCCTTTCCCTTCACCTCAACGACCATCTCGTTCTTTCCTTCCGACTACACTCTTTACGCTACGTGCCACCGCCCGCCCGCTCGCCTCTTTTCTCGCCCGCGGTTGCCTTGAGATGGCTAAAGAAAGCTCGCTGCCCTCTAGCCTCATCCCACATCTATTCGACAGGCCGCAAGAACAAAGAAATGCGTCTCCCAGCGCAAGCTCGCAAGAGCCGGAGGAGGCCCCTGTCCCGTTCGAGCCAAGTCGACATCCCCCGTTTTCTCTTCGGCCTCTTGCCACATCAGATTCTTACCGACAACATCCAATACTGTACGAACCAGACGCTGGGCATCTACCTTCCGGCTCCGGCTTCAGTGTGGGATCTTCCTCATTCCATGCCTCCGGTTCACATTATCAAAATCCGCCGCCCGGCGAGACAAGCTATCGAGCAATTCTTCAACATCGGCAGCACGCGAGCTCGCCGCAATATCCTGGCAATACCAGTCACTCGCGTTTGGCGGAAACCACGCTGCCTTGGGGCGAGGGCCAAGCGGGTCCTTCTCAAATCCCATCGTATGCCAGTTCGAGCCAGCCAGGGTACCCGCAGCGGCGTTCTGTCGATCCAATCTACCCGGGCGAATGTGCGTCATAGTCTCAATCTTCAAGTGGCCCATATCTCACCTATTACAGCATCATACGAGAGACTCCGCCCCGACCAGGAATCCCTGCGCCTGCCTTTGTCTTACGAAAGACCGTTCGATGGAAGGTATCCTTACCCAGATCCTCAGTACTTGCCGCCACTACATCGGCCTTCGCCAGCGGCATCAGCGTCGTACGATGGCCCAAGAGGGACCCCTCGCCAATATCCCTACGAAGACGATGATCCCAGGCCAACAAAGATCCAGAAGAAGATCGGGGTAGCATGCAACTTCTGTCGACGTGTGTTCATATCTTCTCTTTGTGCCGCAATGAGGGTTGACTACTTCGTCTCAGAACGAAAGTTGAAATGCGACGGCAAGAAGCCTATCTGCGGAAATTGTGAATCACGCGGGAACATTTGCCACTTCCGCTCTGAGCAAAAGCGTCGCGGTCCAGGCAAGGGCAAAAGCAGCAGAAAAAAGACAGACAGCAGACGGCCAGAGGGGTCTTCCGGCCGACGGGATGATTTTTTGCCAGAGTCGCGTTTCCGAGACGATGATGGCACCTCAATGCCGACGCGGCGATCGTATGATCTTGCGTCTCAGGGAGACTCGTCACCCACGACAGGAGATGACGAAGATGACGACCAGCAGCAATATGCAGAAACGGACTCGGAGTATCGAGAATCCGATTCTTCCCGGATAATGAGGAGACGGCAAAACCCGGACGACCGCGAAGGACAATACCCACGTCCGCTAGAGGAACACGACAGACAGTAGGGCATTGCGATACTTTCGAGACTCGATGTCGAGCGCAGAGATGAGACATGCCATATCTGAAGGTTCCGAGGGAGTGACAGGGCTCCGCTGCTTCTTTTTACGTACTCGTTTCCTCGTTCTCGGCCGTCAACCGCTGGGACTGGACGCCTTGAGGCCAGTGTTGTGTTCTGCACCTTATTCTAAAAATGGAATCGCGCAAGAGGCGCTGGATGCTCGCTTCGAAGACTACCTAGTCACATTTTTACACTAAACTCAGATCTATTGGGGATATCTACGTGCAAAATCACTTGTACGCTCCAACTGGTACTGATCACAATATCCCACGTGACCGGTTGGTGGCAAGGCGGCAGGCAAAGCCTGGAGTTCCAGCGGCAGAGAGAGCACTCAGCGTAACACCTCTCAAAGTCTAGGATTGTAGGTATACGACACCCGGCATCTTACTGTGCAACTCCCAAAGAAAACGGAGGAGAATTTGCTGAGCATAGGCCGGTGCTTGGTGCGCAGTTCGACTGGGCTCAATTCTCCATTGTTATGGATGGGACTTGATATTCTGTAGGAAGCATAGTACTATAACTCGTGTGCCAAGTTTCAGAGAGAACTGTGGACAATTGAATGAGTATGAGGCACAACAATCTTGCCCCAGCTCCCATCAAAAGTCCTTAGAATTTGTTCTTGTTTTGTGCGCGCTGGCAGCCCTTAGTCGATGATTGCTCGCTTCGCTCGCAATAATCGTATCCGTAGTTTTCATACTGTTCTGCATAGTCATAACTAGGAGGGCATGGCCCATAATACATGTTGTTGTAGAAATCACCAGATTTAGAGTCGATTCATAAAGAACCTGATTGTCGGCTGCGAGTGCGAGGCCGCGAGCATATTAAATAACCAGCCCCCCAGCCTTGATCTTTTCCTTCGGTCTCCCCCACGCTTACCGGGGCTAACCAAGGTTGCAAGCGCGGGACAGTCAGACTCGCTTCAAGACCAACTCCGATTCTCGGGACCTATCTTAAATAACTTGGTCCGGGTCGGGTTGATCAGAGCTTTGAATCCCCGCTTGCAGCCGCTTGTCTGACGGTCGAGCCTGAGTACGCTCGTCTCTTTCCTCGCGCGCTCCCCGGCTCCCTGAATCGCTCGTCCTGTCGTCTGTCAACTTTCCTTCGCGTCTTTTATGCAGTCCGTCGAACCACGGAAATGGCAAGATGATCGGGATTCACCCTACAGCCGCAACCCCACCGGAACTGGCTCCAGTCAGTGGATTCCACTCCCTACCCTATGGTCGTCACTCATTCAAACACAGCTGGTCTCACTCTCCTGGTCGCAGGATGTCGAGGAGGCAAGTTTCCCGCCCTCTACCCCCATTCCGCGTGCAACGCGTTGCTGAACGTTCTCCGATCAGGGAAGAGTTCTTTCCTCCGCTTACTCGTCGACACGAGCGCCATCTCGGCAGACGCGCCCCCCGAGCAGATTCAGGCCCTGGCCAAGTTCATACAAGCGTCCAATGCCCCAACTTCGAATATAAGAACGGTCGATTTCACCGTGTCGATAGACTCGGGACAGGACCTTACCCTGACACTCATTGACACTCCGGCGCTGGATGCCCAAGACGAGGCGCACAATGCAAGGGTCGTGTTGGAGATGCTTCATTCGATCGAGTCGCGGTTAGCGCAAGGAGAAGACGAGGTGCGTGGGCCGCATTTTGTGCTCATCGGCGCGCATTAACAATGACGCGTAGGAATGGACCGCCAAAAACGGGGACCCTTATGTCCACTTGTAAGCTGCGATATTCTTCTCTTACTCCTTCCGTCCCCTCATAGTTGTCTTCATAGGTGCATTTACTTTCTTGACCCTGATCAAATTGTCCCTCCACCATGCCCCATTCCAGTCCTTCCCCGCTCTCGGGCCGACAGTTTTTCTCAAGGCGACTCGGAGCTCACTCTGGAACCTCCCCTGCCCAGCAATCCATTGTTGCACCGCCCATCCCTTCCTCAGTCCGAGATACAAACCATCCGCCGGCTCTCCTCGCGGGTTAACGTCCTTCCCGTGATAGCCCGTGCGGATCTCTTGTGCAACGAACGGCTTGCGGCTGTGAAAATGGCCGTGCGAAGAGATTTGGCTCTGAACGGCATCGGATTTGGCATATTCGACATCGATCATCATCCGGGCGCGGACAGAGAGTATTCAAATGGCACGAGCAACGGGACATCAAAATCACCGCCCAACTCTCCATCGCTTTCGTCACCGCTTCTGAGACTCCCCTATGCCCTTATATCTCCCGACGCCTATTCTCATAGCGACGGCGTCCATCGGATCCCTGTATCCCGGCACGAACTCGCTGTCCAGTACACTCCATCACCAACATCTGCCTCCAAGCAAAAGCAAAGGAAATACACGAGATCCTATCGCTGGGGCACGATTGACATTTTGGATCCCTCTCACAGCGACTTCGTCCCGCTTCGCACTGCTATCTTCCATCACATGAAGGCATGTTGTGCCGCATTCTAGAGAGAAGCACCCATCTCACCATGCTGCAGACCCTCCAGAAATACACCAGAGAATACTTATTCGACAAATTCCGGATCGAATGCTTGCCGCAGCGCTCCTCGAGTCGGCATCTGCCTCATCTAACGTCGTCGAGGCTGAGCAGCTCGGTATCGCACGGAACCCGCCCGATCTTGGCCATTGACACAGCCCCCGAGAACGCTGGACCCGTTGTTGGTCGCCGTCACTCGTTACGGGAGATCACCATTGGCGACGTCCATCCCTCGCGCAATGAGTCCGCGACTGCTCCCGTTATGGCCAGAGGGCCGGCCCCCGGTCAGTCCGAGCTTCAACTCCACATGCCATGTTGCAGATGCTGACATGTTTTGAAAGGCTCAGCCACCATGGGAAGACAGCGGAGCAAAAAGATCACCGTGGCATGCAACTTTTGCCGATGTGGGTGTCCTTCTCATATCAGATAAACATCGTCATCAATGATGGAACCAATTCACAGCCCGCAAATTGAAATGTGACGGCGGCCGCCCTTCGTGCAGTCAGTGCGTGAAGCGCTCTCATCCCTGCGACTACATGGTCCAGAACCGGCGACGAACTACCGTACCGCTCAGCAAGGGGGACGAAAGCGACAGTGCGGAGAGTGTCGAGGAAGGCTTGATCGAGAATGCAGATCAATCTCTTTCACCTGAAGTAGTGCCGCGCCGAAATCTGTCTCCGCTGCTGGACCGCAGAGACGAGCTCCCGCCGATCGCCACTGTTTCTCGTCGGTCTTTGGACAACGAGTTGCCGCACATCACCACCCTTTCTTTGCCCGACACCTCGCCGTCGACTCCCGGCCAGATATCTGCACCTTCTCTGCCGCCGATCCTGCCTGCATCGGAGCAACAAGCTGCGCAAAGGAAGCGCGCCGCGACTGCTTCGGGGAAACCCGCGCGTTTGCCGACCACTTCTGGTCCCAAAGTCGTTGCTTGCAATCATTGTCGAGGTGTGTGGCCAGCATTTTGTCTGATCTCGTTCTGAGCTCCCATCTCGCAGCTCGCAAGACGAAATGCGACGGGATCCATCCTTCCTGGTAAGAGCATGGGATACCGCCTGATGTAGAATTATACTCAGATTCCTCTAGCTCGAGTTGTACGCGACGCAATCTGTCCTGCACTTATCTGCACGACTCGAATGGGAAGAAGCCCAATCGACGGACATCTCAGCCCTCGGCTTCTCCCCCTCCTCTGCTTCCGGACGACGGTCCAGATGATCACAAGAGGCCGGTGGATCACCTGGACACCAGTCGGCCGCCGAAGAAAATGAAGATGTCGATGGGTGGCTCGCCCTGACCGACGGATATACCCGCGCATCTTGCTGTGCCTACTACTAGATACCTTCATTTGTTGTCTCCATCTTGTTGTCTTGGGTTTAGGCTTACTTGTATCTGTAACATAAAATGGGCCACTGTATACAACATGCCATCTCTTTGATGCGCAGTGGCTGTGCATTTGCTTGTCAATCTAACTCAGGAAAGTGTCCTTGGCCCTGGCTTACCCACGCTCCTGAATCTTTCCTGGTGGCCACAAAGGACGTTCACTCATCCTTTGCCCTCTCCGCCTCTCATTCGTCACTGCCATGTTTTCCTTCCGTCGCAAGTCTACTACTCAACCAGAAGCTCCACGAATCCGCACCTCCCCCTCTCTGCCAACTCTCAACAGTCAGGGAATTCCATGGCCAGAGAACCTCATTGATGTCGAGGCCATCCGCCAGACTTCCCCAGATCTCGAGCAGCCTAAATCTCCGATTCAATCCGCTGCGCGGACCCCCATTCCCTTTCATAAACCCTTCCGCGCCGCTTCTGGCCACGCTGGAAATGGGACCATTTCTTCCCTGTACATGTCTTCCCCACCGTCGGCTTTCAACACTCCAGATGGCCGCAAGTCCTCCGCCTCCAACACGCGTCTGAGCAGTCAACGTCGGGCCAAAGTTCCTCCCACTTTCAACATCATGGTGGGTCTGGTACTCCTGCTTTGTGTCTCGCTTTCATCGGGCTCTCACAGGTTGTGGGGAGCAAGGGCATAGGCAAAACAAGGTGCGTGGCTTGGAGTCTGGTCGTAATGCGGCACTAAAGAGGTTTAAGCTTGTTACGCTTGCTCTTGGATACCGCCGATGTGTCTCCGACCGCAACGGCCGACCAGCGGGCCGCCGCTCATGCGTTCCTTCGCGGACAACCCAAAAGCACTCAGTCGATCCAGACAGCCTGCGTGGAAATCTGTGAATCCCGCTTCGATAGAGTGTTACTTTCGGTCATTGACACGCCCGGACTCGACTTTTCGGAGGGTCGCGAGCTGAAGCTGGAACGCCAAGTCAACTCGGTCATGAAGTACATTGACGCACAGTATGCTGATACGATGAGCGAGGTCAGTTTCTCACATCTTGCTCTACAGCGACAGCTGAAGTTGGTCCAGGAATCCAAAGTGGTCCGTAAAAGCAAAGGAGACCAACACATCCACCTGTGGGCTCTTTCTATGCGATCTTTGTTCTGATATTGAGCAAAACCGTCCTAGGTGCATCTACATGATCGACCCCACGTCAATCATGTCCAAGACTGGCCGCGCAGAGCAGTCTTCGCTGCCTCAGAAAACGCGATCAGAAACTACAGTTTCATATCGCAATCCTCCTGATCTCGTGCCGGATACTTCCTCGGACGACTCTGAGGATGAAAGTGAGGGAGCCTTGACTATGAGTCCAGCCGAGCTTCGCGTTATCCGTCGCCTCTCGGCTCGGGTCAACTTGCTGCCCGTCATTGGTCGCTCAGATGCCCTGACGGATACTAAACTGGCACAAGTGAAGACCGCTGGTTAGTCCTCTTCCCTCGGACCGCGTTTGAGCCTGTTGACGAACCTCTTCGGTAGTACAAGAAGGTCTTACTGGGGCAGGGCTCGATTTCGGCGTGTTTAGTCCTCCCAGCTCGGAGACGGTTGAAACCCCGAAGCGACGTACTCGCTTTACCGAAGCGCACGGAGACGGAAATGGGGAAGTGAAAGACGAAGAAGAGGAAGAGGATGAACGCCAATCGCGACCTGTTATCAAGTTGAGGAGTCGCAACCGCGGACTATCACGTTCGCGTTCTCGTCGAGATCTCTCTCGTGCAGGAGACGACGACCGCCGGCCTGTCTCTCCCGATGCCGAGAGTCTGGCTCAAGTTCGGTTCTCCGCTCACATCGTCGCCAAGACCGACCTGAGCACGTTGTTGCCCTTTGCGCTGATTGCGCCGGAAACTAGGCGGAACAAACGCGACTCGGAAGACACACACGCTCTCAACACTCCGTCTTCTCTGGTACGACAGTCTGAGGATGGACACACCTCTGAGTCATCTGTTGATGACCAGACTCCGTCGACCCCGGCTTCTGCTCGCTCTGGCAGAGCCTTGCCTTTCTTGAAAGGCCCGATGCACGACGATCTCAAGGGTGTGTTTGTGCGCAAATACCGATGGGGAACCATCGACGTCCTGGACCCCAGCCACTGCGACTTTGCTGCTCTCCGAACAGCCGTTCTGTCCACTCACCTCAATGTGCGTTCTGCGCAATTAAGCAGAGATGGCCTTCAATTGACTTGTTACTCAGGTTCTCAAAAACCACACGAAAGAACACTATTATGAGAAATTCAGAACAGAGAAACTGCTCGCTCGCCGTGCAACTGCCAACTTTACTGATGAAGAAACTCAGAGACTGCTGGAAGGTGGGTTTCTCCATTATCTATCCACTGTCTCCTTTCACTCAAGTCCGACAGATCTTGGATTGTAAAACAATCTCGATGCTCATCTATCGCTGTAGGAAATTACCATCTGATGGATTAGTCGACTGGATTATCAGGTCCTGGATACCCCTATCTTTATTCTCTTTCTGGTTGCTCAGTTAATCTGCTATGTCACCACGTTCTTTTGCTTCAATTTCTCGATAGCGTCCTCCGAAAGCTCATCCAGTCGGCACAAGAGATAATCCACCTGGTGCAGTGAGGGTCAGGTCAGATCAGAACAGTGAAATGTAGTCAGCCTCACCTCCACTTCCTTGGTTAGAGGAATGATGAAGCTTTTGTACAAGTCGACGACACCGTCGACGTCAATTTTAGTAGACACGTCAATGTTCCCCTCCGCATCTCGTTTGAACTCCCCGTCGGGGGCGAAATCCAGCGCGTAAGTCTCCGCTTTCTTCTTCAGGCGCAGCAACAGCTTGCGTTCGACCTCCGGCTTGGTTATCAACGCTTCCAGCGCGGCAGTGTTGCGAGTTTGGATGTGGGGTATGAAGGCCGCTGGGTCTTCTTGAAACTTGGATTCAGACACGAATTTACCTGGATTGAAAGATTCGATAACCCAGTAAAGAGTAGACTAGACGATTACGCTCACCATAGTGCACGCGCTTGCTGATCGACTGCAGCGCCTCGACGTCAATCGTCGCAGCACTGCCATAGTTGCCGTCCTCCTCGAACTCCTCGTCGCCGGTGATGCCGCGCGCGCGCTTCCCGGCGGCCAGGGCCGCTGTGGCGCGGCGTGTGATGCGCGGCACGATGGTGCGCGTGTAGAAAGCGAGGATGGACGCGTTGGCGTTGACGCTGTTGGGGTAGAGGATTTCCGGGAACTTGAGCGGAGGGAGCACCGGGTGCGGGAGCTCGGACGATGGAGTAAAAGGGTACTCGTCCGGACTTAGACGGAGAATGAGCCATTGTGCCTGTCAGACTCGGGCAGTCGTCCTCACCTAGTGTACCGTCTTGCTTTGGCTGGGATGGAGGATATTAGAATCTGCATACTAAACAAGGGCATGGGTTTACCGTGGAAACTCTCCGTCTCCTTGAGGAACCATTCAAGCCAACTGCCCGCAAATCCGTCGGCGGCCAGTTCAGGGAACGCGCCGCGGAGATAAATGCGGGGATTCTGGGCGAACTGCGCTCGCTCAATGAGAGAGAATATGATAGTGTCTTCGAGACGCGTCAGAACGCCTCGGATCCGGTCTAGGGACAGCGGATCGTCGACAATCATGAAGTTCTGGGACTGCATTCTGCGTCTGGGTGAGATGAGGGCTTGAATGTGCATCCTTGAGGGACGCTGCGCTCACGATCGATGGGCGTGGCAGGTGGATAATGAGCCGTCGTCCTGCTGGCGTGGTTGTTTGCGTCAAGCTTAGTCGAATAATAAGCAAGCGCCCAGGTGATCCGCTTTATCTTATTTTGATGGCGCTGCTTATGTTGGTACGTAATGAAACACAACTTGATCGGCCGCGCGACGGCCGCGGCCTCTCCTTCGAGTCTCTGTCTGACTGTGGCCTTGAGGCTGGTGCTGCCGTTGACATTCCTACCTGCAAGCACGCTGATTTCAAGTCTGTTGACCTCAAGAATAGTGCTACTTCTGCGGCTTGGTCTATTAAGGATTGATCCTCTTCGAACGTTCTGTCGACTCCCAACTTCTTCAGTCCCCACCTCGTCACCAATGAAGTCAAAGCGAGACGCGTCAAGGGAGCTGTAATATTCGTCCGGAACTTTACCGACCGGCTGGTTCTAATTCTGGTCCTCGCACTCCCTGAGAAGGACTGAGAGCGTATAAATGACTCAGGCTTGATGGGCCAGTGTCCTCAAAGATGTCTTCAACTGCAACAACCGAAACCCACTCATCCATTTTCCGTCTTGTCGGCAACAGCGTCAGTGGCAAGGGCGGTGCCCCGGATGTCTCGTTCCAGTTCGCACCCATCGAGGAGGCGCAAGTGTCCCGAGCAATGATCAAGCGGTGCGGTCCAAAGTCTGTGTGTTCTATCCTCCGCTGACGCCGACATTTCGCTTGCAGCTACTTCGACAGCATGTACGACAGAGCTGTTTCTGACGTCGTGATCGTTGGGGCTGGCAGTGCAGGACTGTCCTGCGCATACACTCTCGGCACTCAGCGCCCTGACCTTAAAATCACCATGTCGGTCGTTTTTCCGAGGTTGGAGCGTTCTGACTGTCTGATATAGCATCGAAGCCAATGTCGCACCTGGGGGTGGAGCCTGGCTTGGCGGGCAGTTGATGAGCGCCATGGTGAGAGACCTAGGCAATAACGCGGCCCTGCACGCAATGAGACAAACATCTTCTCCTCCAGGTCATTCGAAAGCCGGCGGACAGCTTCCTGCGGGAGATCGGAGTCCCGTTCGAGGACGAAGGGTCGTTCGTCGTGGTGAAGCACGCCGCGCTGTTCACGGCGACGCTGCTCTCCAAAGTCCTCGCGCTCCCCAACGTCGTTCTTTTCAACGCCACGGCCGTCGAGGATCTGATGACCAGCACGGACTTCGAAGGCCATGCGCGAGTGACCGGTGTCGTAACCAACTGGACACTAGGTGGGTCCCGGTGGTTATATTCTAAGCTACGGTTGGTTTCATCCTTGGCTTCCAGTTGCCCTCAACCACGATACTCAATCGTGCATGGACCCGGCCACGATCACTGCGCCAGTTGTGGTGAGCACGACGGGCCACGACGGGCCGATGGGCGCGTTTTCGGCGAAACGGCTCGTGAGCATGGGTCTCAACAAAGAGCTCGGCAATATGCGCGGGGTGACTTTTCGCCGTCTTCTTCTTCTCGCAGCGAGGTTGATTGACTCGTGTCTTAGCTCAACATGAACGAGTCGGAACCGGCCATAGTCAAGTAGGCGCGTCGTGGAATTCTCCGTGGAAGGTACTCACGAAGATGGCAGCGGAACTCGGCAAGTGATCCCAGGCTTGATCATGGCTGGCATGGAGCTGGCAGAACACGACGGCTCGAATCGCATGGGCCCCACATTTGGTGGAATGATCGAGAGTGGCAGGAAAGCAGCAGCAGAGGCGCAAAGCATCTTCGACAAGTCCGAGATCGCAGGCGGCAAGGTGCTCGGAATAAAAACCTCGTAAAACACACATACACACCCGAATTGCTTCTCGAATCACGCTCGTATTCCAGTACAACAAGTACACGAGTCAAGTACAGGTTACAGAATAAATATCAATATATAACAGCACGAGATGGCTTATGCACTGGCGCTGGCGACAAAGATGTTGTAGTTGAATGTCTGGGGGGCACCGTCGAATGTGAAGGTGCTCGGCGCCACATTCAGCGCCACAGCAGTCTGTCCGTTCCGGTCCACTGTACCCGACAGTGTACCACCAGGTGTGATGGGGATAGACAGCTTGTTGACACCGGCAACAACCGGGAACGTCTGCGAGTTCGTCGGCGAAGTCGTCAAGGTCACAGTCCCGGGCGCAGTGGCCATCACAAGCGCCCACACATTGTCCTGGGTCAGTTGGAAGGTCGTCGGCGGCCCGACTGGATCGGGGGCCTGAGCCTGCGCCGGATGAGGGCGCGACCACATGAAAATTTCATCCTTATCGATCGTTGGGGCCGTGCCAGTCTTGAACTGGGTTGCGTAATATTGCGTAATCTTCAAAAGAGCTGCGCCTGTCTTCAGAACCTGGTCTCATCGCACGGGTAGAAATCAGACTCACGATCGTGAGGGAAGTTGTTGACCCAGACTTCACTGCCAGTGGGCAGAGCGCCCTTCACGGGGCCAATGTAGTGAGACTCTCCGTAACTGCAAAGGGACAGAGTTAACACTAGCAGCGCATGTCCGACTCGTGCACTCACTCATTCCACGTAACAACCTCAACCAAGTCGACCTGGTCACGCTCAGCGATCAAGGTCTCCCAGCGTCTTGCATACAGGTGCTGGTCAGCGAGGAATACAAACTGTGAGTCTCGCAGTCAGTTTCAAGCAGAGTCGGAGACACATGACCACGCACGTTCTTGTTGAACGTTTGCGGGCTAAAGTGCGTGAAGAACCAGGGAGCAGCAGCGGCCATGTATGCCGGAGCCGGGGTTGCAGCAGCCAGACCCTGTTTAAAGGAGATATCCGTGGCGTTGGATCCAATAAACTGATTCAGCGCGTTCGTGCCCTCCGGCCCGCTCACAGCGAGGTCCGATGTCACACCCGCGGCAAAGCCAGTGTTCACCTGGATAGGCCATCCAGAGTTAAAGTTGAATCCACCATCCATGACACCGTTGAAAGTCCCGAACGTGGCGGGGTCGATGAAGAAGGACGGCATGAAGAACTGCACTCGTCAGTCTGGGGAGCAGGTGGGGAGGAGGTAAAGCGCGACTCACGATCTTGCCAGCAAGGTCCGGGCTCTGCGCGAACTGCGACCTCCACCCATCGGCCGGGCTGCCCTGCCCGAACGTGCAGGATTCTCCGGCGAAAGTGGACACGAGCGCGCGGCCGCGGAACTGCATCTGACTCGCTGACGCAGCAAGTCCCAGCACACGGCTGCGGAGGGCTGCGCCGTCCGCAACAGTCGCACAGGGCAACACGCTATCAGGGGCATATACTCAAAACGGGTGATCCGAAGAGATAACAGATCGGACGCACGACATATCGAGCGAGAAGAATAGCTTGAAGTTGCCCAGCGCCTCGGCGGCTTGGACGGCATTGGCGGTCTGCGTAACTTGGAAATCATCAGGGCCGACGTTCAGCGCAAAGCCATCAAGGCCGGACGCGAGGGCGAGGTTCATGTCATCGGTCCAGTCTTGGACGGTGTAGGGGAAGGTGTTCCCGACCATGTGGTGGGCAACGACGAGTTTGGCATCGCCTTGGCGGGCGGAGTGGCGGAAAGGAATGACGGCGGCGCGGGACAGGGCCAGGAGGGAGAAGACTGTGTAGAATCGCATCGGTCACCAGTGAGCGTGAAAAGGCACGGCCTCGAGAAGATAAAAAGAGAGGGAAGAAGAAGAATGTCGAATACGCTCGGAACATAGCCTTTTATATATTCGGAAGAAGAATACATCGTGCTCTGCTGGTCCCCAAACACGGAGGCGCTCATTGTTGGATGTGGAACAAAAGGATGAACATCACTGATTGGGCATCACTGATGGCGCGACATGTTCGCTACTTTTCGTGGTGATATATTTGCAGCACCCTTAGATGTCAACAGATTGGGCCCTACAAATTACTTGGCCTATGGAAACAATCAAGTACAGCAGAACAAACAACTCTATGCAGATCATCGCTGTTTTGATGGCCCGGGTGTGTGAGCTCGTCCTCCCAGTCTAGAGCGGGATGCTCGACGAGATGGAGATGAATCGAGCGCAGGTTCCGTCTCGTCCGTTTCAGATTCAGGCTCAGATTGAGCGCGGACATAGGTCTCCCCGTACCTAGTTTTGAGCGCAAAACTCACCCGCCGACCTCGAGAGCGGCTGCGAGCAACCAATGATCCCTGTCGTCGGACCGGAGAAGACGATGTTTCGGAGATCGGGGACGAAGGTGGCAACGTGGCATAAGATGCACCGGAATCGAACACATGTGAATTCCTTCGCGCCCGATGCGTCGGAGTCGAGTAGATGTATGGATCAGAGCGGGACGTGGTCAGCGGAGCAGCCCAGGCGCCCGAATACAAGGACGAGAGCTGGTGAATTGCCTGTTGCATGGCTTGCGAGATGATGAGTTGAGCCCGAGGATCATGCAATGGTGTAACCGGGCGACCATCATTTCCGCCCGGGAAAGGTTTATATGATGCTTGCCCAGAAAAAGGGTGCCAGTCCGATTGGTGAGATGGCTCTGGCCCTGATTCCGACTCCGAGTCAGTTTCGGGTTTCCTAGACATTCTGTCTCTGGAACGTGAATGTCGGCTCTTTGAAGGTCCTGGCGAAGAAAGCGGTGGGATATCTGTGCGCCGTATTGGGTCTGGAACGTGCAGAACAGATGGAAATCTGTTACTCAGTTCAGGCAGCTGGCTCGTCGATGATCTCCTCTTCCTCTTCTTCGTGCTGGGAGGAGGGAACTCGTAGTATTGTTTCAGTGGCGTAGTCGGGATGCTGGGCAAGTCCGACGCTCTTCTGGTCTCCTCTTCTGGTTCAAAGACGGGCTCAATCATCCTTGACTTGCCTTTGCGATCAATGCGCCGATGAGGCGTGTGGAAGACTGAGTGGGCGTCAGTTGATAGTCATGTAGCAGCTATAATATCGCACCTAAATCGTCCTCCGGGTCCTTCGGTGACCGTTCTTTCCGCTTTGTCGGTGATGGCGTACCGGCTTTTCTGTTAGACTTGGCCCTCTCGACTGATTGGGGAGGCGTCGACGATTCTGTGCTGGCTTCCTTGAGAGTGTAGTACAAGTTGGACTTTTTGGCTCGTGTCGGCCGGTCGAGGCCTTCCTTATGAAGGCTGCGACCGCGGGAAATGGAGATGTCTTCAACCGCAGGAGGACTCGATGAGCGGCTAGGTATAAAAGTTGGACCATGAGATCGTCTGCGGGACTGAGCTTTAAGCTTCGGTACTGCGGTGTCTTTTCGAGGGGAGACAGTCAGCCCATCTTCTCCGACTGATGATGCATGAGAGAGAGGGGGTGTTTGCAACTGGGTGTGGATGATGTCTTGCAGGGAACGAATGGGTGTCGGCGGGGTATATCCTTGTTCGGGCGTCTCCTGGTCCGAACCATCTTCAGAGAGTTCATAAATGGGGACACCAGCACGTGGTGTTGCAGGCAATGAGCTGAATGCATCCAGTTCGTCCCCGGACTCGAAGTCGTTGGAGTTCTCGGCCTCTTGTCGCCTCGACGGAGACCGAGCCGGAGCAGGGGGAGGCGAACCATTCGATTCCAGTGTGCCTTCATCGTCCTTTTCGTCTTGGGTATCATTGCCAGTTCGTTCCTCCTCATCCTCCCCCTCATCCTCATCTTCTTCGTCACCTGCCTCGCGTCTCTGTCTCTCGGCCTTCATAAACTCTTCAAAGTCCCAGGAGTCCGTGACCGGGTCCGTTCTATTGAGCAGAGGGAACTCCATAGCCAGCTTGCGGATTGAAATCTCCTCCGTCTGCTGCTTTCGGGGGCTCCGGTCCAGCAGATCCAGCTCGTCAAAGTCATCCTCTTCGTCCTCATCCTCCTTCTCTCCGTCTTCATCCTCGTCCGTACCCGTCGGCGTGTTCTCCTCACCCGGAGAAGGAGCGTAGAATCGTCCAAAGTCCCACCGCGACTCAGCGGTCAACACGCCGCGGTCTTTGACGACTTCTCCCGTGACAAGATCGACAATGTCGTCTTCATCTATGCGGCGGGAGTACTTTTCGGCCAGACCCGACCACAGGTTGATCATGCGCATGGTCGAGGCCGCACGCTCTTGGTTCACTTCGTCCGGGGTGGCAGACATCGACACGCGCGGGGTGGAGGATCTGCGTTGTCGCTTTGCTGGAGGAGTGTCATCATGAAAGCGGAAGGGCGAAGGGAAAAAAGTGGACGCCGGCGCTGGGACGGCAGGGGCAGGGGACACACTGGATGGCGTAGGGAGATGGGAAGCAGAAGATCGCATGGTGGACTCTGCTGAACGCGATCGCGGTCACATGATTTGGCAGGCGCGTTGAGCAGCCTAAGCCGGATGAAGGCTACGATACAATGCCAGAGACGAGTTTACATTTAGTCTATCGCGACTGTTCCTAGTTTCTCGGCCAGGGAACGCTCTTCCCATCCGGGAAGCGCAACTCCTTGTGACGTTTGGACTGTCGTAAAATACCTTGACGGCAAGAACCCAGCAGCATCTCCTTCTGTCAAAACTACGCCATTATCAGAAAGAAAGAAAGCGATCCCGTCTTTAAGAGCGCTTTGCACGTCAATGAAGATGAGCACTTGCGAGGATTGCCGCATTCCTGTTGGAGGATGAGCGTAAAGCATGTGACCCCACACCAAACAAGTCTACCGCTGACGACGTTCTGACCAGCGACGCCTTGCGCTAGGTGGATATGGTTGCGCTTCATTTTAGAGAGCCCTTGCGTGGCTGAAGGAGATGTTGGGTCAGCCCAAATGAGAGCGGTCAGGACGCACCTATGGAATCCCATGCCGCTTTGGTAGTCCCGTGTACCGCGATACGGGACGGAATATCATCGACGGAGAGGATGGGTTTCAATTCAAGCTTCACAGTCTACAATGAGGTTGTCACAACGGGTGGATTTGCAACAGGAGCGAGAAGAAGCATGCCTTGATGGAATGTCCCTGATTCGCCTTCATCCACCACAACTCTCCTTCCTGTATGAGACTGTATCGTTGCTTGGAATCAGATTTGACGATCCCCTGGAGTTTGTCGAGATCCAATGTCTTGAGCTTGGGGTTCGCGAGCTGTGCAGCCGTCAGTGAAGCTCACCGGGGGTTCTTTCGAGAAACTAACCAGATCTGTGACCTTGATATAACCATCCGGCCTCATGGCAAGTCCTTCGCTTTTTGCGCCATGCCTGAGGATCCAGGACAAGGTCTTGGATGTCCTCACTTCAGGAGAATCTTTCGGAAGCCCTCTCAGTTTCTCGGAACGAGGGCCGTTGCTCGATGTTTCCGACGATTGAACGTTATCTCGTTTTCGTTTGGACTTCCCTTCTTAGAATCGGGTTTGGTTGCTGAGGAGAGAGAAGGATTTGGCTGAGCGTCCATCGAGGTTTGGCTCATTCAAGAGTGTACGAGTCAAGGTCAGTCAAGCGCACAGCCTCTTGCGATCTATCTTATTGCAGCCCATCTTATCATGGCGAAATCTCATCTTATCAGCTGTAAGGAGATTGACTACTTTTCTTTTGCTACACGCATTGATCAATGGCCTGGATGGTGTACTCGTTGATGATTTCGTGCGTCTAAATAATTAGTTCGAGTTTGCTCTCTCTCAGCAAGTGTGGCAGCTTACCGTCGCTGAGGGATGGCCCGCTGTGCGATGTGGATGGTCAGAAACAAGAAAACAAACACTAATGATGCTTACGAATGTAGAAAATGGATCTGTCTGGGTCGTCACAGCCAAATGTCGTGAAATTCTGCGAAGCCAAACAGGTCGAGTTGGTGTATCCCCAATCGCTTGGGTCCGAGTTGATGGCGTTGAAGAGATTAAAGAGATTCACTGTTGCGAAGTTGGTGCCATTCTGACGGTGAGCCGCGAACAGGCCCTGTTGCACTGTGTTTTGGAATGTCGTGGTGACATTGGCTTGGAAGTAGACCTGTACGCTCAGCCGGTCAACCGCTGGACGGGACAATCGTTTGCACCCGCCGTACCCAGAGAATCAAGAAGTTCTTCGCCCCGTTTGCTTGCAAGATGCTGATTTGTTCGAGCTGAGGACAGGACCGTGAGCCGATAGACCCTACCCACAGTCGAAGCTGCTTACGAAACTTGACGCGGCCAGGTCCCAATCACCGCCTTGCTGCAGATATCGCGTCAGCAAAGGGCCCAGGCTATGCTTTGGATGATGCGCACCGCAGAGAACTGGGCATTGTCACTACGCTCGGTCAGCAAACGAAGTTGAGTCTATTCCTATGTCAGCTTACTTGATACCTGCAGTATACTAGTCAGCGCACATCTCCAGGAAGATCAGGCCGCCTGCGCACCAAAATGAACAGTATAAAGAGTGCTGTCGGGGTTCAAATCGGCGAGGAAATGGCCCTGCTTGAGGAAGAGCGCAGTCTCATGCACGAAATCCGTCCGCAACAGATTATCAGACGTGAACGTCTGGCTCTCGTTTCGGCAGATATTCCATAGACGACTGGGACAGCCCACTCACGACTCCTTTCCTTGTGGAATTCCATGCTTGCAGATCAGTTACGGCGCCGCCGACAGAGTAGTCGATCAGTTTCGCGCCGACGGTGTTCGCCAGATCCTCGACCCACGTGTACCCGTTGCTGGCCCGTGCGCGGAAGTTATTCCCGGCGCGAGCGCCCGCGCTAGGGTTCGGAGGAAAGACGACTGGCGCAAAAGGGATGGTTCCTGGCTCCAAATATCATGGACCGGACCATTGCTTCATAATATTGACTGACCGTTGGAGCCGTTGGACGACCAGGAGTCTCCAAATGAGATGACGGTTCTGCGAGACAAGCCGGCATGAGCATGAAAGACAGAAATGGTGAGAGAAGCTGCTCACTTTGTCGCATTCAACTTGACTCCGGTATTCGCCTCGGTGAACGTCTTGTCCGAGAGCTTCCCACAAACAGGCGAAGCCTACAGCGCAGCGGTCAGTCAGTCTAGCTCACGAACACACGAGTGAGCAGTAAGGGCAACCTTGAGAGAGATGGGCGACGTGCGGTTGGCCGCGGCGATGAATTGCACGCGGTGTGCAGACGCGACGGCAGCGCTAGCCAGGAGACAGGACACGAAAAAGGCGCGCATTCTGGGCGTGATGGCGGGGCAGTCGTCCCGCCACGGACCTACTTATATGACAGGCGGCCCGGGTGCACTGGAGCCATGGGACCACTCGTCACATGGGCAGAGCGGACCGCTTGTTCGCATGGTGATAGAATCTCTGGGGAGACTCCGGAGGAAATAATGGAAATAACGGACTATTAACAGTGTGAACGCAGCAAGTACTTGGGTGATAATAATAGCGCTCAGCCGCACCCACAGAACTGATTGGTGGCTGTGTCGTTCGTGTTGATCTCAACTGCTGACTTCACCTGCGATGAGTGACGCTGAAGAGGCAACTGTACTCGGGAAACGCGCCCGAACAGACGACGGCGTGGAGGCGGGGGCCGGTGCATCTAAGCATATGGACGCGGAAGAAGATTCTGACGATGAACTTGGTCCCATGCCCTTACCAGCGGACGCGGAAGGGACGGTCAAAAAGAAGAGAAAAGGTGCGCCTTCGGATCCGCATCCCCTCTATTAAGCCTCAAGGAATATAGACCATCTTTCCTAGTTCTCCCTCATGAAAAGTTGTACCTCGACCATCTTCCTGACGCCGGTGAGCCTGTTCGTTCCGCGTTTCCTGACTGCAGTCTGATACCTTCCAGACCAATACTACAAGAGTTTCATGCACCGGGATACCATAAGCTTTACTTTCGTAACCAAGTTCGTGATCTCTCCGCTCTGAAGTAACATCCAGGCGCTCATCCTGGTTTCCAGGACGGATTTCATCATCACGACCTCGATCGACGGACACCTGAAGCTGTGGAAGAAGCAGGACGCGGGCATCGAATTTGTGAAGCACTACCGCGCCCACCTTACCCCCATCACTGCAGGCTCGGCCAGTGCTGACGGGCAGCTCTTTGCTACCGTTTCGGAGGATGGAACTGCGAAGGTGTTCGATGTGGTCAACTTCGGTGCGTGAGGAACTTTCTCCTGCCTCGTCAGACCTGCCTCATTCATATATGCAGACATGATCAATATCATTCAATTGGGCTACACACCGCACTCGTGTTGCTGGGTCCATCGGCGTGGTCAAGCACAAGGATTGCTTGCCGTGTGAGTATCTTCTTGCCCGTGACGGACAGGCTTGCAGGAACTGATATTCTCTCAGCTCGGACTCATCTTCGGGAACCATTCGTCTATATGACGGCCGAGGCAATGAGACGCCGCTAGAAACGATCTCTAATCTGCATCGCTCCCCAGTCCATGTCATGACTGTGAGTCCGTGGTGCAGTCGCTCGACACGGTCTGACGAACGATTGCAGTACAGTGATCGCTATGATACGGTTGTTTCGGCTGACGAACAAGGCTTTGTCGAGTACTGGCGGCCCACAGAGCCATTTGAAGCTCCGAAAAACGTCCCCGGCATGTGGGCCTACAAGTCGGAAACAGATCTCTATGAGTTCAAAAAGGCACGTCCCGTTCCATGTGCGGGTTGTACATTATGCTGAAACGCCTCTCCAGTCCAAAGCAACTCCGACATGCATTACGCTCAGTCCGGACTCTTCGTCATTCGCTACTTTTTCTTTGCCCGACCGCCAGATCCGGGTGTTTTCTTTCCTTACGGGAAAACTGACCCGTCGATACGACGAGTCTTTGCAGGCGATCCAAGAGATGCAGCAGGCCGGGACGGCGCTCTACAAGGTCGACGACATGGAATTCGGACGTCGTCTTGCAGTTGAGAAAGAGCTGGAGCTGCCGGGGCCAGATGGGCACATACCTGGTCGCTGGAGCAATGTTGTCTGGGATGAGAGTGGCGCGTTCGTGCTCTATCCGACGCTGCTCGGGCTCAAAGGTGCGCGCCCTCTGCGACTCTCAGGGATCGTCTGCTTACTATGACAGTTGTCAACACGGTGACCAATCGCGTGTGTCGACTGCTGGGCAAAGACGAGTCGGTGCGGTTCTTGAACGTGTCATTGTATCAAGGTGCTCCCGCCAAGAGAGGTTTGACCACGATTACGATGGCGGCCTCGTCCAACCCGATTCTGGCTACCAAGGCTGCTCGGGACCCGACTTTGTTCTGCACGGGCTACAAACGAGCGCGGTTCTACATGTTCACTCGGTCAGAGCCAGAGTGAGTGGCACGTGGTAGCGTCGAATGCCGAGGCTGACATCGACTACCAGGGATACCAAATCAGGTGACAGAGATGTGTTCAACGAGCGGCCCACGCGCGAAGAGCAGAATGTGGCGACGTCTGCTGTGGTCGGGTCGTCCGGGCCGTCTCCGCTCGCCAACTCAGCTACCATACACACGAGCATGGGCGACATGCACATGCGACTGTTCCCTGCGCAGGCCCCGAAAGCCGTCGAGAATTTCGTGGGGCACGCCCGCAGCGGGTTCTTCGAGGGCATCATCTTCCATCGTGTGATACCCAAGTTTATGATCCAGACCGGAGACCCGTTGGGAGACGGCACTGGGGGGACATCCATCTGGGGCCGCGAATTCGAGGACGAGTTTTCGGAGGATCTCAAACATGACAGGCGAGTTCTGTTTTCTTTAGCTCGAGCTGGGGTATGTTTCTGACCCTGTCGTTTCCAGGCCGTATACTGTGAGCATGGCGAACGCCGGGCCCAATACCAACGGATCCCAGTTTTTCATCACCACGACACTCACTCCCTGGCTCGATCGAAAGCATACTATATTTGGTCGCGTGATTTCTGGGCTGGAAGTGCTGCACAACATCGAGAATGTGAAAACCAGCCACGCGGACAAGCCTTACGAGGACATCAAAATCATCAGCGTTCAGGTCGAGTAATCACGTATTACATAATGATATCACAAATGTAACAAGCAGCAACGTGAAGCCCGAAAACGAAATCCCTGCCTGCTGCCCGCCGTTGGCGTTTTCTCCGGCGCTACTGGACGCAGTTGCGTCGACGTTGAGCACCAAGGGTGCGCTGAGCCCGATCGTCTGGTTCAGGCAATCCAAGAGCTTCGTGTCGATTCCTGCAGGAAGGGCAGTGTCTGGGGCGCCCGCGCCCTGGAAGACGGCAGAGTTGTTGTATCCGTCCAGGCTCAGAGCGATGCTGCTCGCGCGGTAATACTGGATCACCTGCTCTGGCTGGGGTGGTGCTGTCGACGTCTCGTTGTACGGCGACGCGGTAACGCTTGTGGAGGGAACAAGCGAGGACGAGCAATTGGCTTGCAAGGCGGTGATGAGTGCGTTGGTCGTGGTGCTGTCGGAGAGGATCCGGAAGACAGTCACGTTCGGGCCGTTGGATTGGAAGGCCGCCGTGCTCATCGCTCCCCCAGGCCGGCTGCTGTTGTCGGCCCGTCCATACTGCGACGTTATAAGCTCATGCGATCAGGGAACGCAGAGGAATGATTCAGACGCACTTCTTGGTTTGAGTGTAGGTGAGGGCGCCCGAAGCTCAAAGGCCAAAAGAAATACGGGAATCCGCGCCCAGACACATCTGCGCCAGACGTCCCGGGATATCCGCTTCCATACGTTCTGGTTTTATCCCGTTCATCTCCCGCACGACAGAAGAGCAAAGCGAAACTTGCCGCACCTCGAACCGAAAATGTCACCGCGCGTCCCGCCTCCTTCTTGGCGCCCGGAAAACGGCTGGCCAGCAGCGATGGTGACGACCTGCCCGCCCCCGCCTCCGTACGGCACTGCCGTTCTGTCGACAGATCAGCCCACACCTCCTTCAAGGGTTTGCAGTGCCGGGAAACTGACTTTCCCGAACCACCCCCGCTGCTAATGGGAAACGAAGGGCCAGCCTCGCCTGCCGAGTTGGTGCTCCCTCCTGGGGAGTCGTGACTTGATGAGGATCCAGAGCTGGGGCTACTGATGCTGCCCCCCGCATCTGCGCTCCCTCCCGCGGAGCCGCTCTCTGACGATCCAGCGCCGGTGCTCCCCCCCTCCTCTGCGCCACCGCCTCCTTTGGTACGGCGCTTAGATAGCCTGCGTGTACTGACGAGTGGAACAAACATCGGAATGTGGAAGACGGCGCGTGCTGTTCTGCTTTTATCTGTCGAGCATGCGCGGGATCAACACACAGCGGTAGCACATCTGCCAAAGACACCGCCCAGTACTTGATCGTCTCAGACAGTGAATCTGATGGCTCAACAGCAGTCGGCGCACACAGCAGGCGCCAATGGTACGGTACATATATAGAGCGGGAACTACTGATACAGAAGATGGGATGCAAAGTATGCTAAGGATATGGACAGGACGCATCACGCCTTGGCTACTGCCGGCTCAGACTCTTGTGGCTCTGCTGCAGCTGCTGGTGCAGTCTTCTCCGTCGGAACAGGGGGATTGGGACCGCCGTGCTGCTTGATCATGCGGGTCAGACTTTGCGTATCCGCGCCCCGAACCTGATTGACACGGTCAAGAAATCGGCGGCAGCTGTCGGTGGATCAAGCGCCTACCATTGCAACCACAGCTTTGTCCTTGATGGCGAAGAACGTCGGCATAGCAGAGACTTGGCTAGAAAGAGACGAACAACTCAGATGATGTCCGGGAAATTGACACGTGCACGGCGGCGTCACTCACAGGGCCTGGGCGATCGCGGGTTGGTCGTCCACGTCCACTTCGACAAATTGGACGTGCGGATTCTGCGCGGCCAGTGCTTCGAAACGTGGTGCAATCATCTGCAGGAGGTGCAGGGGCGCGGTCGGCCATCTTGGATCGCAGATGTACAATAAACACGAACCTTGCAGGGGCCACACCACGCCGCCTTGAAATCAACAATCACGGTCTTTCCTGCGGCTTCGGCGGCTTCCATGACCTGGTTCCACTGGGAAATGGATTCGATATCGACGGGATGCGACATGGCTGGTGTGAGGTAAAGGTGGGTGCGAGTGGATGTGTGCTTGACGGCTGGACGCAGCGAGAGGCCATTTAAATAGCCTCGGTGTAGTCAGCAGTCAGAAGACGCCAGAACCTCGCCGCGAATCCGTCAACGACGTGACCCATGGTGAGGATGAGAAAGCGCCGCACGTGCAAGCGCTGACCAAGCCTGTGGCGGTAATAAGCAGCGGGCGGTGGGCCGGGGATCTCACGACCGAGGTTTGAATTCGACATTTGCCGGCGGAACAGAGGGGCGTGACATGCAGGCTGCACCTCCAGTTCGATAAGAGTCGCAAGACCGGTCGAAAATACGCCATAGTGAGTGCAGAATGACGCCACTTGACTGTTTCGAAGTGCAATTGACGCAGCAGAAGATGATCATCACGTAGATGGGGACATATGCGACTCGATGTTAGATAGGTCCTGACAGGCTTGAACAGGACTGCGCCGTCCAAGAAGAGTGGGCGTGAGAAGGCATCCATCAATATCTACCATCGCAAGCAAGTGATGTCAGCACTATTACAACGCAACTCTGTCCATGATTTCCCTCGTCACCTCTACAGTCATCGACAACCTTTCCTCCTCTAATCTACTCTTGAATCGCCGCTTCAACTTCTCCACGATCGAATTTACCCCAAGAGATTCAGGATGAGCCACTGCGAGATCTGCCGGGCAGGAGAACTTCAAGAACGTGTGCCCGTCTAGAGTTGTTCCGTTGCGCACAATGCACGAGTAGACGTCCAGCGGCACGCCCGCCAGAAACGCGCCGTGCATCTGCACAGGAACGTATGCTACGGGGTATCCCAGCAGGATCGCTGCAACGGGGATGATCGTCTGCGGGTCGAGATCGTCGGTCCAACGAGGTGGTGTACTGGCGAGCAGCGCCTCAATCGTGTCTTGGATTTCGGGAGGGGGCTCGTGCATCTATGTGCTCGTGAGCCAATGGGATCTCGCAGGCATCACGACTCGAGGCGCACCAGGAGCGGGCTCTGCTGAAGCTGTATGAACGCGACATCGCTCAGCAAACCATCGCAGAGGTGTCGCCGCAGCGTATCGCAGTTCACGAAGAACGATTGCTGTGAGCTGCTTTCAAAGACATGCTCCACCGCGCGAAATTCCGCGTGGCTCTTCACATGTGCCGATGAGCGGAGACGTGCATAGCAGAGAATGCGTGGTTGGCGTACTTTTCGGAGGTCTTCGAGAAGACCGGGGTATAAGGTTTCCGGATCCCGAGCTGCGATGGCATCCACGAGATAAGCCGGGCTATAAATGCGCGCGTCATCGACGGACTTGGATCGGGCCAGGTCGTGCGGCGCACCGGCATCCCAGTGCTATCAGCGCAAGGTCCACGGCGAAGTTCCTTCTTTTGACCGCACCGAGTTTGCGGAAAGCAGACACGTTCAGAGCGGACTCTACACTTTCAGCAAGAACATCGACGTTGTGGATAAGCGCAGACATGGTGGGTGTGGTTTACATTTGTTACTGCGAGTACTGTGTATGGGATGTCCATGTTGTATGAGAATACACTGTTTCTGACTGCGTCACACGAGAGCCCAGAGAGAAGAAAGAGATAGAGGGACGAGAAAGGTTTTAGCATCTGGACCGAAGAGGCTCAAAGAGTCTGGAATGTGACCTCCGAGTCCGCCATCGTTCTTAGCCCATCGCGAAGCGAACGATATGGTGATGTTTGTGCTCGAAGACGCCGCGGTCCTCGGTTTTCTTCGGGAGCAGCTTCCACTGGCAGCGCGAGAGCTGGACCAGGAAAGAGTGAGGAGGCGACAGGCTCGCTTCCAGGGCATGGCTCCAGCAGATGTCGCGTGCTCTCGTCCGCGAAGAGATGGCACAGAAGCGAGAACAGGAAGATGCGTGGCTGGACTTTGGGCGCTGGGCTTGGAGGAGAGGAGCGCGAAGGATGGACCGACTGGGGGCTCGGGGGTGATGGAGATGTCTCTGACTCTGCGGTGGCGCTGGTCCAAAGTCCAGAGTCCAGCGATAGCGAGCTATCACCCTCAAGTAGTGTGAACGAGTCCTCGGATTCAGACTCGGCGTCATCGGAAAGGAGCTCGGCGTTGGGTGAGGGGAAGATGAGCGTAGACTCGGGAAGCCATGCCTGGGTGTGCCGACGGTGTTGGGCGTACATGGTGGAGGGAAACGGAGAGAGAAAGAACCCCAATCCCATGATCACGACTGAATGGGCTATACTTACGTTGGGGCTCCCTATCTTTTAAACTCTTATTCAGATCCACCGCAGAGCCAGAAAGGCCGCGATGCATCGGTGTCTAGGTGTCTAAGATTGACGCCAGACATTACGGCGTGCTGGCCAGACGGAGACTGGACCGTCCGTGAGTCACCACCGCGGCAGTCGTGAGATTGGCACAACATACTCAACCCCAGCTCATTTCCGCAGATACGCTATGGGAGCCGACTACCACTGAGCAGTGCAATGGCTGACAGTTTGAAGAAAGCCTTGAACCCAAGCTAGCCACGACGAGCCTATTCAAACTCCAGAGCCCATTCCTTATCTCCGCTTGATCGCCGCATCTAATCTATAAGCCGAAACGCGATCACGTGGATGATTGAAGTGGTATTTTCTTGTCTTTTGGGGGGTTTTTACAATTTTTATGAACTGTGTGCTCATGCTTGGAGTCCTTTGACTCGTCCTGTTGCCGTCACATCACCCAGTGGCAAAGAATGAGCGGTGCTGTGGTCCAGTCTCCAGTTCTCTACCATCGTTTTGGCTTCCACGGGGGCGACACTTCCATCACGTGTAGCGACGGTTATATGGAGGCGCTGCCGTGCTTCTTCAGGTATCTGGGACACAAATTCGGCACCATGCTGTCCGCCAGCTCCTTCCTGCTCGAGAGCGACGGCATCTACAGTGAGGGCCATGATCCGATCATTCCATACCACATGGCCCAGTTGCAGCTTGAATGTCGGCGGAGTCGTGCTCAGCTCATGCAGAGACTTGCACTGATTCCAAAAGCGCTGCAAGCCAGGCAGGGCACTTTGGTGGATTAAAGTCACGTGTGGACGATTCGTCACGCGAGACTTCACCGCACGCCAGAACGGGATACCTCCGAGCAAGGGCTCAAGCAAGGGCTCCAAAGCGATCTCGGGGAGGAAAGCAAAGTACCGCGGCTTTCCTTTGATTTTTGTTGGAGCCTGTCCCGTTTTGGCCGGCTTGTATCTGCGGACATAGTCCAGTGCTCCCTGGATCTTTGTCGGTGTCGGCTCAGGGAGCCCCAATATCTGCACGCAACCTTTCACAGCACGGATGACAGAGGCCTCGAGATCATCGTGAGCGGACATTTCCACGATTTCGTCCACCTCGTCCGATGCCAGAGGCTCAGATTTGGTGATGAAGCTCCACAACACTTGTTCATGGGCCTGACTCGCATCCGGGAGCAGAGTTTGATGGTTTTCGCCCCGCTGCAGGACACGATCGGCACAGATTCGATGGATCTCAGCTGGTGGGTAGTCATCGAGTCCCCAGTGCAAGGCTAGCAGGCGAACTGGCTGGGGGAACGATGCGGCGGTCGTTCGCAGAGCCTCGCGGTGCATCTTCAAGTGATTGTTTCTAGAAATTCACGCTCAGAGCCGCAATTGGCAACTCCCGAAGATAAAACTGACTTGTCGGCAATAACCGCATCGTGCGTCTTGAGGAGATCGAACACGTTTTTTATGAAGACAGGGGCGGCTTTCTTGGCGCGAACATCGTCGCTTTGAGTGTGCGCAAATCCGAAAATGTGTGACAGTGCAACCGACACTGCAGTTTTACCTACGCGCCGTTGGAACCGTCATCACCCGATAATGAAAAGTAAAACGCACCACAGCCGGGAATAGCCACAGGAAGAATGATCGTCTTGCCGTACTCAATCTTGGTCGTAGAAAGTGGAAGTGAACCATCAAGCGTGGCAGAATGTCCATCGGCGCTGGTCAAGAATCGCTCTCGAACGGCAACGATGCCCTTGTTGTTACCGTACTCCAAGAAAGCAGTAGGGTTTCGTTGGATTTCCTCAATGACCCAGTTGACGTATGCCTTGGTCTCTGCTCTGCGCATTTTGTTCTTCGACAGCTTTCCGACAGCCATGGGATTCTTCCCCATCGGCCCGCCCCGCATCGTGAGAAGCTGCTTGGTGAGCTCGCGCCAGTCCCGGTACATCATGTACGGCTCGTCGAATTTGACCTTGAAGAAGAACGTCGATCCGACCGGGTACGGTGGCCCGTTGCGTGGATGCGAGCCAGCGGGGGGTTCGCCTACATGTGTTCGGACGACGAATCCTTCGATGGGAACGCCGTTCCATGTCCCTGTCTTGGCACATTCGTCCGTGAACCCGCGAACCGCTGCGATAGTTGGAAGCTGGAGGGAGGCTGTCGTGATGAATCCCCATTCCTTGGCAAACGCGTCGACCTGCTCGTGCGGGAGTGTCTTGAAGGCCTTCGTGCTTTCGTTGATGCCGTGCAGATGCAAGCCGGTGAGTTCAGGTGGATACCCCAGCACGTGCTCCTCGAAAGAGTCGTCGCAGAGCTGGTCGCGTTGGGTTGAGGTAGTGTTGCAAGGCCAGCCACTGAGACGTACCTCTGCCACCGCAGTCCAATTGTTCGTCCAAAGCACATTCGCAAGATCTGATTCCGACCGCCCTTTTTCTCCCAGATATTTGCGCAGCCACTTCTCTCCTGCATCCGCATGACTGACCTTCATCCCATCCGTCGCCGGCCCAATGGAATGTTTCGACGTGATGAGCAGTTTCTCCGGCGTCAGCGCGGCGATGAAAATAATACATCCGTTGCTCTTGAGAGATAACGTATATGGGCCGGTGGTGTGATGTTCCAAGGCCCGCTTCTGAGTTGTATCATCAGCAGGCTATAGTTGCTGTAAACTGAGAGGACGCACTGTGGTCCAGCCCACTTCTCCCACGTTGAAGAATTTGTCGTATCCACGCGCGACAATCCGATGCACTCCGTTCCCGTCTTCGGTCGTGAAGATTCCGCGTGCAAGTGTTGGGAACGGGGATGGCACTTCGTAGTACTTGAACTCATTCATCTTCCAGCTGGTGACTTTGATGGACGGATCCGCTGGCGCGGCATACTTGGACGAGGTGACGAGTCTCTTCTTCTTGCTATCCTTACTCAGCGCGATGAGTGCCTTGACGAGCGCGGAGTCCTCAGACGCGGACGGTGCGACACGGTTGACTGTTGTCAGGGACATGTCCCGAGTCAATCGTCGCGCTACCATCGGGACCCTCAACTGGAGCCGAAGCCCCCTGAGTAATGAGGCACACAGAATATTGAAAATTGGATTCGAGCTGGACTTCGGTTGGTTGGATCGAGTCAAGGATCGCCGGTGACTCGTTGATGCTAATGGTCACATCAAGTGGGCCAGATTAGATTGCGTGCGATCGATCGCCGATGTTCCTCGGAGTTAGACTCGCACTTTAGGACTGTATGCACAAAATACAACTTTCATTTCATATTCTAGATAGAAATAATTAATGGGGTCTGGCCCATACCTGTCTTCCTTTGACCCACGTACTGACAACATTACCTTGCCGATCAAACACAGTGAGGTCGGCATCAGCGCCCGCTCGCAGAGTCCCCTTCTTGTTTTCAATGCCGAGGCATCTACAAGCAGACCCAATGAATGACCATGACATGGAGAAGAAAAGCCAATCACCTTGCAGGGTTGAATGTTGCGCACTTGATCGCTTCCCCGAGTGAGCAGCCGGTGAAGCGCGAGAAGTTGCGGACGCAGGTATCGAGTGTGACCACGCTACCGGCTAAGGTGTTTGTGCCTTCCAGATATAATTTATCCCCTTCTTTCACGAAGCGCTTGCCATCTCGCCACTCGTGGATCCCATCTCGCAGATTAGGGTCAAGGATTTTCATGGCTGCGGGTCTCAAATAAGATTCAGGGCCATGAGAACTTCACAAAGACTAACCGTCCGTGATCAGGATGCAACCAGCGGGATATGCTGTGTAAGCCAGCTACAAGGTATAGTCAGCGACCGTAATTTGTTCCCCAGTGCAGGTATCGTACTCGGACAGAGTTGGGATGCGAGTGAATTCCGTCGACGATCATGTCATAGAACGGCCGTTCGAAAGCCATGGCGGCCACTCGGCCTTTCTCAAGGTGCAATTCGGGTCGAGTGGGGGCACTTTCGGTCGACGGCTTGTAATCGAATGCTTCGGACGTCACACCAGACAGCGCAGAAGTCGCGGTAGGACTCGATGGAGGGGTAAAGTCGGTGTTGAGCGAGGAAAGGTGCGGCGATGCACCGAGCAGCCCGATGATGGAAGGGTCTCGGTGGTGAAGTTGAGGCATGGCATTGAAAAGATGTGTGATGAGCCGCGCTCCTTGCATCACAGCCGCAGTGGCAATTTCAGAAGACGCGACACTGAGCCAGTTCACGATTATCAATACTTGACGGATAAACCCACTCACCTGTGACCCATTGAGAAGATGATCCCTCTCTTAGTCAGTTCCTCCACCGCGTCCATTACACCTGATATCTCGGGTGCCGCAGTGATGATACGAACGCCGCACTGGTCTTCATTGTCCATGAGCCAGTCTTCTTTATCCAGAAGGTTTTCGGATCCGTAGGCACTTTCGAATGATTGGAAACCCTCGGGAGCGGAGAGCAGAAACGGAGGTGCATGGGCACCCCGTTTGGCCATATCGATGAAGGGTCCCTCGGCGTGCCATCCCAGAAGCGTGGCCGATGATCGCGTAGAATATGGGCGCAGCAGAGTCAATATCTTGGGATACAGAGACTTCTCTTGAGTCTGATGGATTCTCGATCAGTGGAAGGTCGTATTTTCGAAGAGCTGGCTCACAATCAGGGTTGGGACCAGTCTGCAGTATTAGTATGAGCTGTTTCCTTCAGCGCGGATTTACCAACAACGCACGAAGTGACCCCAGTCTCGACGATCTTCTCAGCAACCAATTTCATGCCCTCTCGGTATGCCTCGTCGTCTCCATCATAAACCGAAAAGTCGAACCCGTAGGCTCCATTGATTTGAATGTCAATTAGGCCCGGACTGGTGCGATCGTTTCTACAGAGGACTTGCTGAGCTTTGTGCAAGCACGTACCTCAAAATGTTTCCAGCCAGATCTATAATCCTGTCCGGACGCTGTCGCCTCTCGAAGAAAGTCCGCTGTTCTACGGTCAGCTTAATATGAACAGAATCCCAAAGATGTCGAACACCTGAGCATCCAATATGATGCCCTTATCCTGGTCTATCCACAAGTCCTTCTCTATGAGACCCCCATCTTCTTGGGGAAGCAGGCAATTCGTGAAGCACACTAAACCGTTCGACATGGGCGCAGATGGAGAGGTGAATCTAATCTACATGTGGGGCTCTGCCGACCGCGCCACGCCGATTAGACGGGCCATCTATGAGAACCTATCGGATAGAAGACAGATCTGGACTTCCGGCCTTTATCACGGGTGTACGATATTCAACTTCGGCCGTTTTGGTCCCAGTCGCAATCAGCGCTGCGGAGAAAGACACATCTATGGAAACGCGTCACCGAAACTCATTCACGTGTCGCGCAGGATCGGCGTGTAAATAGGTAGGCTGTAGCAGAAGATAAGCATGGCTGAAATTTGCTGGCCGATGCCAAAAGCGGTGCACGCCGATGTCATCTCAAGTAGTATAAAGCACTGATCGATTAGGTCAGCGAGTGATGTGAGCAATGAGCGGTTCCAAAATACGACAACGCAAGAAAGTTCAAAAGGACGTTGGCGAGCCTTCGACCCAGCTAGAATCGGAATCAGATAACGTAAGTCGCGGTCTCATTCACGTAGCTTCATCGCGCTCAACGGCCCAGCCTCCCGAATTCGACTGTGACCTCTCCAAATATGTCAAGATTTTGGTCCTACCGATTCTACTAGCTCTGGGGGTCGTGCATTACCTGGTACGCGACAGCTTATGATTATTCAAGTCTACTGACAGGTTTCGCATCCTACGCAGCATCCTGCTCTGTTCAGGAACGCCGTTGAATCATACCTGGGGTTTGATCTCAACCAGAATACCATCTCTACGCCTGCGGACTTTTCCACCGACGAGGCGAAACGCGAGGCGATTGTGCACGCATTTAAGGTGCGTCGAGGTATAACTACCCTGTATATACACTCAACGTCGCCGTATAGCATGCGTGGTTGGCATATGAAGCGCATGCCATGGGTGACGATGAGTTTCATCCTCTCAGCCAGGAAGGCACCAATCTGACGACCGCTGGCGGTATCGGGTACACCGTGGTCGACTCCCTCGACACCATGCTGCTGATGGGCCTTACCGAGGAATACGAGCGTGCCCGGAACTGGGTGGCCAACACCATGTCCTTCGACCGGAACGCCTCCTTCAATACCTTCGAGACCACGATCCGCGTCCTGGGCGGCCTTCTCTCTGCTTACCATCTCTCCGGGGAGGATCCGATGTATCTGGAGAAAGCTATCGAGCTGGCTGATCGCATGATGCCCGCGTTTAATACCCCGTCTGGACTGCCGCTGTCCAATATCAATCTGGCGCTCAGACAAGGAATCAACGATCGCGAATGGCCCGAATTTGTCAGCAGTGCTGAAGTAGCGACTCTCCAGCTTGAGTTCCGATACCTCAGCTTGCTGACAGGCAACACGGAGTACTGGCAGAAAGTCGAATCGGTACGCGCATGGGTTCATTTCTTTGTTCCATTGCCCTGATGGTATCACCAGGTGATGAGAGTTTTGAAGGAAAATCTGATGCCGCATGGACTGGCTTCCATCTTCGTCAAGTGAGTGAAGATAGGTTGTCATTCAGGGACACACCCTCATCTGCTCCAGTTGGCGAAGCGGTGAATGGGTTCTCTCAGCCATGCGACTCGGATCAAGAGCAGATTCTTATTATGAATATCTATTGTATGGCCCGTTCCTCTGCTTTGCTTTCTGGCGCTCATACTTTGGAAAGAAAACAATACATTCAGACTGTATGTCATTCAGATTGCTTCTTGGTTCGGGTCCTCATCGTGCTATAGAACGCGAAAGAGGCCGTTTATCGTGATGTAGTGCATCCAAGACTGAGTGGAACTCCCTCGACTGACGTCTTCTAGATGTACACTGCGGCTATGGATGCCGTGCATCAAAACTTGATCAAAAAGAGTGCATATGCAAGTATGACTTACACCTCAGAGCTGATCCCAGAACGAGACGACCGTGGCGAAATGTGCGTGTGCTTGCTCAATGCTTGGCAAGGCGAAACTGAATGGGAGTAGTTCGTGGCGCTTGACACCCAAGCAGGACCACCTTGTCTGTTTCTTTGGTGGCTCGCTCCTGCTGGGCGCAGTAACCACTGGTGCCTTGATCCACCCTGTTTCGGTCCCCCCACGGCCGGAAGAATTGACAGACGCCGGTAAACGGGACTGGAAGACTGGTCTCGCTCTGATCAAGACATGCATGGATACTCACAACACCGCCACGTGAGCAGAATTGCGTCCACACGACTCCTGCTCACTGTGGGATCCACAGCGGACTTGCGCCTGAAATTGCTCATTTCCGTATAGCGAGTGATGGCATCGGTGCGGTCGTTTGCAAACCATCGTCCGGCGACTAACGGAACTATCTAGGCCACGATTCGATGTTCCCCACGGACTGGTATATCAAGGGTGCTCGGTGAGCGAGATCTTCCGACCTCGCCCACATGTTCTAGATCATACTCTAGTGTCAAACCAGGGGAGTTGCCGCCCTATGACGCAAGATACATGCTGCGGCCAGAAACAATCGAGTCGCTTTTTCTCGCTTTCCGGCTCACAGGCGAGTTGCTCTCCAGTCTGACCTCATTTGAGATTCTCATCGGACCGCAGGCGATCAAAAGTACCGGGACTGGGCCTGGCAGATCTTCAGATCGATCGAGACTCACTGCAAAGTCGATTCTGGTGGTTATGCCACTATCATCAACGTCGATGAAGTGCCGTCACGCAAGGAGGACAAGATGGAGACCTTCATGCTGGTTTGTCGGACCTCGGATAATCCACTGTGACGTTGAACGGATTCCAGAGCGAAACACTGAAATATCTGTATCTGATCTTCTCAGAGCCGTCGGTGCTACCCTTGGACAGTAAGTGGTGCACAGCTTTCTCGAGGACGCAGCTGATGTCGGACCTTATCAGAATATGTGCTTAACACAGAGGTGTGTTCGTTTTGTGGGGCCGAGCTTCTGTCGCTGATGATCGGTTTGCAGGCTCACCCATTACCCATATTCGAGATACCTGCGGACTTTGGCGGTTAGATGTACTCGTGCATAATCATGTTTATTTGCGGCATGGGGCATGGGTGAGTGGTGTTACAACAGTTCCAAGGAATTATAAGTACATCTAGTGTGGTCCGATATGGGTTTAAATGAATGGTGGTATGTGGGACTAATCATGGGTTATATGGTAATGCTGATAAGTTATTTCGCCAGGACGGCGGCGTACGTCATTCCTTTCGATAGGCTCTCAGCGACGGACTCCTCGTCATCGCTGCGATAGACATGTTCCCACGGTTCGTCTGCGAGGACGTCCTGGGGAGCACTGTCCTCGAGGACGATCACAGAGCGCTTGGGGATGAATACAAAGTCGCCTTCTGACCGTACTTGAGTGGTGCAGTCATCAGGCACAGGGGAGGATAACGTTACCTGCGCCTTTACGTGGCTTGCCAGATTTGACCTTGAAGTCAGAGAGCTTCAACTCGGGAAGCTTCGGGGAACCGAGGGGGAAAGCGTCGACGTCATAGCCAGTGTCGTCGAAAGCGCCGTCGAGCGAGTCGACCTCATCTCGTCGAAGCTGCTTCTGCTTCTCGGAGCCGAGTGGCGCTGTGTTCCGTCTGGACGACTTGTACAGCTCACCCTTGCTCAAGGCAGCCCAGACGCCCTGGCCTTTGTGGGCCTTGGTCCTCACGAGGTCTGCGGCGCGCTTGACTCGCTGTCTATCGTGCTCAAACGCTCGCTGGTCCTTGACGGACGCTAGGAGTGGCGATAACGTCGCCAGCGTGCTGTCCTTATCGGCATCAGGAGTCATAGCAGGCGACGCAGTCGTAGCCACAGCGGAGTCGGCTTGGGCAGGCATCAGTCGGTCGTGAGTGTTAATGGTGAGTATGTAGTGGTTGGGATCAAGGAGCAGGGGTCCTGATAACGGCCATTATATACGCCTGTCAGGCTGGGCCAACAGCACGGAATTAGCATAGCAGTGTCTGTGCTCAGCGAGTCACATGTCTTTGATAGCCTTGGTCTCCACTATCCTCACTAAAGCCGACTTGGCTTCTCTGCCCCCACAAGATAACGAGATATATACCATTTCGAGAGTGTTTCGAGTCATACGGAACAGCCCGCGCCAGCAGCTCGTATCACCGACTTGGGCTTGCCCACAATCGTCTGAAACCCCGGTCAACCCCCGTGCGCACAGGCACGTTCGCCCCCCTGCATAATACCCCAGACCAGAAACAGCGTTCCCTGCCCTCACTGCATGCTTATTACGGGGCCGAGTACGGCACGATGTGGCACCTGCACGGAGGCGATGAGTTTGGGCTCGATCTATTGTGGTGCTCGACTCACCCGAGTAGTCCGCGCCCTTCCCACTGCATGGGCGTCAGTGTGAGAAACACGAACTGACCGGCCCGAAGGACCTTCAACGGTATCGAGCGCTGGGGGATTGTTAGTCAGTCTCGCGCCTCGGACTTGGCGGCAACATCATGGACACGCACATTCTCGTGCGCGCTCACGACGTCCACCAAGGGCTTGAGCGACGAGGAGGAGAACGACTGCTCCGTCAGCGTCCCGAACTTGACCACCAGGTCGTTGCGCAGCAGTCCCTGTGCGCGGGGGTGTTATTTAGACGCCCAGTAGTGTCTACTCGAGTGCTAATGCGACGCACCGCGTACGCTGCAGGACTCCCCGGCGACACTCCGTCCACCTTCGCGAAGGGTCGGGCGCTGCTAGCCGTGGTCGAGTTTCCGGCAGCAGACTGGGCCGCAGCAGCCGATGTGGGGTCGTACACAGCCTGCAGGGCCAAAGCGAGCTGATTCATGAGAACGGCCAAATCATTCCGGAGCTCGATTCTGATGGAATTCCATGTAATTGAGGACGCGGACCGGGGTAGATAGAACAAGTAAATTACATGCGTATACGGGCGTGGCGAACCTAGGAAAAGAAAGCAGGTTCAAAGATGCGCGTCATGAGCCGAGGGAGAGAGGAATATTACAGCGTAGATATCGATATCTGCTCGGGGGAAGCCCTCCGCATCGACGAGGGGGGAGTCGAAAGTGGAGTTGTTGGCGGCGAGTATGGACAGCTGGCCCCGAATCTGACCCTCTACATTATCTTTCTGCGACATCAGGGCGCGCGCCATGTCTGCGGACGCCATGGCTCTGAGCAACTTCGAATTGCATCCGCTTACGGTCCTCGCCGCTTACACACACTATGCCGCACAGCCACATGATTACTCGGTCAAAGAACATAACGGTAATAGATGCTGCGATCTCCGAGACGCTTCTGTGCTACTTCATCCTCATCACTGTGACTCTCCCCTTTCTCTGTCTCGTAGTCGGTAGTGAGAGCGTCTCGTCGTTTGTTCTCTCTGGACATGCCATACCACAGCAGCGAAGCCACGACGATCGCAAACAGTAGGTAGCCGATAGAAATAATGTGTGGTTTCCGGAATCTGTGATTCGCAAACTCGGGGCGATAGATCAAGACACTGTCGAACTGAGTGCGGTATAAGCGACATGGGAATCAGACTCACCCTGCGATGGCTCCAATGTCTGTGCAGATGAGATGAGCAATTGGCGGACACTGGCGAGGAAGGGCATACCCCCGATAGTGATTTGCATGGCGACACTGACAGCACGTTTAGTTTGACCAGAGACATTCTCGCCTGGCCAACTAGGACGACGTGAGAAGGGCGAGCAGAGAGATGGCGCATATAATCACCTCAGCAACAAGGCATTGCCAGTATAGACGCCCGCGGCGGCGAAATGGACCCCAACATACTGCCCGCCCACTGAAATTCGGTTCAGTACAGATCTCGGGAAAAGAAAGCAAGCTTAATCACCGGTCGGTGCAGTTATAACGACGATATATCCTTCAAAAGCCCGGGTTAGTGGTGTGGTTCAGCGCTCAAGTTAGTGACGAACCAATGATTGCCACAACAGCCGAGCCGATGATGAAAGGAGCTCGTCGGTCGTACCGAGATGATAACCAAACAATGAACCAGATCGAGAGACTAGCCAACGCATTCGGAGGGACTGTCAATCTAATGGAAACAATCAACTTCTGGTGTGCATTCACGAAGATGATAGACGAACAACTGGGCTTGCCAGCTTGTGAATCCTAGTCCGGCAATGATGCTGGGCTGCAAAAAATGACATTGAGAGAACAGTCGTGCAAGAAAACAGACATACCAAGAATAGACTGAGCGAGTATAACACAAAAGCGAATCCATGGAACAACAGGGCGTATCCCCAAACGAACTTGTCCTTGAACGCTTGGAAAACAAATGCCCATTCGAATGTTTCTGATTTATCCGCATCCGAATCGGTCTTGAGGCGACTGAGAAGGCGCGCCCTTTCCTCGTCTGTTAGCTGTGGAAGAAGATCATCGAGCCAGGACTTCAAACGTGCGATGCCAACGTACGAATTTCGCCTCGTGTGCCCAGGTCGGGACGATGAAATAGGCGGCACTGTAGCGAATCAGTCGTGGATTGGATCCTCGTCGAGGAAAGCGACTCACAGCGAGACCGCAACGGTGATAACCTTCGCCATCGATCAACGTGAACATCGTACAGAAAATGATAGTCTTACCCCTTCAATAATGAAGATCCACTGCCAACCTGGACGGCCTCCGACACCCTTCATCTTTCCTAGTCCGTACGCCAGGATTCCTGACAAACGTTCTGCCCAAACAGGCTATCCCGACACAAAAGTCACGTACCACCAAAAGCACCAGCAAGGGACGACCCGCCGAAGAAGACGGCCACGCGCCAGCTTCGTTCACGTCTGGATCATGATAAGCACAACCGGGGACGCAACAGTCCAGAAGGACGCACCGACGGTAGTAGACTGAGAAGAGATATATGACGCCCGGAAACAGGCCTGCCTCTGTGACACCAAGCACTTCGGGTCGTTTAAGCACCACGACACACGATAGCGAACGAAGCGAACGAACAGAATCGGATGCCGAACAATCCCGCCTGATTCTTCACCAGCCCCTGGCAGATGCTGACGACACCCCAAGTCAGAGTCAGGGTCGGAAGCCAGAGTTTGGGGTTGAAGCGCTTGAGACTACACAGAGTGAGTCCTTCCTCAGGATCGGCGAGAAAAGTAAACAGACATAATCTAGTAGGGGAATGTTCCTTAGGTTCGAACGACTCCTGCACACACTGCACTTACATTGGCAGGGACCTCGAAGATGACATAGGCAACAAAGTAGAGCGCGAGAGCTGTGTTGTAGTGCTGGAGTTCTGTTAGAACCAGAGATACTCTTGGGACCAGACTTTTACGGGCGCGGGCACATGCAGATCCTTAGTGGTTTGAGCACTTGCTTCTAGTCCGCGCAGAAGAGACGCACCGCAGTTAGACCTAAAAGCCTAGGCAAGAGTGTCTCGACATGCTATTCGCCTTGAATCAATCTCACTGGACTCACTTCGCATTGCCGATATTGGACCTGCACAAGAAGTCAGTCGCGCGTCGTCATTGCATGGGCAGCCGAACCGGTCCAGGAAACTCAAAAGATATAGAAGAGTCAAGATCGGGACGATACTAAGCGCACGTGAGTGAGATGATAAGATAACAGGTCTGAGTACGCACCGAAAGTCAATCTTCCGGACCAATTTTCGATCGAGCTCGGCCTGGTGGCGCTCACTTTCATGCGCAGTTGACGGCATATCTAATGCGGGTTCGGGATCTTTCTTGGGCAATCCGTCATTTGAACGACTGAACGATGAGCACCTTTATGGGAAATTGGCGTATACGGTGATATTGTCGCCATTGATGACTCGATTGCGTGCTTTTCCATAATATAGCCTGAGAGCAGTCTCAGGGTTGACAGTGAGATAAGGATCGGACATGGAATAGCCGTGCGCTTGTATTGCGAACGAAAACGCTGTGGTGACGGTTTGGATGCTGATGAGTCGATACAGGGGACTTCTCCTGATTTGGAAGGGTCACGTGTACAGACATCACCCTACTGCCGACGCTACTCAGTACTCGCCAGCATGGAGGCATTGCTCTTCAATGTATGCACGCGTAACCCCTCGTGAACCTGCGTGTAATAAAACTCTTACGACAGGTGGATACTGGATTTCTCGAAGGGATTCTGAGGGGCTACAAGTCGGGCATTCTCACCCAGAATCAATATGCCAACCTCACGCAATGCGAGAGCCTTGAGGGTACGCCGATCTGCTCTGTCGCTCCATTCACTGCTATAAACGAGTTTTAGACTTCCGGACGCAGCTATCCGCCACTGACTACGGAAATTTCCTTGCCAATGAACCCCTACCCATCTCGACCTCCACTATTGCAGACAAGGCAACGCAGATCCTGGTCGACCAATTCAACTACATACGGAGCAATGCCGTCGCGCCGCTGAGCAAGTTTCTCGACTATATCACGTACGTCTGACATACCGAGGCTCGGCGTTGGCGAACTCACTGCGCACAGCTACGGATACATGATCGACAACATCGTTCTCTTGATTACGGGGACCCTCCACGAACGCGACACGCACGAGCTGCTTGACCGTTGCCATCCTCTGGGCGTCTTCGACACCATGCCTGCGCTATGTGTGGCCACGAACGTCGAGGAGTTGTACCAGACTGTGCTGGTGGAAACACCTCTCGGTGCGTTCCCAGTCCCACTGCTGAGGCCATATATGAATCTGGGTATCAGCACCGTATTTCCGAGACTGCCTTGCAGCATCTGACCTGGACGACCTCAACATTGAAATCATCCGCAACACGGTGTACAAGGCGTACTTGGAGGACTTTTATCAGTTCTGTTCCACCGTTGGTTCTCCCACCTCTGAGGTGATGCACAAAATCCTCGACTTCGAAGCGGACAGGCGGACGGTCAACATCACGATCAACTCGTTCAACACAGAGCTCTCGAAGGAACAACGCGCGAAGCTGTTCCCAGCCATCGGGCGGCTGTTCCCAGAGGGCAACAACCAGCTGGCCAAGGCGGACGACATGGATCAGGTCCGGGCCGTGTGCGAGAACGTGTCGGAGTACCGGTCGTTCTTCATCGATTCCTCTTCGAGTGGGGGCGGGTCCGGTGGCGACAGCGATGATCTGGGCGCCGCAGCGCAGCTGGAGGACCGATTCTTCCAAACCGAAGTCCATCTCAACAAGCTGGCATTTCTGCAACAGTTCCAGTACGGCGTGTTCTACAGCTACATGAAGCTGAAGGAGCAGGAGATTCGGAATCTGACCTGGATCGCTGAGTGTATCGCACAGGATGCTCGCGACAGAATCCAGGACTTCATACCCATATTCTGAACGTCTCCCCGATACACTACGTAGCCACTATGTTAATTGTTGATATGATCAAGGACAGAAGCCACCCTACATGTTATTCGGAATCCATCCTCGGCGCCGGTACTCTCCTGATAGTTTCGGTAGTTCCTATTCGACGGAACAGTGTCGGATCGTCATAGATCAGTGTCCGACAAGGTCCTGGGATCCCGAGCCATCCCGAGCAGCAGCACCCGGCAATCCGATGAAATTGACGCCGGCCGCTTGGATGTGCCTGTCCTGATAGGTTCATTCAAATCAGGGTGAAAGGAGGTCGCGATTCAGCTGAACGTGTAGGTCGCTGTCGATGTGGAATGCGGGCAAACGCGAAGGAAGATCTGAAGATTCATGGATACCGTGTGCTAGATGTATACGAGCGGGTGCACTGTGATGAGAGTTCAGAAGAGGAAAAGGAGGGACTCCCCCGGTGGCCTTGTAAAAGTCCGCTGCAAGACTGCCGTCGTATGGGGCCCGGCAGTATAGAGCACCGCGAATCCTAACGGACGTTTTACCTTCAGTCATTCCAATCGCGATGCGTTCAAATTTAGACCCTCTACTCGGACACCTCGTATCTTGCGGGATAACACATGTCTGAACAGCCGTGGAAACAGTTCTTGATACGCCGACGCGGGAGTTTATCGGGTCTCAATTTTGGAGACAAGGCGAGGGGTCATGACGGAACAGTCGGAACAGAGAGGATACTGGCCGGGGTGTCTCATTTAGTTCCACCCGATGGACACTGGGACAAGCTCAGGTCTAGGTTTGGTCCCGAGGGTCCGAGGGCCGAGTCTACGCGAGTGTTACGGATCAATCCGTTGACCTGCCGACCAGCACACGGAACGCCACCGTTTCGAGGGACGTCATAATTTTTTTTCCAACTCGCCTGCGCAGCTTCTCTGCACCTACGCGTGCCGTTATGCGAGAAAACGCGACCTGGTGTACGGCAATTTCCCCGCCGCGTGGTGGCTTAGAAAGACAGCCCACGTACTGTACTGTACGGTAGGTCCGACTCTCAGTTGTCGCTTCAAAACTGGCCTGCAACTTGCCTCCGCTTTCGGAATCAATGATATGTCAGATTCCTTGCGGTCATCATCAGGGGCCCACCTTAAGCACATTCTCGGTCTAAGGTCGACGACAAAGGACATGGTCTGTTTTAGGAAAGGATGATCGTGATGCAGAGTCGGGGTCTCAGTGTCACATTGTTACGGTGTCATAGTCATGTCATCACGTCTGCATAACATGACCGTGCCGTCACGTGTTCCAGTAGACACGACGCGTTCCCTGATTCGGGATGCGCACGGGACGCGTTCTAAGTGATAATATTGGCTCGATACTGGTGGAGGTGCGTGGAAAATATCAAAATAAAAGAGTAAATCGAAAGAGGAAGAAGTGGAAGAGGGGAGGAAATCGGAACAGTTTGCCCCGATCACAGTCGATGTCGGAAGCGTCGGCGTTTGGATGCCGGCGGCACAGCAACTACGTGTTAGCAAAAAAAAAAGTGCTGTGATCTGTTCCTCGAGCTCAGAGGCCACTAACACTTGTTCCATTTGTCACAATAACTCCTTACATAGAATGGCACTAGAAAAATTACATGATTTTCCCCTGGCAGGAGGCTCATCACAAGTGCCTTATTTTATCTAGCGGAGTTTGAAGCTACCTCGCGGATCAGATGCACCAAATTAGAGGACATAGTCTGCAATATGATTGCCCTGCCGAATCTCTGATTTCAGCCGTTTTTTCACATATCGGTCCGTCAGAACTGACCATAAATGAAATATTTTTGAGACATCGACAGCAGATTGGCCTGGTCGTACCTCCACTTGCACCTCCTCGAGGCCAGGAGCTATATACTGAGTTCATATTTCAAGACAAGGGCAGGGGATTTCCCTGAAAGCGGCGCAAGCCGAAGGGCTCGAGCGCGCCGCCATCAACGACGAGCACGCTTATGACGTCGGGAACGGTCATCAGAGGCTTCCAATAAGCATATACACGTCCTCGAGTCACGGAGTGCCAGGACCCCAGCACACCCGATCGATCTATCAGTCGAAACAGACCATGTCCTTTGTCGTCGACCTTACTCGGTCTACCATTTCAAGCTGCCGGGAAAGGGAAAACACTGAAGAATGACTCTCACTCGAAGCTTCGCTCTGGTCTGTGTCGAGAAGTATCTAGTCAGGGCTGGCAATGAGCTGCGTTTCTTGCCGAGCCATGCATTGATCTCAAACTTTGAGGCGAGAGTATGAGGCGAGACTTGAGTGGACTAGGTGTGCATTGAAGATGACATTTCTTTGAAAGGTCGCGTAAGTTTTTACCAGTTATATATGATAAGGCACGCGTTGTTTGGCCCCCCCAACCTTTCTTCCTTCCACCATGCCCCTCCCGCATAGATCCCGTGCCCTCTCCGTAGCACTAGTGGCTGCTGCAAGGGGCAAACCCGCCCCCCTGCTCGACCTTCCCACCGAGCTCAGTCTAGAGATTGTAGAGCTCAGCCTGCTCGAGACCCATTTCAACACTCTGGCCGCGGTGTCGCAGGCGTTCAATGCGCTTGTGTCCTTCTTGCTGTACCGCCGGGTCCGGCTCGATACCGCCGAGCAGCTGCAGCGCTTCCACGCGACGACGCGGACCAAGTCGCGCGAGTTTCTGGAAAGCCACGTCAAAGCGCTAGTGGTCACCGTCCCCCAGTCCTGCCTCACGCCAACACTTCGGATGCAGCTCGCGCAGATCTTGACCTCGTGCTGCGGGCTGCGGGCGGTCTTTGTTACGCGACCGGGGGCACTGGCGCAGTCTGGGATGCCGAGCTGTATTACCGAATGCTGCATCCGACGGTACGATCCTGTGGCCTGGACGCACGCTGGGACGGCGTTTGCACAGAGCGTGACGCATGTGCGCACAGCCGAGCCTGGGGAGGTCTGGGCGTCGCCGCTGTCGATCATGTCCCATTTTGGATGGCCGCCGCGCATCACGCACTTTGCGCTCGCCCGGCGGGCAGATGCGAACGAAGAGAATGATGCGGTGTTTGCGGAGGAGGTGGCCGCTATCCTCGTCGAGCGCCCCGCGCTGAAGATGCTTGTTGTGTCGATCTTTCCGTCGCACTGGCCGCGACGCTCGAATCAGCCAGGTTGTGTGGAAGACAGCTCGATCTGGAAAACGCTGTCGCTGATATCGGATCGTGATTCCCGGCTGGTGGTCCAAGCTTCGGACACCAATAGAACGGCGGAGGCATGGCTGGATGCCCCGGGTGTAGATGGTTTCTGGCAGCGCGCTTATAGAGCCGGTAGAACAGATGTAGACTGATTCTCGTACGCTATTTCCTTATAGAGCTTTAGGGTGTTGAGCACGATGCATCGTGTGGCGGTGCGCCATCGCCGGTCTTCTCCACCCATGGCAGCGTGTTTGAGATATACTCGACGTGTGCGGTATTTGCGCGCACTTGATTCTTCCGCTGACTCGTGTCTGGTGCAGGTCTGGAAGTCCTTCCTGGACAATAAAGGCACGCGTTCCGAGGATTGACTGACAGTAGGACTTACATGCGTCAAGGGCACGATACGCAGTGTTTCCCGAACGTGAATTGTTCTTTTTCCCGCCGATGCATCTATCTGACTGGTGGAACGCAGCTTCAGATTCTGAATGCTACTCCGGGGCTGGTGAACGCGTCTTTGAAAGTGGAGCCATACAACTGTGCGAAATCATATGACCTGCTCGGTGCCATACTGAGTTTCTTCGCTGCGCAGTGAATCGGGTTGGGGTAAGTAAGCTCTTGTCAAGTGGGCCATGTGCAGAACACACTAAACTTTGATGCCCCAAGACAGGTTGTTTTTCTGTGTGGATCGCAGGGCTGCAGCGTGGCTGATTCCACGCACCCAGTGCACGGGGGGCTGATCCTCTCGCTGACCGACACTCTGGGCTCGCTGGCCGTCGCTAGCAAAGGCCATTTCATGGTACGCCGGACGTCGAAGCGCGGGCTTGCATTCATCCCTGCGTCTTCTGCTAGACGGGCGTCTCGACCGACATCGGATCTTCGTTCTGCCGGCCGGCTGGGCGCCCCGGAGACGTCCTGCACGCCAAAGCACAGCTGATCGCGATGGTAAGCAGGCTGCTTTGCGGTGTAGTTCGTAGGCAATCCAGTCGACCACCCCCAGGGCAAGCAACTGGCCTACACCCGGGTGGAGTTTACAAATCCAGAAGGCGTGCTGCTCGCTTATGGATGTAAGATTCTTGGCTCGTGTCTGGCGAGCGACGACGACGACTTGGCGCTGATTCCGTCACAGATCACACCAAGTATGTGGGCAAGTCCGGATCTCATCCTGTAAGCAGGCCATCTTGTAGCCCGTGCAGGAAAGCTACAATTCGCGCAGAACAACGTGTCCTTCACGGAGGATGGCGAGCGTGTCGTCGACGGCGAAGACTTGGATGTGGATTAAGCAGTAGACATTATCATCATTCTACGTACGTAGTAGACCAGCGTGAAATTACAAGTACAGTTGGGAGATGTGCAACGAGGACTTATGCGAATAATAAGATGCGGAAAGATGGAAGCTGCTGCGATATATTGCGACGACAGATGAAGGAGAACAGCACACCATTCAGAGCTTGAGTTCAGTCAAAACGCGGCGGGCGAGCATTTGATACTGCCAGCCATCACCGCCAGCTCGTCTGAACTGGATCCCGTGGAGAGGAATCAGGGGCACCTACACATGCCGTGGTAAGCTGGCCGTCATGTAGAGCAGTCTGGAAAGATACACACCTTGACTACATTGATCTCGAAGCGGACGCTGGCAGAGTCGTGCGCAGCCATCGACTCGAGTACCTCCCGATTGATTTCTCCAGTCGAGCCCAGTGTGGTTGGGCTGACGGGTCCCGGCACGAAATCAGATGGTATAGCTCGCAGATGGGACTCGAAAGAGAAAGCCGAAGATGGCACCTGGCCATCCGTTGTGGCATTCGTGGCTAGGGACGCACGCCCGCCAAGCTCGTCGGGGATGACCAGAGATTGATGGTCGTTGGATGGATAGAGAATGGTGCTCAGCGGCCGAGGGACGTTGCGTCGTTTGAGAGAGGGAAAGTCGCGGTCTTGGCTCTTGACCCGTCGCACACTGAATGAGAGCTTGGACACCCGCTTGGACAGTCCACGACGCGATTGTGTTGGCGCGGGACTTTGATCGCCCGAAGACGGGAATTCGTGCTGCTGTTGCGAGTCCGACGCTTGAGTAGTGGGCGAGTTGAGAGTGGATGGGGCGCTGGGAAGAGATATGCACTCGAAACCGGTCTTGCTTTGCCAGTATCGAACTTGCATGCCATCCAGCACGCGCCGGATGTCTGCCTTGATCACCGGAGCCGGTTTCGTCGATGTGGTTGACACGCTGTGGGAATCAGTATCTGCCACAAACGTTGGTCAGTGCGCGGACTCTTACCTGAACAGCCCTTTCAAGTACACGGGCTTGGCTTCCCTCTCCACGGTTTCGTCTCTTTGCCCATCCAGGTCGGCCTGCTCCTCCTCCCATCCGGCTTCCGGCACGGTCCCCGGAACCTGTCGCTTCTTGGGCATCGTAGCACTCTCGTATCCAATGACCGAGCTCCGACGATTCCTCCCGACGGTCGCGATTCCGCCAAGAGCACTATCGCGCAAGGTGCTGCCCTCCCCAAACGCGGTGCTCCGCCGGCGTTCGTGGCTCGTGCGGCGGTCGAGAATCGTTGTGGCGCGTCGCCGGACGCTTCCAGATGTCTGGGGCCCGCTGCTGTTCTCCTTGTCGTTCTCGGCTTGAACGGGGAATGCAGGCTCGGGAGGGAATTCAGTAGCGGGAGTGGTGACCGCTGGCGCGTTCTCGACCGGCTTGGGAACGATAGACGTGCCGGTAAAAAGAACACTGGTCCTCTTCGACTCTTTTCTCCTCCTCCTCCGGGTAGCGGTCGGGCTGACGGGCTGCTCCTGCTCCTTGTCGTCGGAATACACCTCGTCGTGCCGGACCGAGCCCAAAAAGATGCTTCCAAACCGACGCAATAGGCCTCCCTTCTCTTTCTCTGACGAAGGCTTCTCGTGCTTCTCCGCCGGCAGCGAGGCTTGAACGGTTGTATCGGTCGATTCTTTTTCGTGGGCGGGCGCTGTTTGCTCTTGTGTAGGCTGAGTCTGTTCTGGCTCAACCTGTCCCGACATATGTTCAGGCACAGGCTGTTCCGGCTCAGATTTAGGCTGCGCCGGAGCAGATTCAGGCTGTTGTATCACAGGCTCGTGCGGCGCAGGTTCAGACAATGCAGGAGCAGGAACAGGAGCAGCAGCGTTTGTCTCGAGAACTGGCTCTGGAGTCTGAGCGACGCTGTGATCATGCCCATCCATAGCAGATGCTTCCGATGCGGGCTCTGCGGCTTCAACCGCTGCCGGACTGGAAGTCAGCCAGACGGCCGAATCGGTGCGAACCGGAGCTTCGGGCCGAGCGACCGGCACGATTTCAGGTTCGACCACTTGCAAGGGCTCTTCAGGTGGCGCTGGCGGGTCAGCCACACGGCGGCTGATCTCTTGCTTTTCGACCTTAGGAGCCTCGAAAACTTCATGATGGATGATTTGCTCCGCGCGGCTGGATTCCCGAGCGATCTTCTCTTGCGCGAGGAAGTAGATGCTGATCAAGGGATGGAAACCCATCGTCGGATCGGGCGGACAAGGCTGCGGGGTGGCTGTCGAGCCCGAAGCTGTTGTTGAACTTGAGGCCGAAGGGGCGAACAGTCGGCGATAGAAGTCGAATCCGCTGAACCTCCGGCGCTTCGCGTCAGTGGGCGACGCAGGCGGCTCTGTGTCTTCGGCCGCCGGCTCCAGTGCTTTGAGGGCCTCCTTCTCCTTCCGTTCGTTGTAGAATTTCACAGCAGCGGCGTATGCGTCGCTCTCGAGAACATCACGTAGCTTTTCGACGACTTCCTCGACATCTCTCCCGAACTCGAATCCAGCCATCCGAGCAACGACCTCAGGGTCAATGTCTTCGGCACGGAGTGGCACCCGCGTTGGGAGATGCGTTTCGGGCGGCGCAGAGTATGGTGCTCGGAGGAACCAGGGGTGCGACATGATCTCAGTGAGAAGAGCTCGTTTTGCAGGAACGGTGACGAGCATGCGAGACAGCAGGTGCTTGCATTCTAGCATCCAGTCAGAACCGACAAAAGAGGAAGAGCGGAGGAGGGGCATGCGGACCTGGACTAAGCCACACTGGATATTCGGCCAACCCTCGCTTAATCTTGGCATGTAGCGCAGGCATACTCTCATCCTCGAACGGCACCTTGCCGCACACCAAGGTGTAGAGTACGACCCCGAACGACCAGATGTCCACCTCCGGACCCGTATAGAGCTTCGCGTTCAACAGCTCCGGAGCCGCAAAATATAGACTGCCGCAGAATGTAGATAGATGTGAGGCAGGGTCGTACAGATTCGACAACCCAAAGTCGATAATCTTAATGTCGCCCCGGTGGTCAATCAAGATGTTCTCGATCTTGAGGTCCCGATGCACAACGTTGTTTGCATGGCAGTACGCAAGCGCTGAGGCTATTTGACGCGCGAATTTCCGGGCAATGGATTCTCGCAGCCGACCGTGGGATATGATGAAGTCGAGGAGCTGGCCGCCGTTGACATACTCGAAGACCATGTAGTAGTGGTTTGGGTGGACGATGAGCTCGTACATGGCGCAGACGTGCGGGTGGTGCAGCAGGAGTGAAAGGCCTGCTTCCCGTAGTGTGCGCACTTCCCTGCTTGCGTCCTTGCTGGCTTCTTTGGGAGTTTGGGGGGAGGAGTTTCGAGCCCGGGGCAAAATTTTGACGGCGTACTGCGCAAGCTGTGAGCACGCGGCTCGCTGGGATGTGTGCAGAGGACGGGACAGAGACGTACAAGTTCCCCGGTAACATTGTGCGTCGCCAGCTTGACCTTTCCCATCGACCCTGCGCCAAGTGTCTTGCTGAGGGTGTAATCCCCCAAAATACGGTTTGTTCTCTTCGACCGGTGTCGCGGAGGCGGTATTTCCGCCACATCGTACTGGTGCGAGGAACTCATCGTCAAGGACGTCAGGTCAAGAAGTTACTGCGGAAGCAAGAAGGAGGCAAGATGAGGGGTATACTGTGGGTATCGTTACCGAGCTGGACTTGTCACCAGCGCGAAGGAGAAGGGGCGCATGCCGGCGGCGGGCTGTGTCTGATGACTTTTCTGATCATCTCTGTCTCGAAGCGAAGACAGCCGTGGCAATCATGATCCCATCTTTCTTTCCGCTTGTATTTCCTGTCTTTTGACTCTTTTCCTTCTGCGTTGCTTACTTCTCTTCCTTTCCGTCTTCAAGCTCAACTCTCCAGGCTCGTGGCCCAACATCCAACATTCACACGGAACGGAGCACGGAACCAAGAGTCTCGTGGCGGATCATGAACCCCACTTGGCCATCAAAGCTTCTGGTGGCTTGACGTCTACTAACGCTCAAAAGAAATGCATCCTTAGATCCACCTCGTGATAAGGTTGCACCCCGACTACCGATAACTGAGTGAACGCAATCGGTACTTACATCACTTGGATCCGGTTTTTAATAGCTGCGGGCGCCCTGAACGTTCAAGCTTTCAGGCTTCAGGCTCAGGAATCAGTCCATCCTGTCGCGCGCTGAGAATCCTGCAATCGAACCTTCATATCACGGTCGTAGCCTGGACGACTCCGTGAGCATGAGAAAGAAGTGTCGTATGCAACGAGATCGGAGCTGGTGCTGTGAGCCTAATACTAATAGAATAGAGCTCGGTGCTGTCTAGTGCTGTTAGATCTCTTGGTCATCTATCGTCCTTCGAACAATGGCAAGTCGAGCATTGCCGAGCCCAAATGCAACTGGAACCGCATCTGCGGCCCGTTAATCCGAAGGTCGTGTGTGCTTGTGTATCTCTCACGTGAGTGATTAAACGCGTTGGTCACAAAGCCGTGACATGACCCGACATCCACCAATTGCTACTTACATCCTCTCCATCTCTCCATGCAAGTCCAGTGATCTGACCGTAAAGCATTTCAAACGCGCTCGTGAGTCCACCTTTGACAAAATCCCCTATCCTTGGCTGTGGCCTAAATGCCTCGGAAGCCTCCCTTGCCCACAACGCGTAGCTTGCTACACGTTCTGCACGCGACGCGATGCCACCTCCTACGCGTACCGCTGCCGAGGAAGCAGAATTCATGAAATCTCTAATGTCTGAGATGGACATGGACGACTCGTTCTATAACGTCACTCTCACCCCCGACCCTACCCCAATAAAACCCAAACTTCAATCCGACGCGTCCCAATCCCAACGCAGGTTCGAGTTACCCAACGCCATCGCTAGCACGTCAAAAACCGTTTTCCCGAGAGCGCTACCCGCCCCAGCACCCGTGACACCTACGAGGAAATCTAATTCCGACGTGACGGTCGGGAAGAAAGTCCTGAGCCCGAGAGAGGTGGATATGGAGGCGCTTCTCGACGGCGCAGAAGACTGGGACTGGTCAGATATGAATACAGACTTCAATTCGCCAGTAAAAAAGAAAGCGGCAGTACCTTTGGTCCGTCGTCATTTCCGACGGGAATGTGTTCCCACTGATATCACTTGTAGCCTCCGTCGCCTAAGTATACATCCCCTACACATCTTCGTTGCAACGTGTTGGCGGTGTCTGAGCCGGTTGTAGTCAGAGGGAAGCGAGAAAAGGCGCGTTTTTCTGGGGTTCTCTGACATTGTATTCCAACCGTCATTTCAGCATCTTACTGTGGATATTGGGGGCGGGCGAGCACATGTCGCTGTGATTCTACACGATGATTGGGCAGCGACAGATGTAAGAACAGGTGAGCCGTCTCAAGTATGTTGAAACCCTATTGAACGCATTACAGGCGATACCGTCAACATTGTAGGCACCCTGGATGCCAACAATCCCCCGAGCTCAATCGAGGTCACATCTGCTCGGAACTTCATCGTAACTCATCCCGACCTCCTGCTGACGCCGTCAACGCTCGCCAACGCGCTCGAATGTCGGCGCAAACCCCTACTCTCGACTCTGATCCGTTCGACATCGGATATAACCCCGGCTTTGGTGTGGGGTAATATTCTCCACGAGGTGATGCAAACCTGCCTCAGCTCAGGACGCTGGGATGATTCGTATGTGGAGACTACGACGGAAGAGGCCGTGCGAGAGAAGATTGGAGATATCGCGAAGATCGACATGAGTGTCGAGGATGCACTGAGAGAGATCAAATTCCGAGCAAAGGGCTTGCATGCGTTTGGGGAGAAGTACATCTCTGAGAAACCCCAGGTGACTCCCTCGACTTTCCCCAAACTCAACGTCTGAGACGCGCACAGGGAGTCATGGTGAACACTCGCAGCAAAGCCGACGAAACACTGCGTCTCGGTATCCCTCAGCTGCTTGACATTGAAGAGGACATTTGGTCTCCCATGTGGGGACTGAAAGGCAAGATTGATGCTAGCGTGCTTGCGGTGGTCGAGCACACCGAGAGCCGAAATGCGCCGTTGAACATCTCCGCTGGTCCGACACCACTGGAGATCAAGACCGGCCGGCCGGTAGCTGGGCTAGAACATCGTGCTCAGACGATGCTGTACACGCTTTTGACCGAGGAGCGCTACGGTGCGGAGGTACCATCGGGCTTGCTGTTCTACACTCAGAGCGAAGAGGTCGTGCAGGTGACAGCCACCCGGACAGACGTTAGAGGACTTGTTGGTTTGCGGAACGAGATGGCTTCCTTAATGTCTCGGAGGCAACTCGGCGCTGACGAACGCTTCCTTCCGCCCACCATCGACAACGAGAGAGCGTGCAAGCGGTGCTTTAATCTCGATGCTTGCATGCTCTATCGTAAGGCAGTAGAGGATGTTGTCGATACGACATCGCCCATCGCCGACATCTATGAACAGAAGACCGGCCACATTACCCCGCAACAGGCTAGCTTTTTCAAGAAGTGGGAGGCTCTGCTGTCTATGGAGGAACTGGACGCCATCAGGCTGAAGAAAGAACTGTGGACTCTGGGAGCAGAAGAACGAGAAGCAAAGGGCCGTTGCTTCAGTTCGATGCAAATGGACTCGTCCTATAAGCCAGAGACTGTCAGGAGCAAGATCCACAAGTTCACATACAAGCTCAGGTGCGATGGCACTAAGAGCAAGTCTCTTCTGGAGGGGTATATCAATGTCGGGGACCCCATCACTGTTTCGGTGGAACCTAATCTGCTGGCCCTGGCGAGAGGATATGTTCTCGAGCTGAACGAGACGTCGGTGGTTGTTGGCGTGGACCACGAGCTATCGCTCGAGGCTATATCCACCCGGCTCACTCGATTTCGCAATACCGCATCTGTCCAAACACCCGTCTTCCGCGTCGACAAGGACGAGCTGTCGAGTGGAATGGGCCGCATGCGCGACAATTTGGCACATCTCTTCTACGCCGATGGCGATGTCCGGCGGCTGCAGTTGATCGTGGATCTGAAGACACCTCGCTTCTCCGAGATCGCGGCAGCGCTTCCGGCGCATCTGAACAAACACTGGAAGCATCTCAACGCGAACCAGCAGATGGCGATCCAGCGCGTCCTCGCTGCAGACGATTATGCGCTCATTCTGGGGATGCCGGGAACTGGGAAGACGACGGTGATTGCCGCATTGATCAGGATACTTGTGGGCATTGGCAAGACCGTTCTGCTGTCCTCCTACACGCATTCGGCGGTAGACAACATTGTGCTCAAACTCAAAGGCAATGTGGATTTTGGCATACTGCGAATCGGCAACGAGGATAAGGTCTGTGCACGTCATAGGAATGCAGTGTTTTGGCTGAGCGGAGTGGCCAGGTGCATCCAGACGCCAGAGAATTCACATTAGCGTCACGGCGGACTCCGACGACAGTGGAACAGCTGGAGCACCAGATCATGACACCCCCTGTTGTTGCTACGACATGTCTTTCAGTCGACCAGTAGGTGTTGGTTGATACTGTGTGTGACATGTTTCGCTGACCGTCTATCAGTGCTCTGTTTTCTCGCCGCAAATTCGATTACTGCATCGTCGATGAGGCGTCGCAGATTACACTTCCGACATGTCTAGGGCCGCTTCGCTTTGCGGAAAAGTTTGTGCTGGTCGGCGACCACCATCAGCTGCCGCCTCTCGTGAAAAACCCGCAAGCAAGAAAAGGCGGACTGGACGTCTCGCTCTTCCGGCGTCTATCGGAAGGCCATCCGGAAGCAGTGATCAACATGGCTCACCAGTACCGCATGAACGAAGACATCATGACCGTGTCGAATCGACTGGTGTACAAGGACCAGCTACAGTGCGGGTCGGAGGAAGTCGCCAAGCGCTCTTTGTCGCTGCCCAATCGCCACTTTTTGGATGGGCTGCATGCTGAAAAGCCGTGTCACAGTCAAGGATGCTGGCTCGAGCGACTGTTGGACGAAAGGTGAGTGCTCCTACAATGCCAGATCTCTGTTCTCAGCCCGGCTTCAGTTGCAAAGCGGTTTTTGTCGACACGGATCTGGTTCCTGCCCACGACTCGCGTGTCGGGGACCTCGTCCAGAATCCAGTTGAAGCCCAGCTGGTGCATCAAACGGTCGAAGCGCTCCTGCGCAGCGGGGTTCCAGCAGAAGAGATCGGACTGATTTCGGTCTACCGCCAGCAGCTGAAGCTCCTCGGAAGCCTTCTGTCAGACAGAAAAGAACTGGAGTTCTTGACTGCAGACCGGAGTCAGGGCCGAGACAAAGACTGCATTGTTATCTCCATGGTGCGCTCAAACGACACGGGCTACGTCGGCGACCTCATCAGAGACTGGCGGCGGATGAATGTCTCGTTTACACGCGCGCGGTCGAAGTTGATCATCTTTGGGTCCCGCAGGACATTGCAGTCCACCCCCTTGTTGAAAGAGTTCTTCTGTCTCATGGAGGAGAAGGAGTGGATCTTGACCTTGCCGGAGAATGCCGCGACTTTCCACACCTGGGCGTTCGGATCGGTGACGGCCACGAAGCGCACTGCTGAGGTACCGCTGGCGAAGGAGAACCCTTCTTCTGAGCGATCGCCAAAACGAATAAAAGTCAAGGATGCGACGTTGAGAGGCCGCCCCATTTTGCAGGATCTGGTGAATGAGGCTGCAGGATTTGATTAACCATATATACTATTTCATGTCATATCAACCGGAGTCCTGCATTCTACCGCATTTTCTCCCTGAACCTCGAAGTTCTTCGTAGTGTATCATGCTGTCAGTGCTTGAAGGAAACTATCGGATAGGCAAATTCAGAGACGCAAGCATTCGTGAAACACACTTCCTGGATATTTCCTATACTCTTTCGAATAGGGTAGCGGGTTTCAGGTCCAGGATTCCTATGGTGCACATGGGCTAAACACTGCTACTTTTGTACAGACCGGAATCCAGGTCGGAACAATGATATGAGTTAACCCTAACCCTATAACACACTGCCACCTTGTGCAAAATGGCCTGTGACCGGAATCAGCCACAAACAAAAATTTAAACTTGCTCATTTCAAATTCTATTGACAATCCGTCTTAGCATTATCTTATACATCCTAAACCATGCATTTTCCTAAGAGGGATTAAAATCGGAGTAACATCGAGTGAGGTAATAAGTTGTACAAAAGTAGTGGTGTTTAGCCCATTTGCACCATAGAGAAGCTTCCAGGCGCATGCCGCCAAAGTCCCAATATGGGCACAGTCACGAGATGAGCAGTGTGGCCTATGTAGTGTGGCCTGCGCTATTTGATCATCATGTGATCACTAACGCACGATCACGTGTCAACCATCGACCTTGGTTGAGTTTCCAACGTGCCAAGATCAGTCTCCCCAACATGTCCGCAACGCCTTCAACGAAACGCGCGCCCTTTACGCCCCGCACGACACGCGTCCCTCGCACGATCAGCGCTGATCTGAATGAACTATCATCGAGACAACCTCGCGCTACCGCACCGTCCGTCGTCCTCCCTGCCACGAAGAAGTACAAGGCACCACTGTCCTCGGGGGCACGGTCCCGCTCGAAGGGGCCTGTTCTACCTACAGTACCCGGGAGCCCTACGAAGTCTCGACCTCCTTCTCGCGCGGGATCCGCGATGGGTGGTTCGAGCCCTGCCCTCGCTCCGCTCTTTCCCCAACACAACGTGGAAGATTCCGTCGTCGACTTCCAAACGGTGGGGATAGATTTGACGGGAGATGCGCTGGCAGGAGACCTGAGCAGTATGTCGATTGCTGCAGCGGATGTGGCCGTCGATAAGGTTATGGTTTCTGTTCGGTGAGTCAAGCTTCCTTCTCCTGCCCAGTCTGTGCTTAGATTCTCTTCAAGCGTCCGTCCAGGTAGCAATTCGGGCCCGAGGGCATGGGCTATCTCGGACGATGATACGATTCAACCCTCTGGGGAACACGGCTCTGCCGCACCGACGCCGGCCAACCGATTCACGTTCGACACGATCCACACGACGATACCGACAGCACCATTGTACACCACGGCGGCCCGACCGCACGTGCACGCATTCATGTCAGGCTACAACGCGGTGGTCTTCGCCTATGGACAGACTGCGTCCGGGAAGACGTATACACTAACTGGAACGCCCGAGGAACCGGGTATCATACCCCGCGCACTGCGCGATGTGTTTGCCTTCATCAGGGCTACGCCGACACGAGAATACCTCCTGCGGTGCAGCTATCTGGAGATATACAACGAGACTATCTATGATTTGTTGGCGCCCGCTGCTGCGCAGAAGGGCGTTGAGATCCAGGGCAGCGCGGCTGGAGGGGAGATTATTCTTGCGGGGCTCCGTGAGGAAGTTGTCACGAGTTTGGCGAACGTCAAAGATGTGCTGAAACGTGGCGAGGCCAACCGGCGGACTGCGAGCACGGATTGGAATGAGCGGAGTAGCCGAAGTCACTCGGTGTTCCGTGTGGTGTGTGAGAGTCGGGAGCGTGGAGGGTCCAGGGATCACACAGAAGACGATGGGGTGAGCAATGGACGACATACACCTGGTCTCAGTGGTCGGAGCACTCCTGGACTGGGGGGACCTCGACTACAGGCCAAAGGTGGAAGGAGCGTCCAAAGCTCAGTGCTGGTAAGCTTCATGCAGTGGAGGATGTCACTTCGCTTGCTGACCTGAACACAGAGCTTGATTGATCTTGCTGGCTCTGAGCGAGCGACATCGGACAAAGACAGGACAAGAGAGGGGCGCTATATCAATACCAGGTCCGTGGATTTGAGAAACTGCATCAGAGGGCTTATGACAGCTCCAGTTTGCTCACTCTGGGAACCGTCATCTCCACGTTGGCTGAGAATGGGGCCAAGGGGAAGCAGTAAGTCGATCCCTTGCACTCGACTCATCCCGGGCTGAATCGTTGCAGCGACCATGTGCCATACCGCAACTCGAAACTGACTCGGATGCTCCAACCATCGTTGTCCGGGAACGCTCGAATTAGTGTGGTTTGCACCATCAACCCTGATTCGAATGCCGTGACAGAGACTATGAGCACGCTGCAATTTGCTCGGAGGATCAAGGGAGTGCAGCTCAACGCGCAAAAGAAGGAGATTGTGGACACGGATGCGCTGATTGAGAAATACCGGAAGGAAATCGAAGATCTGAAGCGCAGATTGGAGGAACGTGAAGAAGAGGCCGGCAGGGACGCACCTAGTTTGCGCACCAGGAGATTGTCTGCACGGGAGGTTCGTTGCCGCTTTGGTTTATTACTTCCCTGTGACTGACCCAGTGTGCAGCAAATCGATGAGTCGAAGGCCATGACGGACATGAACACACGAATCAAACAGCTCACCAAGCTGATCCTGACAAGTCAGACTGTGGGCAGTGGCGATGACTCTCGTCCAGCAAGCCCTGTGAAGGTTGACTTCGATATGTCGCCGTATCAGGTACTTCAGTCGGCACCTCATTGGAACAGGGCTGATCCATTTTCAGCTGCAACAAGAGTTACTGGCCGCACGACTTCAACTTGAAAGCCAATCCAACCAGATATTATCTCTCGAAGCCTCATTGGCCTTGACACGGACCGACAATCCCGACGATGAGACCGAGGACAAAGACAGCATCATTGCCGAGCAGGCTAAACGTATCAAAGAACTGGAAGCCACTATGCAATCACACGGAGAGCCGAGCGACAGGTTGGAGCGAGTGGAACAAGAATGGAGTGAAAAGCTGCAGAGAGTTGTGAAAGAGAAAGAGACATGGGCCAACGAACTTGTGCGCGAACTCGAAAAAGAGAAGAAGGTTGGTCTCTCCGTCCAGTCGCTTATGAGGGGCTGATCCAATGTCCGTTTCAGATGCGACAGCACTTGGAGGAGGAGCGACGTGCGCTTGCTGCGTTTGTCACCAAATTCGACTCTTTGGGCCTGGGCATGTTGTCTGCAGCGGCTTCTCCCGTCAAGCCAAGTCCCGGAAAGGCTTCGGCAACATTTGCCAGTCGAAGGGAAGCACGCCACCAGTCCAGACAAGTGGATGAATTCGAGTCGCCGATGCGAATGTCCTTGGATCTTTCAAGTAAATTTGGGGCCCAGCCGAGTCTATTGGAGCAGATGCCCGAAGAAGAATGGGATGCGGCAGCAGATGCCAGTTTCGAGGTCGACAGTCATGCCACTTGGCCCGCTCGCGTTGGGAAAACCGTCTTGGTCGGTAGCGGACCAAGCTCGCCAGCTCGCATATTCGGTCTCAGTGCCAAGGAGAACGTGCCTACACAGAGCAACTAGTCGTCGTGTATATATTCGCTTTGCAAATTCGTAACATTTCTGCTTTCGGTGTTAGATGAGCTTCAGCCGCATGCTCCAAGGCCGTTCACATGCTGCGTGGCTGTGTGCGCATGGCCGACTGCGATTAGTGTCGTGTGCTTACATGAGGTCACGAGCTTGATCCCTTCTCCACAGACCAGTTGAAACCTTTACACCCAAGTAATGTTGTGCATCGCCCGCCGCCGTTCAATCCCAACTACTATACTCCTCCGCTCTTTGACCACAGAAACTTACTCTACACCGGACGTCCCTCCCCCTCCTCCCCCAGCGCCGAAGCCCACCTCTAGATCTCGGTCCCGCCTGTACCCGACTCCACGTCCAGCAGAGCCTCTTCCCTACTCCCCCTTACCCAATCTTCCGCCGACATTTGGCCGGAATCAGCTCCTCCCTGTCTCAAACTCTACGCGTGCATTATTGGAAAGCATCGTTGACAAGTTCGATGCCCCCATTCGATATGCGTTCGCGTATGGTTCCGGCGTGTTTGAACAGGACGGGTATCCGGTGAAGGGGTCACCGACAGAGGGCCCGATGCTTGACTTTATGTTTGCTGTGACGCACCCTGCGCACTTTCACTCGATCAACATGCATCAGCACCCCTCGCATTACACGTTGCATGCACGTCTACTGGGCTCATCGTATGTTTCAAGGGTGCAAGAAATTGGTCCAGGAGTGTGGTTCAATGCATATGTGCCGATGAATGGGGTGGTATGTCGGAGAGCTCCCTTCTTCTATCAAATGTTGACAGTCTGCTGCGTTAGACAATCAAGTACGGCGTGACGACAGTTGACAACCTCTGCTCTGACTTGCTGAACTGGCAATCGCTTTACCTCGCTGGTCGAATGCACAAGCCGTTGCGAATCATCAAGGACGATGCGCGTGTGCGATTGACCCAACAAGTCAATCTGACATCTGCTGTTCGAGCCGCACTGCTCACGCTGCCTGCGGAGTTCTCAGAGACCTTGCTATTCGAGCGCATAGCAGGAATCAGCTATATGGGTGATCCACGCATGCTCTTGCCAGCTGAGAACCGGAACAAAGTTGCCAACATCGTGAAGGCCCAGGGGCCCCAGTTCAAGGAGCTGTATCATCGTTTGGTCACCGGTCTTCCCGGTGTCCATTGGCCGATGTATCTCTCCACCATCAAACAGGACGTCAGCCCTCATGCTCGAGCTGCCCATCTCCGCAAGTTGCCTGCCAACTTGTTAGCTGGTGTGCGGAACAACTTCGATCGTCTTGGCGGAAACCCGTATGATGTTGACGAGAGTGCTTACTGGATTCGGTTGGCGAGTGACGAAAAGCTTCCTGCTACTCTTGGCCATGGTGTGCATCTCTCGTTCACACTGGCTATGTCATTCCTGATCGATAATAGAATTGAGGGAGATCGTACGCTCCCCAGCGACTGTACAGTCACTCAAGGGAGTCGTCAGTGCTGGCGTCGGGAAGAGTCTTCGGTACAGTGTGGCAAAAGTGGGCAAATGGTGGAGTAGCTCTTCGGCCAAGAAAGAGACATAGATTGGGGATGTGGAATAGATGGGATTAATCAAAGTGTAAACATCATATTTAGTGTAAATTCTACCATCGAGTGAAGGCTATAGTATCTCGAAGGCTAGTTACTTGGACTTCCCTTGTACTCTGCTGGGGCCGGTCCATGTGCTGTGCCTTACCGGTGAGTTGGTTGTCATGGAGATCAAGCGGGTCACGCCGAAGATCGACTTGAATCAACAATCGTTTGGTCAACATCTTCAAACCTTGTCAAGTTCCAAGTACCTCTGCTGGCTGTTGTGCTTTCCGTTCTGTTCTCTGCCCCTTCTATCCAGTGCTTCCTTCCCTCGCTGTTCTTATCTTGGGCCTAGTCCCTTGAACTCTTTGCTCTCTTCTCTCTGAGACTACCTGACATGTCTCAGGAAATGTACGAGACAGTGGAGGCGTCCCCTGCCACCAGCCGCACAGTCGCCATCATTAAGAATCATGCTCTCCGTCACCGGTTCGATATCGAAAAGCGTATACAGGAGGCAAGCTTCGAGGTAAGGTTTTGCTTTCCCGTGGCATCCCATCCTCTCATACAACGAACGCAGATCGTGAAAGAGCGCCAGATGGAGTTCGACGTCGAGACGGATCCTGAGACGTTGGAAGAGCTGTTTGGAGAGGACGCACTCTCTTTGGGGGAGGGTCCGGTATGGGTCTATGTCCTCGAACGCAGACGGGCGGTCGAAGTTTGGCAAACGCTGATGGGCCCTCGAGACCCCGAGGTGGCTCGAGAGGACGCTCCCAACTCTTTACGCGCTCTTTACGGCATGAGCCTCGTGTCGAATTGTCTCATGGGTTCCCCGGACGTACAGACTGCCGAAATTCAGATCGCTTCTCTTTTCGCCTCCTCGCCGCCCTTCCGGACCTCGGAGCTACCTGATGTCGACGGACAAGGGCAGTTCGACACTTTGGGCTCTGTCTCGTCGTCGGTGATGGATGCCCTCAGACGCACGGCCTCCGATGAAGGCTATGCGCCCTCCAATCCGTCCACGACGAGCCGGTCGGGGCCGGGTGGCAAGCTCCTCTTCAAAGCACGCCCTATTCCTGCCACTCATACCGCACCCGACATCGTCCCGAGAACAACCCGTGCTGCTTCTCTGCGCGCTGGAGTCGGTGTCGGCGATCGGAGCGGGCCTGCGGCACCGCGCGCACCGATCTCGAAAGAGCGGATGGCGCAGACCTTTGCCAACGTCCCAGGTCATAAACGCGCGGCGTCCATCGCGGTGGCATCAACGGCCGCGCCTGTGATTGCTCCTCGGATGACCCGGGCGGCAGCGCTGAGGCTGGGACTGCCTCCACCGGAGCCTGTCAGGAGGGCCTCTTCTGGAGGAACGCCCCAAGGCACATTTGAAGGGGTTGCAGGTCACAAACGTCGGGAGACTATTGCTGTTGCCTCGACCCAGGCCCCGGTTGTTGCGCCGCGACTGAACAAGAGTGCTGCTCTGAGAGCCAGCAAAGACCAGGCCCCGCCCTCATCGTTCCAATGTCAGTTCCCGGTGTCCTTTTCTGCGATCTTTGATCTGACATTGTAACAGTCCGCAGTCCTAGTCAACCGAAAGTCCCTGGACTTTCGCGCAGCAACTCGACGAGCTCTCTCTCAGGACGTCCTTCGCGTCCGTCTTCCGCTGCGTCGGTCGCCCCGCCGAGCCGGCCTCCTTCCGTTGCACGGGCGACGTCCGTGTCCCGGATCTCCGCTGTTCCGCCTCCCACTCTTTCCGCCCGCAACGGCTCTAGTACGCCCACTGCCGAAGTACCGTCACGTGCCAAGCCCAGACCAAGCAGCATTGGCGCTCCGACCATTGCCCCTCGGACCAATCGCAGCGCAGCGCTTCGGGCCGCCAAGAAGGAGATGGAAAACGCCGCGGCGTCCAGTGCTGCTGCTCGGAAAGGCTCCCGTCCTGCTCCCAGGCCCAGTGCCATCTCCACGTTTTGAATATTCTCTTATCTATCGGGAATTTGGAATCAACATTGCTACTTGGAAAGTGTCTATACTTACTCACCTACTGCAAAGCGCTAGACGCTATTGATTATGTCTTTCTTATTGTGTTTTTATCCTCCTATCCCATGTATCACACGAGTTGTCGCAAGAGCTCAATCAAGCCTCGCTCTCGCCCCTTCTGATAAACACCCATCCAAATTGTCGGATTTCATCTCCCTTGTCTCCAAAGTACAGGTCGGTTTCATAGGCCCAATGCAAAGTCCCAGTTACAACATCCCGGATCCCTTGTAGAAAGTGCAGCTCATCCGGCGATAACACCACCTCCGGCTTGACCTCTTGCCGCGTGAAGATGTTCCACAATAGAGTGGCGACCGAGACCGAAGCCGGAGGGGCAGGACATAAGTGGGTCGCGTCCACATCGAAGGCCTCCATCGACTCTTTGATGATGCCAAATGTGTGGTTCACTGCACCCTGGACAGAAAAGCTTTTCTCTGTACACAGGATGGAGACGACATTGAACGGATTCCCCACGAACTGGTCATTGTTGTACGACAAAATGTCCTGGACGCATATTCAGAGGAGTGGGTTAGAGGGGATTCTGTGTACCTACCAGAGACAGTGACAAAGCGAGGTTCGCATGAGCGATGAGAGTATCCCACGGTCGACTTTCCCAAGGTAATTTGAGACCCTCTGCCATTTCAACGAGACTAAACAATATTCCGATCCCGCTTGAGTCGCTGCACAGGCGGATGTATTCTTCCGCAGTTGGAAGAGTGTGGTTGGCCCGGTGTTCCATGATTTCATTCTGTGCCCTTCGGAATGCTTTCAGAGAGAGTTTCAGACGGTCTTTGGAGCATTCTGTGGGTAAGGATTCCACAATAGGTCCTAGAAACCTGTCTTGACCATGAGTACTGATGCATATAGAGCGGCGAAAGGCGACTCACGGCCCCAGAAGTTCGTTGTCATCGATTTCATCATATTCGTCAGTGTTCCCTGCCCATCCGCACTGACGCAGATTGAGCGCACTTCGCAATCGCGTCTTGCACAGAATTAATGCCGTTAGAGCATCCGTCGCAATTCGGAGTTGACGCTGATCACAAGTGGGTAAGCAGGCGGCAGCCCACATGCCTATCCGCATCCTGGGGACATAGCTCCGTTCGTTTTCTGACAGTGTTTGTACGCCAGCGAAGCAGCCCTCGGACGCTGAGGAGACCGAGTGGCAGTTTCTGTTCATGCGCAGATCAACCCCATGAACCAGTTTCAGGAAATCAGGCAGCTGAAAGCTTGATCTTGTGGCCATTTTATGGGGGGAGTCGAATCGTCGGTCGGGTCTGGTAGAAGATGGGGAGGATACCCGACTGTGAAAGGAAGTGCATACTCCCGACACGATCACGGTAACGTGATCCATGCGGCTCGGGTGGCCGATGATCTCCGATTCACGTGCCCGTGACGAAGTCCCTACTACGTCACCCACACGCCGTCTCTGCTTGCTTCGATGTCGTTACGCCAACGCATTCCGTTCCGTGCAGATGAAGACACAGAAGATCGGGTCGTACTTGACGAGGTCGAACAGGACGAGGTCATCGACACGTTGCACAAAGAAAACACGCGATCGACCGCCAATGCTCTGCTGATCGTGGACACGGTCCTCTCCCTGGCCTCGATTCTCCAGCTATCCTTTCTCTTCAATGGAAATCCACTGCTCGCACTGTTCCCTCCATCGACCATGTCCAACCTGGGACGATATACAATACCTTACCCTGCTGTCTTTGTGCTTTTTGCGCTAGTACTGCATGCCAACCTCGCATTGCACCTCCACCCGGCGTTGATCCGAGTCCTGCTGCCATCCTACTCCAATTCGACACCTCTCCCAGTTGCGATTCCCTTGTCGTATCCGCTGACGTTCTCACTGGCTGCGGTTCCACCAACATTCTGTCTGTTTCTTCACCACGCGTGGCAGGCGAATGCATGGGCAGCCTCTCCCTTCATTGTGGTGACCCTGATTCATTCTGTGCACGAGACACTCTCAGAAGGAAGCGAAGCGCTCGCTGAATTGGAGTCGCTGAGATATCGGGCCCCTGGTCCATAAGCTCTATCCGAAATCATACACATAAATATTTTTTATTCCCCGCCTTACTTATGTTCAGAATCGGGTTCAGATCCAAATGGTATCCGCTTTCTTCCCTGGAATGTCCCAAGACTGATGTTTCGTGCTCTTGAAACAGGCCGGTCGTCTGGTCCGACTGAAGACGCGCGATGCGATTTCGAGCCGGGGATATCGATGCGTCCTACTGCCCATGTCATCTCGAAGCCGGATTTTATGCTCCACAGCCAGACCAGGACGAATACAGGGGTGCTGATCAGCACGTTGAGCACGGCGAACAAGTCCGGATATCTCGCAGGAGGTTTCATCAACAACTCCAGGACGTGCAGCCCAAATGCGGCCGCGTAAACTGCGATGGAGACGAGCTGGATAACGGATCGCGTGGGAAGACGGAGGGGGTTGTATCCGATGAGCCGGTTCCAGAATGCGAGCATGGCAATGTATTGCACTGCAAGCCCGTCACGTTGGAGCAGTGGCCACATGCTGTCGCACCCCGAATGAGTCTATGGTTCAGAGAACTTGTTTGTACTACACACCTGAATACGGCGACGTTGTTAGCCAAAACCCCCCAGCCATAGACTGCAGAGTCTATCGGGGACACAGAAAGAAGCAACGTGATCGGCAGCAGGGGTAGCAGGATGGTCTTCTCGTGCACTTGGAAAGAGAAAAGGAAGAAGGACATGGAGGAGGTCAACATAGCATAGGGGAGAAGGGGCAATATCGGCGTGCTCGATGGAGGCTTAACGTTAGTCGTAAGCTGAGTTTGCCACGCGACGCGCAAGAGGACGACAATGTTCGGCAGAAATCCTAGAGCGGTGAACGCGGCGGAAAGTTTGACCAAGAAGGCAGGCGATGCCCAATTCTTCCATTTGAAAGCAACGTTCGACGCGCACCAGAAGTTCGCCACTTTGTCTTCAAACAATCCCCGGCCAAAAGGAAAGATGCGAGAGATTGGGTGCAGGATCGCAGAAACGGGGGCAAATGGCGGAAGAAATGGTAAAAACACAAGGAGGAACGCGAGCGATGTTACCAAAGCCAGTCGCACGAACAACCGCAATCTGCCAAAGGGATGAGCCAGGGCTTAGTGCATCGGACGCCCGTACCCATGCACCGGTCCAAGATAAATGCATTTAGCCACCAGATATCCTCCGATAGCAGGCGCGTAATAGAGCGCCATTTGCTTGAACCCCAAGCTTAACACGAAGAACCCCGCGCCCAGCAAGTCGCGTCCGCCGACAAAACAGTTGATGGCCAAGAGAGCCAATCCTTGCAACAGGTTCGATAGAACGTCCGGCTGTAGATAAAATGACTCACCTAACATGACAGAGTTGTATTGGTAATGCCCGAAATCAATCAGGAGCAAAGCAGGTTGAAAGAGCAGCATGATGAGAGCCAGATTCTGAACCCATAAGCAACACCAACACGCGTAGATGTCCAGCAAGACTTGCCTGAGATCGCGAAGAGCGTGCGGAAAGCCATGTGCGAGAGAACATGACGAGGGCCGTGACATATACGATGGCGTCGAGGACGAGCACAGTCGAGCGCATAAACACTTTGCTCGACGCGCTTTCAATCCCCCTTGATGTGTCCAGCGCGACCCAGGCCGGGTCTATCCAGTGACCTCTGGAAGAGAAGAACGAACTATGAGGAAAGACGCGTCGGAGAACTGGAAAAGCTCACACGATGCCACATAACCACGAAACATACGCAGTCAGCGGCGGATAGTCGAGACCCCAGTACTGCAAGTCGTAGGTGTACCATTGCAGGATGGGAAGGTGGACGGTCAGCTCCATCCAATGTCGCTGGGCTTCATAATCGCCGAACATCGGCGGCGTGCTGTGACCTGCGGACGAGAAGACAAATCAACTCAACACACGCGTGTCGAAGCGCGTGGGGCACGCACCGGAGTACGAGCCAAGACTGATGCACGCCCGGACAAATGTGGACGCAAGGAGCACACAGGGCAGAACCCAGCTCTTCATCCCGCGTTTGTGCATCCACCGGAGCCATCGCCGCGCCATGGACAGCTCCGCATCCTTCTCCACAAGCAAGGATGCTGCAATGGCCTGTCTCCCATCCTGGGCGCCCGTTTCCTTCAGCGTGTCGAAGAACTTGATCGTGTTGGCGGACAGAGACGAGAACCGCCTGCTGTTGGTCAAGCTACTGGGGACCGTGGGTGACACGGCTCGCGAGGAATTCGGGGAGGTCTGGCTGTAATCGACCCAATGAGATGCCCCACTGTCGAGGAATTGTCGCCGAGGGATAGGGGAGTGTATCTCGGGCCCATGGCTGGTGCTGTGAAGCATGAGTCTCGATTATTTGAGTGCGCTTGTTCCGCAGGGGCGTACGTACGACATGCGTGCGACCGAAAGAAGAGAGTTCACGGAGATGGTGCGGATGCGGTTCAGTCTGGGCGCATTTTCGGGGGGTAGGGATGATAATCCATCCATGATGCGCCGCTGCTGCAAGGAAACTCTCTGACCGAGTTGCCGAGGAACTGTGAACTTGACACGAGGTCAATCATAATGCCAGATGATTGACAAGTAGAGCCATCAGATCTTGAGTGAGCAGGATCCATGGCCCAGTCTGCGTCGTCGAGAACCCCGTGGGTCGATGAGATTGTATTCATAGCATTTGCAATAGTACACATATTCTACATGCATTCAAAAAAGATAATAAGCTAAGTCTCCCTACACGTCTCCAAAAAGGCGCTTCCTGAATCATTTGAGTTATCTTCGTCAGCAGAGTTCTCATGCGACTACGCAGCACGAAACTCACAAGGGCACAGGTGCGTCGCTAAAGAACGTCGGACCTCCCAGCAACTCCCGGCTCCACACATCCCGCAAGAACCACCCGACATGGCCCACAACGCAGCCGACCAGGTCGCCCGCAGCGGCCTTCCAGCTACCGTTCAGGATCCACGAGAACGCGACGAGAGCAATGGGCAGGTACGGCGCTGTGATAGTGATGATGCCGAAAAGAGATATGGGGTGGACGGGTGCCGCCGCGACCACATGTAGATGGGCACGAATGCTAGCGAGGAGGAGAGGAAGGGGAGGTTGAACAAGGGCGACAAAGCCTGCCGTCTCTCAGCTGGCGACAACATCGATGTAGGAGACGCGACACACCAGGAGCATGATCGAGGAAAGGAGCAAGAGCCAGAAGTAGTCCGCCTTGCGATTAGGAAACGACGATTCCTCCAGCATGCGACTGTATCTCATGCTGAGGGTGCGCGTTTGGGGTCAGCACTCGCGACAGAAGGGGAGCCACGAGGGACGTACAAGAAGAACAAGTGGAAGACAAAGTCTAGCGATATAGGACCGAAGTAGAAGAATGTGGTTCCGGCGCGCCACGGCTGCCTGAGATGAGAAACTCTTCGAGAACGGATGCACACGACGACACCGTACCTGTCCATTCAGAAAGTTCTTCGGACTGAAGTAGAGCTGGAGTGGTGTAACCAGCTGACATTGCTGCGACGTGTTATAGTGCGGCCAGACAGCTTAGCAGCTCAGAGGGCTCACAACGGCGAGACTCGTCAAGACAGACAACGCGAGCCATCCTCGGGTGATGGGAGGGATTTGTGCTACCCAGGCTTCGACCCCGACGGGCATGCTTGGAGAGAATTAGAAAGAGCGGGGGTTTAGAAGGGTCGGAGGATTGTAGCCAAGAAGAGCGGTCACCGTCAGCGGTCGACGTTGCCGGCGGCGTTCGTTGAACGTGGCCTTGATGATATCATGGTACACGTGATATCGCGTGAAAACAGATTTTATGTCTCACAAATCTAGGGAGTGAGAATCGCTGTGCTGGCAATACAGTGCATGGAAGTCGCGTCAATAATTCATCCATGCTACTCCGCAGTTTGCAGATTAGAAGCCACGCAGCCCACGCAGGACAGCCATTTAGATTACTTGGGCATCACGATCACTGATTTAGTAAGAGACTCTCCAGGGTGCTAATCTCGACCAAGGGGCCGCCCTCATCTCCTTCCGGGCCCAGGACGGAAAGAATCGCTTTGGCTTCGGTGAGATATCCCAGACACTCTCGTCGGGTGTCCAGGTTCTGCACAAGCAGTCCATTCCAGTACGTCTTGGCAAGCTCGAGAAGATGCAACCCTGCGAAGAAAAACGAGGTCAACTCCCGCGCCCAGATGATTGACGCAGAATACTTGCCTATCTGGGGATAATTTTCGGGATAGATGAGTCTATACAGCGCAAGAAGCGTCTCGCCGGACGTGAACGCCGTTTGGTAGCTCCCATCGTGGGAGGCGTTTCTGAATGTCTCGGCAAGCTGGGCGACGAACGATTCGTTGAGAACAGCGAGAAGCTCGGGTGGGAGCGTTTCGTCAGGATTGGAGGATGTTAATAAGGTCGAATCGCAGCGATTGGACCGTGCAAACTGCAGCAGATCGCGCGCAAGCCCAGTTCGGTCCGAAGGTTCCGGAATGCCCCCGGTCTTTCGAGGAACAGACAAGATGGGCAGCGGCATTGGAAGCCGTACGAGAATCGAAAAACTTGTTGACGCGATTGAATCAGCGCTGGATCCAGATACGGGAGACATATCTGGAGGTAGGGTGGTGGATCATGTGTGTCAGAGGAGAATGGCCATAGCTTACTTCTTCTCCTTCAGATATATCTTTTATGGCCACCACCTCCATCCTGGGGAGACATGCCTCTGCGAGTCTATACTTCACTACTGCATTGGGCAGACAGGAATGGTTGAAGTATCGGCTCGCAGAAGTAAAGATCCCGTGCCCAAAAGTATTCAGGTGCGAGTGTATGACGAAATTGTTATTCCCAAAGCGTGCGTGCAGACTCTCGGCGTCGCGCGGGGTCAGCCGAGACGTGAAGACCACGGGGACGACCGAACGCGTGTCGTCTGGGCCAGGTAGAAGATCCATGACGCGAGCACGAGCAGTTTTCTCGGCGGCGGCATCATCCATACACTCTAGCTGAGCGACCAGATGAGAGAGCAGCATGCTGTCGTTCCTTTCATGCTGTGCAAGCGCCTGGAACTGCGTGCCTGCAGTAAACTTGTTGATCCGTCTGGAAGCACAACTCAGCCAAGTCCCGTCCACAGTATACTCGGACGGCTCACTTGCAGATTTTCTTATGATGGAGATTCCACTGGAGTGTTTGGCACGGTGTCCCGCAATAGAAATACGCTGCACATCCCGTGCACCGTTGGAGTCGGGGGGAGACACGATGGCAGTGATCGCAGCGTAGACTTTTGTGATCGTCCAAGAGAAGAGTACAGAGAGCCTCTTCAGAGAGCAGAGTTGTCCCCGCAGTGAAGCTGCTGGTAGCAACAGCTTTGGATCTCGCAGGTCCTGATAGTGGTGCAAGTCGGACGTAGGCCATTGTGATCGGCGAGTCGGCCGAAAGACTCGCGCGGTCACATGACAACTGATTCGTTGGTCATTGCTGGTCTTTCACTGCATCTCGGTTTCGGAATGTTTCTCTCATCCTGTATCCCAGGATTAAAGCCATCTGAACGGATTAATCTCTCTATAACTATCCTATGGCTGTCTCAAAAGCTACCGACCAGGGATCATGGAGATTGGATGCGCCACGGCGAGAAGCCTCTAAAGGGACCGCATTCGAGAGTCTCTACTTCCGGTATTTCCTCCGGCGCCATGACCTCCGCTTAATATTCCGTCGATATCACCGATACCTTTATCATTGTCTCGGAGTTCGGTCACAACAACCACATGTGAGCACCATTCAGCCTCGAGACCAAACCTTCGATCCAGCATACCCGACGTTCTCCCATGCTCGCGCGGAATCCGACAGAATCAGTGGGGCGGTGTGTGCGATTATTTCTATGAGGGTAAACCTTAGAAACGCGCCGTACATGCACTTTTCAGAGCATTGCCATCACTAATCTCTATCGCCTTGATGCTAAAGCATACGGCTGAACACGTGAAGGGTTGCAAACTGCCAGATCGAGGAGAACCCGAAGGGATAACACGCGACTTCCGGGGAAACTGTACCATGGAGATCCAGGGAGCGCAACTGCGTGGTTTGCCCGGCACCCATCAAGTGCAAATCCAATGCATTGTATCATACAGTTAGATAACTCACAGACCGAATAAGATTAGATTAGATACCCACGATTAGCCGTGGTTGATAAGATACGATCACGAATCCCAGATAGCCCCAAATGCCGGAATGCCCCTGCTCACCATGCCTGGATGTATGCCGTCAGAAGACATCTCGGAAACTCGCGCGTGTGCTTACCATACACGACCTTCCGTGTCAGCTTCTGATTGGAAATGATGCAGACCTGGGACCGGGGTCAGCGGTACGTACACCGTGGGCGTGGGGGCAACAACTCACGGCTTCGGCATCAAACTCTTTGACCAGGCGCAGAGTCAGCTGTGCGGATGTTCATCGCTGGTCAGCAGGTCAGGGGAGGGAAAACGACGGACCTTGACCATGTCTGGCTTTCCGTGCTTCTTCGTGTCTGGACAAGGTTCGAGTGAGCACAGCGGGGCGGAAAATGGGACGACAGGCAGACGAACCGTAGATGACCGACTCGGGATTGGCTTCGAGGATCTGGTCCACGAGATGGTCTCCGAAGGTCTGTCTGACGTTCGGGGAGGTCCAGAGCAGGCGAATCGGGATGCGTCTTTCCAAAATCACAGGTGCGCACGGCCCAATTCCGCTGCCTGTGCATCCAAGTTTCAGTGCGACATCCAGAGACACACAAGCGAGAGTATTACCTGTTGCCACCAACACTATCCTGCGGAATAGAGGGGCGATGCGAAGCACGCCGAAACACGGGACCCCGCGCACCCAGACGTGGCTCGGCGGCTCACAGATTTGGGCCGCCGTCCAGTCGCCCGCCTTGGACACCACGAGCGAGAATCCGGGTTTGTCTGGCTCGGGAATCGTCGCGAAACCGTGCCAGTCTTTCAGCGGGTGGTCGGCAAGGCGCACGAAACTCCCCGCCTTGGGTGTGCAGTAGTCAAAGTGCATGCGCACCGCATGCGGAGACAGCACTTCGCTCCGCACGGGCACCTTCCGCAGCCGAGTCCATGGCAGAATGATGGAGCAGGTCATGGTCACCAACAACCAGAACGGAGCAGAATGCAACAGCGCGCTCCCCAGTGAGAGGCTCCCGCGGTAGTCGTTGGTGAGCGAAACGACCTGGGCCCAGACCAGGGCGATGCCTGTCCAGCCACAGAATCGGTGGATGCGCTCGAACGTGTCGTGACGTTGGCTCCGGAAGGCGGGCATCGCGAATATCACGATGCCAACGAGGAATGCGAGAATCGAGTACGAGATGGCGACCGTGGCGACGGAAGCCTAGAGTCTGGTGAGCTACGATGGCCTCCATCGCTCAAGAGACTTACCCCCAACTGACGCTTCTCCGCGACTTCTTTCGTAGCCTGAGCACACAAAAACGCGAGCCAAACCACGCCAGACATCGCGCACCCGCTGTGCAGACCACCGATGTGGTACACCCTGTAAGAATGAGGATCTCTGAAAACACACAGGCAATTATACGACATACCTGGCACAAACGCGGCGGATGAACAGGGGCCACGAAGGAGGGACAGCACAGCAGACATTGAAGAACACGTTGATGACATAGTCTTGTCGCATCAAACTGTATGCAGTTTAGATGGAATGCAGATTGTGTCTGATGAAAGACAACTCACATAGCGCAAAAGATATTAGAAATGGCGATTAAACCGAGTCGTTGTGAGTTGGCCCCCTTGACCGCAATCCAGACCAGAACAGCGACGTTGACCACGAAGACGACCCCGAATAGTCGTCGGTAAAGACTGAAGACCTGGTGTCGCACGTTGCGGACAAACTTGCTGGAAACTTTATCGGGGACTTCATCCTCCTCGTAGCCAGTCCACAGCTCCGATTCAACGAATTCTGCCTTCGTGCTGAGGCTTTCTGCCTTTTCTGCCTTCGTGTTGAGGCTTTCCGCATTTTCCGCCTTGGTGCTGAGGCTTTCCGCCTTGGTACCGACCGCGGAAACGATTGTCAAGCCATCGGATGAGGCCTGTGCAACCGTCTCGACCGCCAACTGCTTGAGCGCTCTTCTGTCCGTCTTGTCGTTACTGGGTAACCAGGTCAGGCAATGTAGTCACAGAACGCGGAACTGTGTTACTGTGTCTTGGGGAAAGACTCCAATGCCATGATGCGAGTGGGGACAGCGTAGTAGGGCTGTATCCGCGCGGTTGCCTTTTTGACTTCTGCTTCCTCGACTGCTGGGGTCACGAAGCCCCACAACTCGCCCTCAATCAAGATCGCGGCTGCTGCCAGGACATTGGGAGTGGTCTATGACGAGTGGGCTCAGCATCAAAGCCAAGATGGGATTTGAGAACGCGGTACCTCCATGGATGCAGCAATACCGTCAAGCTCGACCCGGAAACCCTGTAGTAGCCGGTCAATTTCAGATCTCATGAGTGGAGTGTGGATGAACAACCTTAATCTTGACCTGGTCATCCACCCGACCAAGATGGTCTAATGTGCCATCCTCCCGCCACGATCTGTAATATTGGAGCCTCAACTTGGCAAGAAGACATCGCCACTGACCCCATGTCGCCTGTGTTGAACATCTTGGAGCTACACAAGACGCTTGTCAGAAGGCTGTGCATCGAACGGTGAGTGGCCACTAACCCATTTTTGGTAAAAGGATCCTCAGTGTACTTCTCTCGCGTCTTGTCCGGGAGATTTAGATATCCGCGTGTCACACAGTGGCCACCGGCCCACATAATTCCGGGGACACCGACTGCGCACGGCTGGCATGGGATCAGGAGAGCTGCGGAGGGCTGGGATTGCATGACGCACTTTCATTTCATCATCGAGGACATAGACGTTGGTGTTAGGAACAGGTTTCCCAATGCTGAGAGGGGTGCCAAGGACGTGCAGATGCATCGTGTTGACAATCGTGACTTCTGTTGGCCCGCAGCAGTTGTGGAAATTCGTGCGTCGGCCCCACAGATCAGCCAGAGCTGAATCAAGTGAGCAAGGAACATATGCAGATGAAAGAAAAGGTTACCCTGAGGACAAGCCTCTCCGGCAACTGCCACGGTTTTGATGTTCGGATAGTCAGCCGGATTGTGTGGGTGCAACATCGAGGGCGTTCCAATGACCACATCTGCCTTCTTCATGGTCGCACGCCACTCCGCTGAGGACTGACCGCGAAGGACCAGAGTTCCCGCGTTACATAGACTGACCAAGATTTCCTGAGAAGCATGAGATGGGCACCACCTGATCGGATCAAGGTGGATTTACCCATGCAGCCATGTCGAATCCAATGTTCATCAGCTGAGAAACTCGCATTCCTGGAGTGATTCCCAGATTTCCTGGCGCCAGGCAAACAACTGGGATCGAATCAGCACGAGCACAACTTCCCGTCTACTTGAACTTACGATTTGTCACGTTCCGATGCATGACATCAACCTAGATAGAGTTAGAGCGTAACCCAAAAAAAACAAGATGAAGCCAAGACTTACACCCTTCGGGACACCCGTGGTACCTGTGGGATGATGAGCGCCATGTCATCGACAGGATTCAGAACTCTAACCGCTGGTGTATATGACATAGACGCTGTCCTCGGGGGACGATTCGTCGTGCTCTGGCAAGGCACATCGCAGACTCCCCCCGTCGCAAGGGCACGGCGCGTCGTCAAGATACACAATATTCACGTTCTCCGGCACGAGATGCAGTCGGTGATCGAACTTGTGGACCGTCATGAGGATACAACATCGCGAGTCTGCGATCATGTGCTGCAACGCAACATCTGAAACCACTTTGCCGTCACATGGCACATAAGCAGAGTTCGTCTTCAGGACCGCAACAATTCCGACAATCAGTTCGACAGAGCGATCGCCTAGAATGCAGACGCGTTCGCCTGCTCGAGCCCCGAGACCTCGCAGGCGTTTCGAGAGACAGGTCGAACGCTGAGCGAGTTCGGCGTAAGAGATCGAGTTTCCGGTAGCAATGTCCTCGACGGCAATGACGCCGGGGTGGGAGACTGCCTGGGACTCGAATGCGTGCTGAACGCATTGAAACGGAGGGGCCACTGGAGACCCGAAAGCAAATAGAGGCAGATGTTCAGACATGATCGTCTGTATTGTAGTTTGCATTACATTGCGAGCTGTTTTATACCAAGACCAGCGAGGGTGGGATAATCTCCGGATTAGACAGTAGCTTCTTCAACGTTATGCGCGGCAGAAAGCACATGTGGAGCCGCATGACGAGCGAACCAGCCCACACTCTACCAAGACAAGGTAGTAATGGGGGAGGGTGGGGACCATGAGGGGAGTCCAGAGAGGAAACCAGACTCCCACGTCTGAGGTCGGCTTTTAAGAAGAATCCTATACGGGTTAATGTTATTTTTGAGGGCGCCAATGACGCGGACTGGAGGAGATAGAGAAAAGTCCGAAGTTGAGTCTTTCGTGGCGGCCACACCCGTAAAAAGGCCGATGCAGGGTCCGGGCGCAATGTCGGATCGAGTGCGTCGAGCCAACATGCAGCAATTATCCGTGTTGCGCTTTAGGTTAGATCGACCGGTCTGCAGATGAAGAGTTACGTCTTTCGAGAATCAGCCCCGTTGACAGACCGGTGACATCAAGCCTCGCTCTCACGCCGATCTCATTCGTCCTGAAGGCCCCCACGCACACCACGTCTGATTTTAGAAAAAGCCCTGGCGATGTTTGCCACAAAATCCCTTATCCACCGGGTATCGCCATTTGTTGCGTGCGTCGTGTTTGTGGGTGGGCAAAAACGCATCTCGTACGATTCCCTTCCTAAACTTGTCGCTTGTCTCTTGCCACCATGAGCCTTCACACCGCGACCACCTCAGCCCCAGTCAACATCGCATGCATCAAGTGTGTTGCTGTCATCTAGGCTGATATCCTCGGGCTAATAGAGTTTAGGTACTGGGGCAAACGCGATACTAAGCTGATATTACCCACAAACTCTTCCCTCTCCGTCACGTTGGATCAGGATCACCTCAGATCGACTACGACCTCTCGTGCTGATCCCTCCTTCGAGAAAGATCGTCTCTGGCTCAATGGAATCGAGGAAGAAATTCAAGCAGGCGGCCGCATGGCGACGTGCATCGCCGAGATGAAGCGCTTGCGAAAGGAGCTTGTCGAGGAAGTAGATGCGTCTGCTCCCAAAGTATGACGCTTCCTCTTCCCCCAAAACATCAGCAACTCACCGCGGATAGATCTCGGGCTATTTCGTTCACATCGCGTCGCACAATAACTTCCCGACCGCGGCGGGTCTGGCCTCATCGGCGTCGGGTTTCGCTGCTCTGACCGCATCGCTGGCGGCTCTCTACGCACTGCCCTGTCCCCCGACGACCCTCTCCCTCATTGCGCGCCAGGGATCAGGTTCCGCGTGCCGTTCTCTGATGGGTGGTTTCGTCGCGTGGAATGCCGGCACCGATGCCTCTGGTCTGGACTCGCATGCCGTCCAGATCGCACCAGAATCCCACTGGCCTGATATCCACGCTCTCATTTGCGTCGTCAGTGATGCGAAGAAGGGAACCAGCTCCACATCCGGGATGCAGCGCACAGTCGAGACCTCGCCCCTCCTGCAGCACCGCATCAAACACGTCGTTCCCCAGCGCATGACCGATATTTCTGCCGCGATCCTGGCGCGTGACTTTGACCGCTTTGCGGAGATTACGATGGCCGATTCGAACCAGTTTCATGCCGTTGCACTGGACACCTCGCCGCCCATCTTCTACATGAACGATGTCAGCCGTGCCATCGTCGCAGTGATCGAGGAGTACAACCGGATCGCGTTGCTGCCTGAGAACGGAGGCAAGCGTAAAGCAGCCTACACGTACGACGCCGGCCCCAACGCCGTCATCTACGCCCCGGCAGCCAACATCAAGAAATCATCAACCTGATCGTCCATTACTTCCCCCAGCAGGATGCATTCAAGGACCCCTTTGCCTTGTTTGGGACTGCCGGTGTCGGCTCTGGTGCAGTTCTCGCTGGATTCAACGTGAACGTCGCGAAAGTGGCAGAAGTCGGAGCTGTCAAGGGACTGATCCACACGCGGGTCGGCGATGGACCTCGCACATTAACGGAAGAGGAATCCCTGCTGGGAACCAACGGCCTGCCCCTCAAGATGGCTCAAAAATAGAACGAAGGAATTTCCACATGAAATACTCAGCAACCGGGCGGCTTGTGCATATATCATCATTTGAACGATTCCTTCTCAGGAAACTGATATTGGATGCGAGAGGTTGGTAACGACAGGAACAGATACGTAGGGTATTTTACGCGAGTGGGATAGCACATGTCTTAAGATGGTAGCAAAGCACTGTCATGAAAGTCCGACAGAACGTGTGATTCAGGTTCAAAGCATAGAACCGACAGCGAGGGCCATGAGGCCAGCCAGAACACCGACGGGCTTAAGGCCCATGGCGCCGCTGTGAGACGACGAGCTGCTGGCACCGGGAGCGGCGCCGCCGGTGCTAGTAGCGAGAACATTGGACGCGGTGCCCTGAATGCAAAACAATGGCGTCAGTCACGGCAGAAGATTGGCAGGGTTATAAGCATAGCAGGCAAGCGGCACCGAGTGACAGCGGAGCAGCCCAAAGGCCGCCGACAAGATAAATCGAACCACTCGAACACACCTTAGCTACTGTTGCGCTGGCGGTGTCGACGGGGGTAGCACTGGACGCAGGGTACCCGGCACTCAGCGGCTTGATCGAGAATTCTTTCGAAACGGCGTAAACCTGCAATGGATCACCGTCAGCCACCGGGTACATTCCGCAAGTCCGAAAAGTGTCGAACATCAGTAGCGTTGGTCGAGCTGGTCAGCACCAGAGTGTAGCCATCACCGGGGGGCGCAACGACGAGGTCGGCGGGGACACCCTGGATGCAGTTGTAGTTTTGCTCAACAGCGACGATGGCGGTGATGTCCGTCAGCAGGTTGACGTTGCTGTTGTTCATCCAGATGGTGAAGTCCGGGTGGGTGCTCTCGCCGCATGTCCAGACGAGGTTGTTAATTTGCCCGGTGACTTTGTGAGATGAGAAACAGCCACTCAGTTCGGAATGGAAGGGACGTACGCCACCACAGATCGGAACCTCCGGGAGCGAGGATGCTCAGGCCACCCGAGGAGAACTCGGCCAACGCGGTGTGGATGCCAGCAAGGAGGATAGCAGACTTGAAGTGCATTTTCGCGAACGAAGGAGGGGGGAAAGAACAAGAGCGTGAAGACTTCTCTATCAGTATTACGTGAGTCTGATTGTCACCGGACCTGGTGGCAGTCAGGGCCGGAAGGCAGCCGAATTTGTTCCGAAATGTTTCGAGCCAAATGGTGATTATGAGTACATGAGAGAGCAGATGAGTAGTACAGAATGTATGCATAGGATGAGATGAAGCAAAAGGATGGAAGACTTCAGTGGTATTCTATCACAGATTTCCTGGTAATGTACGAGTTTTGGCGCTCGTCTCGCTCCATTTTCCTAGGACACACTTTTAGATCGGCTCCTTGTTATGACAAAAATAACAGACCAGTAGTAGTCGAGGACGCCACTCTGAGAAAGTTTCGCAAGGAACTTTTCGTCGTGAGTAATAACAATGAGCTGGAAGTTGGAATGACTCTTGCGCTCATGAATGATGCTGACGAATGGTCAGCCGCTTGAGCGATGCTTCTCGCAGAATGGATCATTACCTGATCAAACTGGAAGCCAGAGCCTCGATATTTTTCTCATCCAAGGCATTCGTTGGCTCATCCAGGGCCAGAATGCCGCAGTTCTGCCCAAACGAGTCGGATAGCGCTAATCGGATGATGATGGATGCTAGCATCTTTTGACCGGCAGAACAGCGGCCTCGCATATCCATCTCGACTTGGTCCTTGGTCATGACCACCCGATAATTGTATGACCGTTTAGTAGCACCGCCCTCGGCATCGGAACGGATACGAATAGTGTCGATGTCTGCAAACGCTCGATAAATGGACTGGGGCTAAGACGTGACACTCACCGCTTCCTTGGTACGTCTTATTCCAGAGGTATTTTATGATGTCATTCACTTCCTCCATCTTGAGACTGTGGTATTTCATGATCGCGCTGCAAACGTCAATGTATGGACGTGGTGTACTATCTGGCTCTCAACTTGTCCAGAGCTTTCGCATATTTCTCAAGATCGTTGTTGGCCATGTCAGACATCTGAGCGCAAGTCAATACCAGGGACACACGCGCACGACTTGAAAATCCTGCGCACCTTGACTTTGATCAACTGGTCCTTGTAGTTCTTGTTTACATCCTTGAACTCCTTGAGATCCAACTCCTGCTGCTTCAGCTGGTTCCTGCTCGAACTCAGCTCTCCGGCCATATGCGCGTACTGGACATCCATCAGCTTATGATGCAGGCAAGCTAGAAAAGAGATACTTCGGTCTGCAGCCTGTTTTCCTTATCCTTGTAGATAGCGAACTTTTCGGTGAAGTTGCGCTTGGCCTTGGCTGCAGCAGCGATGTCCTCCTTGTCGATGTTCTCCTGGATAGTCTTGATCTCCTTGATCAGCCGACGAACACGCAAGTTCTCTCGGACAGTGGCCATGGCCGAACCCCGAGCGTTGATCTCCTTCTCGATGCCTTTGACGGTTTCGCGTGCGGCTTCCAGATTTGTTTCCAACTCTCGAATTTCCGTTGCAACCTCTTCCGACTTTTCGATGCATTCTTGTCGTCGTTGATCGCGTTTGTTGCGAACATATCTGCAGATAAAAATAGTGGGGTGAACAAACGATCCAGTTGAGCGCGAAAAACACCGACAATTCGATGTTCTTGTTAATCCCGTTCAGTTGGTCCACTCTCTGCGCCAGCTCAGAATAAGCTGTTTCTGCACCGACAATATCCGCATCTAACTCTCGTTGAGACCGCAGGTGCTCATTAGAAAGAGCATCAATTGGAGCCTGAAGCTCCAAAATCTTCTCATCCTGCTCCTTGACTCCAACAGCATGGGCCTGGCACTCCTCCTTCATGGACTGAATACTCATCTCAAGGCTTTCCTTCTCGCGGATCTTGGACCTGATGTCCACCGACTGTATCTCCATCGTGTGCAGTTCGTTTTCGTACACTCGCGTGGCCGACATTCTAGTCTCTCGTTCCTTGAGCAAACCTTCTTTCTGCTTCTCAGTTTTCCGGCTTTGAGTCATCAGTAAGACCCACATGGCGTTTACGATCTAACTCACATGACTGCCATCAGCTCATCCAGTTCGGTTTGCACCTCGTCTGCTGTTTTGGTTGAGCCTGTTGCAGACAGTTGCTGCTCCGACGTGGCCACGTTCTCAGTCGCTCTTTTGAGATCTTTTTGCAAGCGAGAGATATTGGCGCCCTGCATCTTCAACCTTTGAACTTCTCGGAGATCGCGTTTCAAGTCGTCCAACTTCTCCGAAAACTAGGCGATTTCTCAGCTCCGCAGCTGCTGATCCAAAGTCGTCGGACCTACTGAATCGGAGGAAGAGCTGGCTCCCGGGATCTCTGCGTTGAGCTCCTGGATCTTGGACTCGAGCTCAGGAATCTCCACGGTCTTGAGACGATCACGCGTGGTCTCTAAGGGCTGAAGCGCTTGCACTTGCTTCAGCAGGGCTTCCCATTGATCCTGTTCTTCCTGAGGAACAACTTTGCTGCTTGAAGAGTATTTCGTGATCTTTGCTTGGAGCTGTGCAAGTGTATCAGCTTCATGGCCGGTGGAAGCACAGATACGACGCACCACTCGCTCGAACTCCATCAATTCATGATCGTCGAGGTGACGGTTGCACGCAGAACAAGCCTTCTTCTGTTTTCCCGTGCGCAGCAATTCCTTGTAGACTTTGCTGCCCTCTTGCGTGACCTGCGCCGAGCTGCATCCGCTTGGAAAGACTGTTTCTAATGATAGAATATTCAACGTACGTCTTTCCATTCTCCACTTCATTAGCAAGAGCAGTGATTGCGTCGTCAACGGTTTCAAAGTCCTCGTCCAGTTCTTCAAGCTCAAGACCATTCTTGATCTGTTTATCCAGACCTGGCAGACTTGTTCGAGCGCTTGATAACAAGAACTAGACGCTTCGTACCTTTGAGCTCGTCCTTCTTTGATTTGAGCTGTTCCTTCAGGCTGCTGAGCGAGCTTTGAATCTGCTGCAGTCGCGCATTGGCCTTCGAAGCCTCCGACTCGACTTCCGCCAGTTCTTTCTCCCTCTCACTGTTCGACTTGGTCATTTTGGGCGGTGCCGCAGACGAGATAACGCACAGTTGAACTCGGTCGACTTCACGTTCGAAAGTGTCTTCTTGTGGATCAGCCCCGACGAGTCGCCGGAATGAGGGCTTTGCCGTCGAAAGGCTAGGAAAATATCAGCAGTGCGACATTCATAACTGCCGCACACACGTCGATGAGATCTCAAGAGATTTAGATTTGACTTCGTTGCGCTGATGATCTAACTTGGCGCGAGCCTCGGCCTGCAGGTTGAGGAGTTTGAACTCTGAATTGAGAGCGTCACGCTTTTCTTCTAATGATTTGATGCTGGAGGTCTTTTCCTCAAGATTTTCGTCGTATTTAGCGGCGTTGATCGCCGCCTGAGATTTCTGCAGCCGAGTCTGCTTCTCCTCGATGTCCTCGGTCAAAGACCGCAGCTCATTCGACAAGTTTGATGCTGCTTCAAGTTGTCGTTCGGCGAGACTGATCTTCCCTTGCTTATCCGTCTGCCCAATCCCTTCAGCTCAAAATCACACCTAGAAAAGCGTAACGCACTAATTGATGTTGGAGTGCGTTACGCGACACTTTCGAGGCATTCAGCGAGTCGGTTAGTTCAGCCGACTTGGACTTGAATTCGTCCTCCTTCGCTCTCCTGTCACGCTGAATCCCGACGAGTGAGCTAGCAAAATCAATATACATGACAACCACCTACTTTGAGATCCTCAGCGGTTTTACGCTGTTTGCGACTCAGGTCTTGAATCTTATTTGTAAACTCGACGATCTTGGCAGCCTCTAAGCCCGAAGAACTAAAGCCTTTGATCTTGAATTTGTCGCTGATGTCGTGAATCGTTTGCTCTCGTTCCACTAGGCGGGTTTGTTGAGCCTGGGAAGCTGTCAAAGGATGTCCATCACGGCGCGTTGGGTGTACGGACATCAAATTCGGATTTGAAAATGCCTACTTGCTGCGCCAGTTCGGTGTACTGTTTCCGGGCACCGCTGAGCTCATTTTCCACGTTTTCCGCCTTTCGCTTCTCGGCCTCAAGTTTGTGGCGCTGCTTCATTAGATCGCTGTCTGAGTTGTTCAGTTTGGCCTCCAGCTCCTCGTCGGTGCCTTGCATTGTTCGTCAGTGCTCGTGATACACTTTCATCTGAATCTGTCGCACCAGGAAGTTCCTGTAGATTGATGCGCGCCTCCTGCAAATCAGCCTGGGCCCGAGACTTGCTTTCCTCAAGGCTCTCCACTCTCTGATACACGTCGCGGAACTGGTTGGCGGATTCCTGAAATTTGTGATTGGACAGGACGATTGCATCGTACGACTTCTTCGTGTCTCATATTCTAGCTCTTGTCAGCAATCACTTTGTTCAGATCTGCAACGCGTGTCTTCAGTTTGTCGGAGTGCGCCTTTTCGCGCGAAAGACCCTCGAGCCGCTCTTTCTCTGCTTTGAGCTCGGCAACGCGATCCTTCCTAAGGGACTTGATGGAGTCGAGGGCCTTGGTATACCTGAATCGAATTAGACCCTTTGGTCGGGCCATCGACGTTTGACCTACTTTGTAGCCTCGAAGATGTCGTCGAATTTCTTCTTCAACGCAGCAGGCTCGGCCAGTGGCCAGTAGGAGTCCTCCTGATGGCAGAAAATGACATTCTCTAGAACTGCCTTGGACACTCCAAGTAATTGAGGTATCTCCGCGTCGAGTTCGGCACATTTCGTCGAAATGACGGCGCGCTGCACTGCCGTTGAGTTTGAAGCCCCCTTCCTTTATGACAACGTACCTTGCCACTGGTTTCCTTATTGTTCTCGAGTGCGAGAACGCTTTCCAACGTCTTCATCGTGAGCCCCGTCTTCTTCACGGTCACACTGAGATTTCGGAGAGCAACCATTTTTGCTCCATTGGCAGCGATGAACCGCAATCGGACCTGAGCCTTGACCTCCTTCTCATTGGCCATTTTGGATCATGAATGAAGGCACCACCACGCGTATTAGGTGGCTGGTCGCCCGTCGTTGCATACTTCAAGCACTCGATGATCGTCGTCTTTCCCGTACCGTTCTGCCCCACAATGACGGTGACAGGAGAGAAGAATTCGATGACAGCAACTTGTTTGTCATCAAAAGAACGTATCCCTCGAATCGCCAGCTTGTGCAGGGACGACATCCTGCTTTGCGAGCAGCTCTTGCAAGATTCGAGGACCGGAAGGACCTAACAATGGTCGTGACGTGACTGAGTCACGAGCACTCAGAACGCGTGTCGTCACAGCACCTCGGAAAGATCCGGGCCGGCACTGCTATCTCCTTCCCACCAGCCATGATCCCTCACCTGCCCCCAGAGCTCATCCACCTCATCCTCTCGAATGTATATTATCTAAACTTTCCGTGGGACACACCGGATTATCGCACCCTTGCCTCTTGTTGCCTTGTGAACTCCGATTGGAGAACAGCTTCCCAACCCTTGCTGTTCTATCGCATATCGCTCACAGTCGTCAGTTCGTTTGGAAGGTTCGTGGGTAGCAAATTTGGGCGCCAAATCTGCTGTCCCATGTTCGCTCTTTGTCGCTCTCTCTCTGTGGCCCTCGGCATTCGAAGGACCCCGGACTGGTAACAGTGCCAAGTATGGTGGAGATGATGAGCTCATGCACTCAGCTCTACGAGTTGATATTGTACTCGAGCCGCCTCTTTTCGCTTGGCCCTCATGATCTCGAACAGATCGAATCTCTTGTCACGTCGTCCTCGTGGAAGATTCGCTCGCTCCGCTTGATGGAATGCAGCTCACAATCTCCTATCTTGTACGAACTATTATCGGTCTTTCCAGACGTCCAATTCTTAGTGCTGGGAATCGAGCTTTCTGCTGCTCCACCGCTGTGGACTCCGGCTGTTGAGCTGTACGAATTGAAGCTCCACAGGACCCTGCCTTCGGAGGTTCTAGTTTGGCTATTGTCGTCGTCCCGACAGTCCTTGCGGATTCTCGAGCTGCGAGATCTTCCAAGTGCATCCACCGCACTTGACCTCGTGCCATGCTTTCCAAATCTACAGTCTCTTCGACTGATGCGGTTCAACTCACACTCTGCTGCCATTTTGCTGCAGTGCGCGAATCTCGTGGAGCTGGTCCTGCTTAATGTGCCCACCATCTTCCCATTACCCCCGCTGCCTGCATCATTACAACATCTATACCTCCCTATCCAGACATATAGTACTGGTATCGACATCGAGTCGGTTCTCCGCGCTGTCAACTCCGACAACCTTCCCAATCTGCGGATCCTCAGTTTCACTGGAGCCTCCGATCAGGCCTCTCCTCTTCAGGCTGCCTGCTTGTCTAAGAACATCAATTTTCGGGCCTCCCCATCTAAATCTTGGACGGTGGGTTGTCGCCAGGTATTATACTCGCTGTGCTCATCAACTCTTCCAACTCTACAGAATGATGACCCCGTGAAGACGCTGCATTTCCCTAGGAGGAAATCAATTTCCAATTTCCTTCTCATGAGATAGATTTACAATTCTATAAAATAGCAATAACTTTATCTTACTGGCATGAAACTGGTGGAATGTGGACATATTCAAGCGCCAAACATTCACAAATCAAAACTTTTGTTTCTACCGTGATGCTCGCCTCTCTTCTACGCGCTGGACGGCGCGTACCGTTTCGCTCTGCACGCTACGCCTCTACCACTGGACCTTCGAGCAGCACCGCGTCCACATCACCGTCAGATGCAGTCTCAGAGACAGTGGCCACCGCCGAGCGGTCCCAGCGGCAGTCTTCGTCTGCCAACTCCTCGGCATATATCCACCCACACTCCCCTTTGCTCTCATCCGACCACGGCCTCTACGGCTTCTTTCGCCGAAAGGCTCCGTCTGACAACAAGGAACTCGTTGGGGAGGAGCAATATGAAACCGTCATGGATCCGACCATTGCATATTCAGGCACGTCTGCTCTCGTATACTCTACTGCAGTCTCATCGTGATATTACAGGAAGACCGTGGCTTGCCTCAGAACTGCGGCTGAAGAGCTTCAAAGACCTCCACACGCTGTGGTATGTGCTGCTTCGTGAACGCAATCTCCTGGCGACACAGCGGGATGAGATGCGCCGGCTGGGTTTGACCAGCCTGAACCAGCCCCCTCATCGCCAGACTCGGGCCAACACAGCGAATGTGGGTCTTCTCCTGCGACTTATGGAAATCTCCTCAACATCTACAGTGCCGCACATCCATGGCTCGCATCAAGGGGGTCATGAATGAAAGGCGTCTGGCCTACGAAGGTGCCGTCGCGTTGGCCGAAGAGCAACGCGAGGAAGCAACAACTCAAGCTATCCTACAATTCAAAATCGGCCAGGAAGGCGGTCGACAGATACCCGGATTCAAGACGCATCCATCATCGGCATCTCGCCCGAAACGACGCGCTGCTGTAGTCACTCCAGGCGAAAAGAAGGCAAGGTGGACAAGAGAGCAAAAGCGGGAGCGCAAACAGCAGGTCGCTGGAGAACGGATCCTGCAGGTAGCATGACATTATACTTAGAACACTAGTGGATAATGCGCAATCCCATTCTGTACGCGCTTCCAGTGTGCATCCAAAGCCCGCATTATGTCAAGGTGACGCACCTCGTCGACGGGACTTCGTTCCTTCACCTTTTTCTCTGCCAACCAGGATGTTCCTCTCCCCACATCCGTATTTCGTCCGTTATCTTGCAATCCCGTACCGATTTGTCCTCGTACAAATCCAGCTGTCGTCGGAATGTGCGGATGAGATGTTCGATGACGCCAATTGAACGTGGGGACGTTCTGGCTGCGTTCTGGCGAAAGCGGTAACGAAGCATGAGATCCCACTTGGCCCGAGTAGCTGGGGCCTTGGTGAGCGGTATCCGCAAAGTCCTATCGCGCATGAATTCACAGAACTAAGTCTCGAGTAGGTGGCCAACCGTCTGTACAAAGCAAATACTTCCTTTTGCAGACCCGATATTCGTTTCGACATGGTCAAGTGCTGAGTACTGAGTAATGTCGATCAGTGGCACCGCCACCGGTAATGTCAACAACTGCTTCGATTCTTATTTAAGCAAATTGGAAAATTATGCAGGTATTATAGAGGTATTAGTGCTATGTCGTGAATGTCTGTCAAAATGCAATCTTGCGCCTCTTGCGAGTCGTTCGTCCCCAATCTTCGTCATCGTCCTCACTGTCCTGGATGTTTTCTCCATTCGAAATTCGTGTGCGCTGTTGTTCGGCATCCAGTTCTCGCAGTGTTTTCAGATTCGTACTCAGAGACCGAAAGAAATCGCTCTGCTTCAAGCGTTCATTCCACAGCCAGAAAGTAGATGGAGGAGACTGACCTTGCTCGCTCGGACCTTCTTCCCTGCCTCTTGTTCCATCCGCCGCTTCTTCTCCCGAAACTGCTCTTGTCAGAGAAGAGTCGAGCGAATGTTTCCGGACAACGCACCTTTTGTTGCTCTGCTTTATGTAACTCACTCAATGCTGCAACCCACATTTGGAGAGGAGAGTCCGCTCTCAACACGCCCCTCTTCTTGGTGTGCGTACTTCGGCGATATTCAGCGAATGCATCGTCGACATCCTCAGCGATCATCTCGTCATCCGAGTCTGGCACGACGTATGAGCCCGTGGCCGCAGATCTACGTGGTCGCTTGCGGTTTTCAGCGGGAAGCGAGGCGTCGGATTCTGTTTTCAGGCCAGACGCGGATAGATATTCAGCCTCTGATACATAGAATGCAGCGCCTTGTTTGATCTGATCATAAAGATAAAAGTCCTGTATGATTTATCAGCTCACTTCTTTAGAGTACGGGAGGAGCAGCTGACCGGATAGGAATTCTCTGTGGATGCTAGGATTCGAAAATGTTGCAGTGTGACGGGGACCGTTTTATCCGTGACGTCTGCCCGAAGATATTTGAGCAGGATCTGCAATTCACTTGTGAGAACAGGAATCCTAACAGGAGAGCAAGAACAGACAATGGAGTTGCAATTAATGATAGCATGCTGCAAGAAGACTGCCGTCACATGACTTAGATGGCCGAATTCAGTCTTGATCCACTGTGCCACAGAAAGCGTATCTGCGAGGCTTCGATATCCAAGACAGTACTGAATAAGGAGATGCCATACCTGTCGGTGTTCGGGATGAGCTGTTTCCGCCGTTGTGTAATACCAGCGATATCGACGTCGGATGCCCTGGGCCTCGTCCCGGCGAATCATGGTAGTCAGCGTGTCCAGCCCGATGAAGCCCAGATCGGCCCCCGCGGCGGCAAGAGAGGACTCCTGATCGGCCGAATCGATGGCTAGAGTGGTGACCCCGATGAGCCGAGCCAAGCGAGCATTGACCCTTTCTCCGGTCTGTATGGTCTCTACGGCGATCCGATGGTCCAAGAGAACTGCTTCAGCGATGGCCGTTTTGACAGATGGGACGCTAGCACACAACCGTTTCAGAGTCTTGCCCTTGTTTTCGAAGACCAGACATTGGACCGCGACATCCCTAGCTAACTGATGCAGGTCTTTCGGCGACACTTTGCGCGTGGTGGCACCTCCATCTTCAGTGATGATCCCGTGACGGCGAACGTAGTCCATCACTGGTCCTGGCTTCTCAACGAAAGCACTCAGAAGAACCAGGGATGCGTCCTTGAGCGTGAACGGGCCGAGCTTCAAAGCATCCAGACGTTCCGACAACAGTTGGGGCGCGATGGGCGGATCGGCAGCGAAAATTGTGAGGAACATAGCGCGTCGAACCGACGCGTCAACGGAATCTTCCGGTGCCTTCGGGGCCAGGAAGTCGTGGTAGAGCAGGGTTAAGATTTGACAATTAAGGGTGGTTGTGATGGCGCGGGTCCCCATGAACAGCTGCGATGTGTTAAATTGTCTGAGAGGATCGGAGAGTATGCAGATAAATTACCTTGATAATATCTGTTACCAGATCCCTGCGGCGCAAGATCCAGTCCGGGGCTCTGGAAAGAATTGAGAAGCAACGCACCTCAGAGAGAAAGCGAGATCTCCGGTCTGGTCAAGCCGCTTCAGCGCCAAGTAACCCGCATCATTCGTCTTGGCCTCCAGACAGACTTCTGCTGCAACTGTCCGCGTGATGTACATGCTGTCGGAAGTGAGGCTCTCAAGTCACAGATCAAATGGACAAGAATACGCACGTAGAGTTACCGTTACACAGCTCCCGCACATGGTCAACGATCTCGTCCGCGTGGCCTGGTGCAGAGGTCGAGTGGCGCTCGAACATTTTCCGAAAGACGAAATCGCGATACTGGCCCGAATGAGACATGTGATTCGCCTTCGATGAAGCGACGGCATACCTTGTCATCCAGAGAGAACCCGTTGGCAGCTGCATATGGGAGAAGGCGGGGTTCAACGGCCAATGCGAGTGGTAGCTGGGCCATGAGTGGGTCTCGAGGACAGAAAGGCATGAACTAGGGAAGGTCATTACCGGGTCCAGAAGAAAAGAGAAGGACGTGCATGATATGTTTGGAATATGTCCGCAATCTCCGTCCATGTAACAGTTTGTGACTCGGGGGGTAGTTTGGCCTCTTTGAGAAATGTGGCAAATAGCGATCCGTCATCCTCACCCTGAAAATCGGCTTGAGGGCACATTTTGACGTCAAAGAAACAAAATTACCTTGCCTCGAGGAATATCCCCATACTTTTCTGCAGCGAGCTCGAGAAAGTAAGAGAAGACGTCGAGTGGAACTTTGCGCGTCCATGTGGGCGATTTGATGGGATGGGAATGGGCATGAAAGTAGTGGTGGAATGCCACTTGGACGAGATAGCGCGAGAGATGCACTCCGCTGGTCAGAAATATCTGAAACGTGCTGTGAGAGACATGGCTACCGGGAGCAATGGTAAACTCACATCCAGAACCCTACGAGTCAAGAGCCGCCCTCGCCCCAGAGCAAAATAGAGTGCTTGGAGTGGGCCGTACCGCGTGATAAAGTATTGGGCGCGGACGTATGGCTCCTGCGAGAAGGAATGGAAGCGACGAGCGGTGGCAGCAAAAGCGGTGGGATCGGCGAGCTCGAAGAAGATGAGCTGGAGCACTTCGTCGGGACAACCGCCGAGGCCTGGCATTGCGATATGATCCCGGGGACAGAACCAGAGCCCAAGTATATGCGCAAGGTACGGTGTTGTGGTTGTGAAGAAAGTGTCGAGAGTTGTTTGGCTCAGCTACCCCGGCGATCGGGCCGGCCTAAATTGAAAGTTCCCTTATTCGGAGTCCTCGCGCGCGCGCGTCCTTGGCGTTCTGGCAGCATTTTCAGAGTCAAACAATCTTGATCAAAGTTCGACAAAGTCGGTGCAACACAGAATGCCAAATCTCTGGATACGTGCCGTAAGCCATTATGACAAACTTGTAGTTTCTACAATACTCGAGGCAGGCTGATGAGATGCGTTCAGTTCGAAACCCATACGGATTACGTTTTTGTGTACTACAATCCCAGTTCAGTTTCATTTTTGACTAGACGACACCCTCGAGGAGGCCTAGAAGATCTTCTAGAAGTAGTATTGGAGGTCGGATGAACCTCGGGGGATTACAAAGGTTGAATGGGTTTCCGACAAGCCTATCCAAATTGAACAGAAGGGAATCTGGGAGCAACAAGCTTGCATGGGTTATCTCAGATCTAAGGTTTCGCTAAAAGAACTTGCCACTAGTCAGTAGCGCTAGATCCCACAAGGTACATGAAAATTGCCTGCTGACATGATACATCGTTCGGCCACTCTTTATCGACGAGGCTTGTTAGCAGATTGCACTCAAATTCATTCAAAGAGGCGTGCGCGTTGATTACGCGTGATTCCAGAGCGGCCGACGCGAAATCAGCGGGCTGCGCCAGGTGTGATAATTGATGATTACGCGATCACGTGTCGGTACCACGTGCCCTGGGCACATGCGAAGGATGAAATGATTTAGAAAGCACGAATGCTACTACTTACCAAGTTCGTGAGTGCAACTCCAGACTGATGATCAAATCTGCTCCTGCAATCCTGCTTTCAGAGTTCCCACAATCCTGCTTTCAGTCTTCTCTCACTACTTTCAGGGAGATCGAATGACACGACTGTCGACGACAGAGGATTGAATCACAGTTGATGAGAAAGCTTATGTGGGCCAGACGTACATTTTGCATTCTGCCTCCTGAAATAATCAGGACAAAGACTGCCCAAAAAGTGTACCTGGATACTACCGGAGTCGAACCGGTGACCTTTCGCATGCGAAGCGAACGCGCTACCAACTGCGCTAAGTACCCGGTGCGGAAAACAAAGTCTCTAAAAGTCTACTTCGCAATATTACTGAGCTTAGTTACTGACTTGAATCCGGATGTCCCTCATATCAGAGATCAGATAGTACAAGATGAGTATGTATACAGTGCTGATTAGTGAATGTATAAATTGTTGATACAGCTCGACTCTATCGCTGGACACTCAGTTAATACAAAGTGATTTCGACGTCGGGCCTGATGCGCGCACCTTCTTTTTAGGGATGAACAAGTTCGCGCCAGCATCTTTCGGACGTGGCGGCTTTGGTTTCGGTTTCGGAAGATTTGGGTTCGAGTTCAGATTGGGATTTGAATTCGAATTTGAATTTGCATTTGCATTTGTATTGGTTCCAGGATCCAGATTCGGATTCGGATCGGGATTAGGTTTTTTGTATTTGGGGACCGAAGATTCCGCGTCTTCAGGTAGAGATTTCCTCTTCAGCGTGGAACCTGCAGCGCTGCTGCTCCCAGCTTTCATGGACGCCTTGAGGTCTTGGGGCGTCTGGAGATCTGCGGGAACGGCCGGGGCCGCGATTTGTTTGTTGGGAGACTTGGGGAGACTGGCACGAGGGACCGATGGAGCTGTGAAGTACCCCGGATCGACCGTGACAAAGCTGTTTCTTTCCTTTGCGTCAGCCACGATATCTGCCCACACTTTATCGCTCCTCGACAGCGTCGCAGCGTTGCCGAGAATGAAGAGGGAGCTCTTGGCACGGGTCAGAGCGACATTCATACGGCGGGTGTCCGACAGGAAACCAATCGTGTCGGATCGCCGCCCAGACCGGACACAGGACAGAATGATGATGCTCTTCTCTTGGCCCTGGAATCCGTCGACGGTATTGAAGTCTACTTGCTGGAGAACTTCCGATCCGAACGCCTGAATGAAGCGCTGACGGATATCCATAATTTGGCCACGGTACATAGAGATGACTAGAAGCGGTCAATTCAAAGCCGATCAAGAAATAGAAATCTCACTAACCTCCAACTTGGCCCGTTAAATCAACAGTGGGAAATGCCTTGATCAATCGCGAGAACAGCGAAACCGCCAGGCGGCACTCAGCCGTGTTTTTGATTGAGCGACCACTCCTTTCTTCATTGGACTCCATGTCCAAGAATTGGTACACGCCGAACTTGGGATCTCGGTGCCACGGCCGAGCAGTTTTCTCCTGCATCCCTGGTCCATCCTGCAGCCTGTTCTGATAGAAAATCCTACTAGGGAGTTTGGAAATGATCGGATGCATTCGGTACTGTATGCTGAGCATATGCATCGAGTTCGGGGAGCATCGCTGCAGGCGAACAAACAACGACTGGTTATATCCAAGCCTCGTCGCCTGTCAATCAGATTAGTCACGTGACGTAGACAATGGACGAGACTGAGGCCCCACCTCTTGTGAGAGAACTGTAGGCGGCAATTGCTGAGGATCGCCAACTAGTACGGTGTGCTTCGGTTGGTATTTTAGAGGGATCAGGGAGCTGAGCTCGATCGCCTGAGATGCCTCGTCGATTATGACCATGCTGATGTCGAGATCCTGCAGAATATCCGCCCCCGAAGCGCTCAGTGTGGCACAGATGACGTCTGCACTCTGGAGCACTTGGAGACGGTAGTTTCTCCGGCTGCCCCCCAGTTTTCAGCGGCGTTTTCTTGGGGTGGGCGGAGTCCACTCACCTCATATCCAGTCCTCGCGCTTCTTTCTGCCGAGCATCATTCGCCTCATTGAACTTCCGGTTCAAATCAGCCAGTTTCCTGTTGAGTTCCGCACGCTCCTGGAGGATGGATTGATATCTCGGCGAGGACTCGTTGACTTTCTCGATCTCCGCCGCCTTCTCTTGCCGCAGGGCCTGGATCGCAGAGCGTTCAGCCCTCAGATTCATCAGCTCAGTGTTTACATTCGATTGCTTGTTGAGATCGAGTTTGCTGTCCACGATTTGATCGAGCGAAATGTCGACCACGTTGGGGTTCATTGATTTGAGAGTCCCCAGTCGGATGATGCTGCGATCGCCTGCTTTGAAGCTATCCTTGTCCCGTATTCGCTGTGCTATCTCGTCAATGGCCGCATTGGACGGTGCACAGATGAGAATTTGCGGGATCAGCGTCGGCTCTTGTCTGCCGTTCTTGACGTTTGGAACCACGACTTTGGAAGGCCGTCGGGCGATGAAAGACATCACAAGAGCAACGATGGTGCTTGTTTTGCCTGTTCCCGGAGGTCTTCAAGCAACGGCTGAGCATGCTATAGCGTGAAGGGAGAGCGAAAGGACATACCCCTGGATCAATGAGAAACCTTTGGTGTCCAGACAACTGGAGATGGCCACAGCTTGGGGCTCATTGACATTGTGTTGCTTCATGATGCGTGTCACGGCTTCCCCGTTCGGTCGGCGCAATGCTGGCAAGGACGGTTGGACGATCCCTTGACAGAGGTCGTAGTACTGCAGACCAATCAACGCAGAATATTCCCGAACGATTGTACTCGTGCTTCGGTCACAATCAGACAAGAGACAAGCGCAGCACGTAACGACACGCACTTGAGAACCTTGGATAGCCGCCACTGAGACCCGATTGCAAGCTCGCCCGGGTCTTTGATCTGAGAGCTGCACCGCAATTTGGCCTCGATGTCCTTCCGCGGCGGTGTCTTGTAGGACTCGACCTTGCACAAAATGGCCAGCTTGCCATTCTCCACCAACACGATGTCCGAATCTGACAGCCGCCAGTCGGCTTTGACACTCCCGCTCAACGAAGTCTCCAGGTCCAAGAAAGAATCGACGTGGGAGCGAGATTCGATTTTGACCGTGTAAGCTTCGGGTGTCTCTTCCTTCCCTTGCAGGAGCTGAGCCCAGCATTCGAGTAGCAGCAGCGGCTCAAATACAGCCTTGTAGTGATCGTAGTTGCTGAAGTGCTTGTCGGCCACCCCCATCAGCTTCCTCTCGAGATTGGCAGGCCGAGCCTCCGTGTGGCGATAGTCCCACTTGAGAATAGTCTCATAGAGCGGTGTCACATCGGGCTTCAGTCGCTGATACCGCACCCGCTCCTGTCTCTGCCGTTCCGCCCGTAGGATGGCCGGGTTAGTGTTCAAGCCAGGCATTTCCATCATCTTGATCCCTCGCTGCGGCGCGCGATGCTTGTACTTGATTTTCGGCGACTTCTGCAGCGTCGAAAGACTAGCTAGCGCGCCACCCGGTGGCTGGTCGTCATCTTCCTCGTCCGAGGATGACGCACTCTCATCATCCTTGTCACTCGATGCAACGGAAGTTGTCGTTGTCTTCGATGGGATATTTCGATACGTCGGTTGGGAGACAGCACGGTCGAGTCGTTTCTGGTCTTCCGCCGTGAACGATTTGTCGTCGATCTTGGGTTTAGGCTTCGACGGACCGCTTCGTTCAGGCAACAGCACTGGTTTGTCCCGTTTAGGTTCGATGGGTTTCTCGATGATCTGGATCTCGTCATCCTCCGGAAGGAAGAGGGAAAGCGTGTTCTGGAGGTTTCCCAGTCGGCCCGCGTCTAGCCGACTTTTCGACTTGTCTTTGAGCGCAGTGTTGACGTATTTCTGCAGTTTTTGCAGACTCGTCTCCAGAGGGGGAACTTTAACGTCATGGAACGTTTCGAGCAGAGACTGCAGGAGCTCAAAGCCCTGGTAGAGCAGTTCCTCGTCCGACAGACGCAGCCATCTAGTCAGCTCCGGCAGAACGCGCTGCAGATTATCCACCATAATACGACCGGCATCAGAGAGTCGTTTCGATCCGTTCAACCCGCCCTTCACATTTGCAGCCGTCTCAAACACCCTTAAACGTGCAAGCAGATCTCGGCCATATATGAGCGAGTCCCGCATCCACTGTATCATCTCCTCGTTGACAAAGTATTCCGCCCAGTGCGGTGTCCGTTTGAAGATGATCGCGAGGGCCTCCGTCATGTGCTTCCACAGTGTAGAGATGCGGGAGTGGGGACCGCTTTGATCCGCAGGTCGAAGAAAGTCGCGGTTGTACAATAGTCCATCCGGCCGAGAGCACAAGGCTTCCAGCACATCATGCAGATAGAGAACCATGTGTTTGGAGAGATTGCAGGCTTCGGGGACATTCGAAGCATATCGGATGAATGCACGAATGGAGTTGCACAATCCGTCGAGTGCCCCGTCGGGATATCGCCGCAACAGCTCGCGGTAGGTGGCCTGTCGTCCCTCAACGACATCGAAGGCAAGCCCAACCAGATTCTCGATCCCGATCGCGACCTCGGGCTTGGGGGAAAAGAGCAAGAAAAAGGCGTGCTCGGCAACTTGCGGTCGCTGCAGAAGCTCCTGCAGAGAACTTGCCCTGCTATTCTCGTTGAACCGAGCAAAACAATCTTGGAGCCCGTCCCAAAGGACAGCCATGGCTCGGTTCACGCCCAGTTGGTTCCTATTCTTGAACCGATAAGGCTTCGGGGTAAGCAAGTCCCAGCAGGAAGTCTGAGATAGCACATGCAGGATCATCTCCATCCCATCTGAATCCTCCGGCTTCAAACTCTGATACACTCTCTTCCAGACACTTGCCCCGCCGACAAGCGGGACGGGGTCCGAGGTGATCACCAGGTTATTCACCAACGCATCCATGAGCGAGTGTTGCGCTTGCTTGATGATGAGGACATCTCGTTCCAGGACGGTCCTCACCAGCGTCCTGGCGGGCACCTTATTTTGACTGGCCGAGTTGGTAAAGGCTGCTTCCAGGATAATGCCACCATGGATATCGAACACTTTGGACAAGGCGAGAACGGGCACTTGCGGATCTCCAAACAGACCGTCGAACAGCTGCAAGCGGTTGAGTCGGTTTCAATGCGTCGACAAAACTAGCGCACATGGATGGCTGTCCGCAAAATAGCTGGTCGGCCTCCCGCAAAGCGCTCATGCTGCAATTCCTCGCACAGAAGGTCCGCCAACTTGGCAATAACTTCGCCTTGAGATGGCTGGTTATTCAACGCGGAGAGAAACGCAGGGCACCAAGAGAAGGACGGCAGAGGGGTGGTCAACGAGGTATTATCTACTCTGGGGACAGAGGAGATGAAAGTCGGATTCTCTTTGATAGCGTCAAAAATGACTTGGGGATAGTTGGGGTCCTCGGACCAGAAAGCGGAGGCCACATGCTTTGTTAGATACTCGAAGCACCCGAGGATTACAGTAAATTCTACGGGGGTTGCAAGTCAGCGAGCGTCAGAACCAGATTGATCTGAATAGCGCACGAGGACCGGTATCATGCAGATGCCCATTCACACTCCTGTACAAGGTTCCTGCCTCGAGGTATTCTGTGGGCACCATACCAAGCACTCGACGAAATCCCGACCAAAGAACATTCCGGTCTGTGGTGAAAGAAAACGAGTTGGTCTTAGACGGGCTGCTATTGACGTCCAACGCCGCCACGATTGAATCAACAGCAGCAACATGAGCGCTCGAGAATTGGGGTTTCGATATTGGCACGACTGTGGCCCGTGCTGCCTGCATTTCGGCCCAGGCTCTCACCTCTGCATGTTCATCGCATAGCAGGAGAATCAGGCCGCAGGGGACAGGATCCGCAGGCCACGCTTCAAAGATGGCTTTCAGTGGCTCACGATGGATCGCGGATAGCACTTTCTCGTCTTGTAGCACAGCCAAATGGGATACAATTCTGTAACTGAGGCCTGCAGGGGCACCTGCCAGGGAACAGTCCTTGAAATCTTCGATATCGCAGCTACGATCCCAATCCTCGAATCTTGCAAAGAAACTGGACAGAATGTCCTCTGGAAAGGCTGCGAAGTATCTGGCTGAGGTAAATGGCCGCATCGTGAGCTGCACTGAGCAGTAACGCACGTCTTTCTAGCAGTGATCTTCGCGTCCTCTAAGCTCAGCGCACATTGCGGACATTCCCTAACGCAATCTCGAAACTTCCGCCTCCATTGAAGAACAAGTGCGCTCTCGTAGGCGTAGAGTCGCAGGAGGAAGGTTGCTGCACCAACGGTTGTGGACGTGGCACGATGGCAGAACCAATGCAGGTGCCCATCTTCAGCACTGTTCGGAACCTCCATCAGGTAGCTGAAGACGCTTCCCAGCACAGCGTCCGAGGCACCGGCGTTGTCCACAGGAGCGTTCCGGAGATTCAAGAGCAGCTCGTCCACTGCCGGACGCGCCATATTTGCGATATCCATGTAGGTTCCACTCCCTGCGCGGACGAAGGAGTGGCCACTCGTGTCAAAAGGGGAAGAAGGCGAGTACTAGGCGTCGTCTCTCGTGAAAAACATCTCAAACGCGTTCCGTAACATGTGACGCCTGCCGGATTTGGAGGCATTGGAAGTCACGTTGACTGACATTGCCCTTTCATATCTCTCATCAACATTGTTGTCACCCATCTTGAGAGACCGGCCCATCATGGATCCTCGAGACATAGATAACCTGAATGCGGTCTTGGAACATGATGCAAGCGTAAGCGAAGCAATCAAGACGCAGGTGAAGGAATTCGATAAGAGAGTTCGAACAACCGGTATGCTCTTGCTCGGCATCGACGCCCGAATCTCATCATTTCCCAGATGGTCTACTGGGAAAAATACACTCGACGCAACCTCAATCGAGTATGGCTCACTCGGTATCCGCCTAGAACACTGGTTCACTTGGATAGTGCCCGAACTGCTTGACGCTGTGGATTCCGTCTTGCTCAGCTGTCGAGAAATCACAGCGGCCATCGCAGAAGCGGTTCCTGCAGATCAATTCTGGCGCTGGAAGGACTCTTGGAGCAACTCCCTACGGAGCTCAATATATGCTGCAACTCTGGCCAACTTCTTGCGGAATCGGTCTTTGCTTTCTCTTTCCGATGTGTCGACCTTGCTAGGAGGTGTGCTTTTGAGCTGCATGTAATGACTGGCAGGTGGCTCTCTGATCTCTCTTCACAGTTCAAGAGGAGTGGAAAGACCGATTCGCCATAGCCACCGAAGACTACCTACATGGCCTCATCATCATGGTAAACGAGCTGGTAGGATAGTCGTGCTTCTACACTCCGAGCATCGCTCATGTCACAGTCTCGCTATGCTGTCAACTCGGTGACAATGGGTAACTACGATGAGCCAATGAAGATCTCTGCGTTCGTCAAGGAGATATTTGCCGGTTTTACGATGGTGAGAGCAAAGACATGCACAATTCATTGCACTCAGTTACTCTCAGTTAAATCTGAAAAATGATGCCCTCCGGAGAAGGTTCGACTCCCTCAAATACGATCTAAAAAAGATTGAAGAAGGTCAGACTTGAATAATTCCTGCCTTTGCTCACTTCTGAAACATCTCAGTGGTCTACGATGTCTCTTTGAGGAAGTTGGTCACTAAGTCCGACAACTGAAGTGTATTGTCACGAGTAGGATACGTGAATCATGTACCATAAACGAAAGATAAAGAAAAACGCTGAAACAAGTAACAGCGCACATTTATGAAAACTGGCCCTCTGTATTGTGCTCGGTAGAATGTGTAATCAATAAGATCGAGGCTTGATATATTGGCGCATGGCGGAAACCAATGACGGATTTTTTCGGACGCGTTTGAGCGCCCATAGAAAGCCAAGACGTGATGCCTGAGCCCAAATGCCAATCGGTTCAGAGGATACATGGCGCTCCTTCCTTTTTTGGCTACAAGGCGGAGTTGCTTGTTGTTTACTCCCGTTTACCAACACGTTCATCTCCCCACGATCACTGCCACTTCGATCACCTTCAGGTTACAGTATGGCACCGCGGACAGCACAGAAACGTGCTGGCGAGGTAGACCCGTCAAAGGCGAGAGGGTCCCCCTCTAAAAAGACGCGCCTTGACCCTGTCATCTCGGACTGTTGGTCCCACCTTCAAGCGTCTTTGACCAAATTATCCGAAGTCTACCAACACCCTAAAAGCACAGAAACGATACATCGAGTCAACAGGCTTATTTCAATCTGGCCTGCAGATGATGCATTGCCAACTCATGGCTTTGAAGACGTCAGAAAAGTCTACCGCAAGCTAGGTGCAGGCTTGAACGAAATCCGTGACATATCTGAGAAGGATGTCAAGTATGAAATCAGTTTCATCTAAACGAAGCTCCGCTCATGCTGCATAGGGCCATCGACGACGTACTTGAGCGGCTGGACGTCCTCATCAATCTGAGCAAGCAGTCTGGGAGCTCTGGTAATTCGTGCACGTGTTCGTCGAACAATAACAAGCGCTAAGCAACAACCAGCTCCAGAAATTCAAAAACGCAACAAGCGTCCGCGTCCGCCGTCTCCGTCTGCCACGCCCGTCTCGTCGGGGTCCTCCTCTGTCCCGGCGTCTGCAAACCGGGTATCCATCACGCTGCCTGCTCGCAGCTCCGTGGGACCTTCTGGCCGCGATAACAAGATGCGGAGAGACGCGCAGACCAGACAGCAACTTCCCCTGCAGCAGAACAGGAAAGTCGTCTTCTATCAACCTGCCGGAGAAGTGATCGGTGGCGAGAAACCCATTATGACCGAGAGCCCTTGGATCTTGGCTGTCGTGACCCGAAGTCCCGGCGGGGATAAGTCACGGTCCGTTGCATCTTAATCACCACACTCGTTGCCTTGCCTCTGACATGCAAATGCTGCAGTTTCGACTACGAGGTGCAAGATCCAGAACCCCAGGACGATGGCAAGCCTGGACTGCACGTGATTCCTCATTTCATGTAATAACTTGAACTGATTTGCTCCCACAGTCGCTACAAAACGCCTCCAGATGCCTTGCTTCCGCTGCCGGATATCAACGCGCCCATTGGGGCTCCGTCACACCCGTCATCTTGGAAGGAATACGCCAGTGGCTCCACTGTCATTGCGCTGTATCCAGACACAAGTTGTTTCTACAAGGCAACGGTGATAGCATCTCCGAAGCAGATGCAAAATCCTGCGGGCGGCAGGGTGGGTGGTTCTATTCTCTCATCATCCCGGCGACTAAGCTCGCACAGGACAAGGAGAAAGACAAGAAGGTCATCTACAAGTTGCAGTTCGCCGACGACAACAATCAAGAACATCTGGTCTCTGCAGAGTGGGTGGTGGACTGGCCAGGCGACAGGCCTATGTCCGTAGGCGCCGCTAGATAGCGATCTGCACCCACGTTGTACCTTTCCCGGGTTTGTTAGAAAGCCGATTACGATGACGTCATACCCTTCTCGAAACATCTGGTCAACTCTCTCATTCTCGCCGACATTCTACAATCCACATGACTACCTGCAGTGGACCTATATAAGTGAGACGTCTGTCCATCCCAGCCCCTCATCCAAAGTCATGTCTCTCACTCGCCACTTCATCAATGACCTGCGCCCATTCTTCCGCGTGCTGGACGACCCATTCAAACCTGCCTCCTTTGTCCGCGCCCACGCATTCTTCGAGGATCGATCCCCGCTCTCACGACCACTATTACGCCGTCCGCCGATCGAGATCGCACAGTCCGGAGACAGCTATGTCGTCCAAGCTGAGCTCCCGGGGGTAAAGAAGGAGAACCTCGAAGTGCGGATCGGGGATGCAGGCCGCAGCCTCACAATTGAGGGCAAGGTTTATATCACTACGCCAGAAAATGGCAGCGACTCGCCGCCGTCCAAGGACACGAAGCAAGGTAAGCAGCACGTATCCTTCTGATGCTACCGCGTTTCTGAAATACCCTCAGATGATGTGACAACAGAAGTTAGCACTGAAGTCCGCGAAACGTCGACGGCCGTCTCTACTTTCACGCGGACGGTGTTCCTCGAGCAACCCGTCGACGGAAGCAATGTGAGCGCCAAGCTCCAAGATGGAATCCTGAAGATCCAGTTGAAGAGGGCACACGATCAGGATAGCGTCCTGGTCAAGGTCGATTGAATGTCGAGAATGGTCTGTAGTACCAGGGCACTGTCCTCTCATGTATCTCTCTGTTCCCACTAGTCCCGTTGTGCACCCACTTTACACTACCATATTCCGCGTCTATCTACAGTATCTTATTCCCTGAACAGTGAAAATTTGAGAGCCGCACGAATTTCATCATGCAGTCACTCATCGTCAAACGCGTCTGAAGAGAAAGGACTGCGATCACGCGGAATACGAAACGCGCTTGCACGTGACGGATCACAAAAGTCACTTGTACTACTACTTTGCAGTGACAAGACCCTCAGCATGGCCGGGATGAACAACCTTCTCGCATTTTCCACCTGTCATAGGCTCATCAACAAGAGATCTCTCTGGTCGTCTCTGAACCAATCCACCATCCGCACTGCAACTTACGCCACGAAGCCCAAACCACCGCTGCTGGGTCGGTACACGACCATTCCGTATGAGCTTTTCAGGATAAACGCGAGTCAGAAGGTTATTCTCAGGGACTATGTGGACCAGCAGAAGAAAGGGAGGAGCTCTTATGATCTGGTGGTTCATGAGGATGGATTGGTGCACCCCCGGCCGGGAGACACATTCGACGGTGCACTCGCTGTTAGTCTTCTGTAGGAACGATGGGACTAAAGCGTGCTGTAGGTCCAAATGGCGCGTCTATGCGGCCGGATGGGGCTATGCTGCAAGAGGTGGTGAGGAACTTTCGAGGGAAGAACACGACGATATACCGAATCCTTCCTGGTACGTGCAGCAAAAGTCTCTTCCATTATGCTGCCCATCAAACCCCCTTGACAGGCAAAGAGCTTCCCGAGGATCTGATACTCCTCCATGAGCACTCCGACCACCATTCTATCCAGTGCCGGGTACCGATGACGCTTGCCCAACTCAACAAAAAGGTTACGCAGTTTTGCATCGAAAACTCGGAGAAGATGACAAAGGAGGAATTCGTGGAACGGTATCCATTTACAGTATAGTAGCCAGTGTCCTCCCTGTAGACCCAGTCGAGTTATCGGGAGCCGTGACCGACTGTCCGCTCAATCAGAAATGATTCCCAAACCGTGACCGACTACCTTCTCCGACGCGTCAACTTCTGAGACTGGAGCCAGCTTGTACAGCCGTAGACCTCTCTCGTGCACCAGGCCAACCTACCACAAACTTTCAGTGCCGATTCTGACTGCTCTATCACTTACATGGAATCTGTGTCTGTCTCACTCAATGGAACACCAGACTACGACCATGAGCCCGAATACGATTTGGACCAATCTGTAGAAGAGGACGTGGACCAACTGGCATCCGAAATGGAGGAAGATGCTGTTGAAAGAACCCCAGGGGAGAGTCTGCTCCCATCCCTGAGACTCGCAAGTATAATAGAGGTGGGCATGCTGCCGCACACTACGTCCTGTCTGAGCTATGCATCCAGTCGGAAGGGAAACTGGCGCTCTCGAAAGAAGGCCTCTTCATCCTCTCCATCGCCACTGTCTGTTCCCCTTTCACGATGCATGTTCATGACTGTGATCCTCTTCCGCAGGAAGAATTTGTGAAGAGACTCGCTCAAGGCGGGCATCGGCAGGCCAAGGCCGAAAGCCGCACTTGTGTCGTCTATCGGGACATGGGTATGCGTCTTTGCTCTCCGCAATATTTCATTTCACGCGCTTGCAGCTGCAACGACTCAACAGTATCAAGAGTTCATGTTCCTTCGAGGTCCGCCAGTCATCTGCTTCCATCGGCGCCCGTCTCATATCGAATACAAGAAACCATCCCCCAGCCTGTGTCCCTGTCTGATGCACTTGAACTGAGAGAATTGCGGGCCAAAGAGATCCTGGAGAACGAGCCTGCTCTGATTGCCCCCATCGACCTGCCATCTACGGCCATCTCCACCGTCAAATCGAGGCCGAAGACTCGTGTTGTCAACGGAACGGCGGAAAAGTCGACTCGGAACGCGAGTGTCAATCGACCAGCCGAAGTTCGTCAAACAATCACAAGGGCGGGTCAAGAAAACGCGACGCGCGTGTCAAGCGGACAATCAATAAACCCTGCGACGAGCAGTGTCCAGGTTCTCAGCTTTGTCGCCCAGCCAGCTTCGACGGGAGAAGATGTACGTAGTGTCCTCAACTCGTCCTGGTCCATGCAACTGATAATATACAGGCCGAGAAATCTATTTCATTGTCGAGCGTTGGCGGGGAGCCGCAATATACTCGATCTCCTCCCGCGTCGGCCCTTGCGACTGTGGCTGGAAAGACACCTCCTGTTTCCAACGGCCCTACCATTCGGATCCCTGGATTCACGAGCGTTCCACCACGGAGCAAATCACCGGACCAGTCCAAGCCTTCGTAGCAGTCAGATGCAGATAGTTTGAGATCACCTCTCTGCATGTTTTTGTAGCTTGGTCATATGTCGTCGTATTCCTCCTTCCTCCGCACTTGATGTCCATATGATCTCCATTATCTGACTTGATTATGCAATCAGTCCTCCGATAATCGTTATCGCACCTGGTTTATCTCGAGCCATAATGTCGGCCAGTCTCCCAGTCATCAATATCGCTCCATACCTGGACTTGGAGAAGTACGATCTCGCGGCAAGGCAGGAGACCTCTCGGGCCTTACATTCTGCCTGCATCGAATTCGGCTTCTTCTACTTGGACATCTCAGATTACGTCGATCCTAGCGTCCCCGAGGAGCTCATAACTCTCGCAAGACAATTCTTCGCGCTGCCGCAGGAAGAGAAGGATGCGTTCTCGCTGAACAATCAAGACGGAGCGCGAGGTGCGTCCCAACTCGGCCTTCGTCTGACCATTTGCACTCAGCAGACTCACAGGGTATCAACGACTGAAAGAGAATGTCACGAATGGCAAAGTCTGTCTTATCACTTCAATGCCGTGCGAAATTCCAACGTTCATCCGAGGCAGATAACCATGAAGGCTTTGACTGGTACAAGCCTGTAGAGAACCCAGATAAGGACAAACCGCTGTGGGGTGAGAATCAGTGGCCCACCGTCCCGAGGGAATTCAAGGAGAAGTACGAGGCATGGATCGACAAGATGACCGCACTCGGGCTGATAGTGCGTTCTCGTGCAATCCGCTTGCAGCGGCAACTGATGCTTAAAACGCAACCAGGTCATGGAAGCGTGGGATGCTAGATCTCCGTGGCTGGGTCACGCACTCAAACTTGAATAGAATGTCGGTTGGACTGGGGATGACTCCAGATGAATGGCAGGAGCTCCGGAAACAGGTGGACGACAGCTTCTGGGTTATGCGCGCAATCGGTCAGATACACTTCGGACCATGCATTCTTCTTGCTGACACACGGAGCAAGGCTACCCCCCTTTGCCCAGCGACGAAGATGGATTCTCATGTGGTGCACACAAGTAAGCTATGCCTCGCAGTGACCGCAGTGCATCGCCTCACATGTGCACCGCTAGAGACTACGGGTGTCTTACGTGCGCTTCCAGTAATGACCGGATTTCTGGGCACTGACTTTCCATGAGGCTCCTGTATGCCGATCCGACCCCTTCAGCTCTTCAAGTGTATCGTAGGAATGGATCCGCGAGGGGAGTCTGGATCAATGCAGATCCGCTTCCTGGTACGAGCTGCTTTTAAACCACCTCGCCGGGTATTTAACTCCCCTCAACAGGCTGCATTGTGTGCAATATTGGGGAAAGTATGTGTTCGTGGTGAACTGTCGCTCTTTGACTCTGACCTGCCATGCAGTGTGGGAAATATGGACGAACGGTCTCTACAAGTCAACGCTGCACCAGGTGGTCCATCGTTCATCCAACTATCGGTAAGCTATTATCCCATCGCGTGATCATAAATATCTTGATGGTCCCAGAATCTCGTGAGTTTTGCCACCATACAAGCAAGGCAGGAATCGCATCTAATCTGAGTAGTATTCCATTCTTCTTCGAACCTAATTTCGACGCATTCGTGAAGCCACTGGAAGCCGTCAAACGAATCCAAGGGAACTCGGGTGAAGGCAAAGTCGAACGCTCACCCGTTATCTATGGTGGGTCATTCATCTCTACCATTGGCTCATAGGGGAGTCATAGCACTCATCGATACGGCTGCCAGGCGATTTTTTGAAATCAAAGGTTGCCAACAACTTCACCGGGGAAAAGGAAAGTATGATTGAGAATCTACCTGAGGCTTATTGGTCCAGTGTCCGTAACATCATACTGTGAATTATCTAGACGAGACGCTTATCGATTATCAATCAGTAGAAAATGATAATTAGGTAAGAATTATCTGTACTTACTGGATCATCGTAAATGAGTTTGACTCGTTTGCTTTCTTCCTTCAAGTGGAGAGATCATCTGACATCTTCACGATTTCTTTTCCGTCCCCGTCCCCGAATCATGGATTTCCAAACTAGCGTCTCCAAGTTGAAGTCTCCTCTGAAGGATCTTGTGCTGGCCTTCTCCAAAAACGGAACGGTTCATGTCGGAAAGCAGGAGGCAGATTCGCGCGCCGTGATCGACTGGATCGCGCAGATTGAGAAGGGCACATCGGTCAACGAGCCTGGGCTCAAGGTGCATTTCTTCTGCTGACTGTACAGACGCGTATCTGAAGGAGATCGTAAACAGGCTTTGAACGCTGAGCTAGTGCCGAAGACTTACCTCGTGAACAACTATCTGACCGCTGCCGACGTTGCTCTCTTCGGCGCCCTTCACCCTGTTATTGTGCGTATCGCATTCTCTAACCTTGTCCTCATCCCTAATCCTCCCGGCCTCAGTCAACATCACAACCGGACCAATACTTCGCTCATCCCAGTGTGACGCGCTATTTCGACCACATCCAGTCGCTGACCGTCGTACGCGAGGCTGCAGACGCGTTTTCTCCTGCGTTTGCTGCGGTCGCATTCGATTTCACTAAGGCTCCTGTCGTTGAAAGGACAGCCGAGGCACCCAAGAAGAAGGAGAAGAAGGCACCCGCGGCGGCTCAGGAACCTGCAGCCAGCACATCCGCAGCACCGCCTGCGGTCTCTGGTGCGTCAGGAGCGGAGACTGCCGCCCCTGCGAAGGAGAAGAAAGAGAAGAAAGAGAAAGAGAAGAAGAAAGATGCTGGTCCTGACGCTGGAGGCAAGAAGAAGGGCGCTGCTCCATCAAAGGCCGTTGCTGCAGAAGAGGCTGGTGAACCTGTTCCCTCGATGATCGACCTCCGTGTTGGTCACATCGTCGACAGTGAGTGTCCGCATAGTTGTTCATCGTATGCTGATAAGTGCAGTCATGAAACACCCGGATGCTGACGGTCTTTACGTCGAGGTACTATGCTGCTGAGTTCCTTGAACGTTATTAGCTGAAAAATTCCAGCAAATTGATATCGGCGAAGAGACTGGCCCACGGACAGTAGTCTCTGGCCTCGTGAACTATATCCCCATCGAACAGATGCGGGACAAATATCTCGTTGCTGTCGTGGGTTCCCCATCCTTATGTGTTCTTTCCCTTCTTAATTCATTCCCCAGTGCAATCTCAAGCCGGCAAGCATGCGCGGAGTAAAAAGTTTTGCGATGGTGCTTTGTGTCAGTCCCAAATTTGCAACATATCTATTCCTGTGTCTGATCACGTTTGAAGGCGACCTCAAAGGACGGGAAAGAGGGCGGCATCGAATTAATCCAGCCCCCTGCTGGTGCGAAGCCAGGCGATCGAGTCTACTTTGAAGGGGCTGAATTTGAAGGTCAGGCGTCATCTGATGTTTCAAGCTAAGCCAAGTAGCTCATCCCGATATCAGCTGCCACTCCTCTCAGCCAGCTGAACCCAAAGAAAAAGATATTTGAGACAATCCAGCCCGGTCAGTGAAGTAGGGCATTGCAAGGATACATACTAACTCAATTGTCCAGGATTTATCACATTGGACTCTAAGGAGGCGGCTTGGATCAATCCCGCGACAAAAAGCGTCCACAAGATTCGAACGAAGGATGGCGTCTGTGTGGCGCCCACTCTGATCGGTGCCTCCTTGTCGTAGACCAGTATATTGTGAATATGATAGACTCTTGCATACGCCAGCGACCCCGACACTCCACGTGTCCCGACTACTTCTTCTTCACACTTTTGATCGCCCTCGTCTCGTTGCCGATGAAGATACCCTACGACACAATGAACGTGAAACTCGACAATTGAAGCGATTACCTGAACGTACCTTGCCCTTGTATGGCTCTGGTTTTCGGTAGCTCTGCACTTTAGCGCAGAACTGACCGAGCTGATGCTTGTTCGTGCAGAATAAAGTAATCTTTGTTGGTGTTGGGACCTCAGCTTTGATATGCGGAGGAACGGGGATGTAGACGGAATGTGAATATCCGAGCTTCATGGCTATCCTCTTTCCATTCCCCCCGTCCGACGTTCCCCTTGGGTCCTCCTCCATTGCTGCACGATAACCCACACCAACAAGATAGAGAGGCATGAAGAACCCTTCCGTCATGCCAGTTATAGCGTTCGATATGTGTGTTCGAGTCGTTCCCCACATTCTTCGCTGTTGCTGTATCTCAGCGTCCTCAACGGTAACGAGCATCATTTTGGGGTCGGTGACATCGATCTTGACGAAGGGAAACAAAGGTAATGTGGTTTTCCCTAGGGGACCCTCGACCGAAATAGACGTAGGTGTGGTGGCGAGTGTAATGGATTCTGGGACGGGAATAGGTTTGGAGCCTATGTGGGAGACATGAACATGAGCGCGGGAAGCCACATTCAGGCGCAGAGTCGGTATAGAACGGCGCGCCACGCTACGACAAAAGTTCATGAGGTGCTGGTATAAAAGTCGGCAGTCACGAAGACGATCACGTGCGGCGTTCTGTCACAAAATGAATCCGCATCGAGGGCATGTTGCTGCATGACCGACGCGCCCATTCGTAAGCAGATGGCCAATGCCAAGATCGTAGGCTCATAAATGAGGTCACTGCCTCTGAGGGTACCAGACCCACCGAAGAAAGCCCGTGGTCGATCGTGTTCTAGACCATTTTGAAACCGACTGAGGTTCGAGCTAGTGGAGGCACTGCCACACGGAGGCAATCACGATCATTGCAGGTGACGTCACTCTGTGCGTTGTGCCTTGAGAGACCCTCTGCACTCCACCGTGTCTGCGCGCTATCTACACTAGTGTCTGATTCTTCTCTGTGATGGAATTGACCTCGTTTCTGCTGGCGTCATAAGTCGGCAGTGACCTCAACGTGGAGTGCGCAGGGATGCCACTATAAAAGAGGAATGAGATATCGCCAAGGGTCTACATCATTACGAGCTTTGCACACGAGTCCTCCTCACGAATTCATCCTAAATCCCTCCTCAAGAGACCATGGCCGGATACCACCCCCTCCTGTTCACTCTCATCGCTCTCGTCGCCATGGCTGAGCTGGGCCTGTCCGCCTACTGGGTTCATATCGTCCAGCATCAAGTCTCTAGCCGGTTCAAGTCTCTGTAAGTGAGAAGAATCTGCGGGCCGAATTCGTCTCATCCCATTGGTAGTGTGATCCTCCTCTTGTTTAACAGCTGCTGGACGACTCTCTTTGCCGGCGCATATGTTTTCTTCATTCTCGACGGTAAGCACTGATGTGGCTTATTTTCTCGCGTATATTCAGTGCTTCCTCAGGTGCGCTGCATGAGCTCGCATCCATCGGCTCGTCGTCAATCTGGCTTGCCATCACCGCCATCCTTTGGGGTGTCGCAGCCGGCCTATTCCACCCTGTTCGCGGGGGAGGCAGCTGCAACGGTGAAGCCGTCTTGTCGTTGTATGTCGCCTCTTTTGGCAGCATGGGCACGTATTCAATTGTCATTTCTACAGTTGTCGTCAAACGCTTGCCCTGGAGGCCATTGCCTGGACCGAGATGGGCCTCTGCATCTTGACGATTCTTGCTGCCTGCTTCTGGGCTCGCTCGTCCCGTCGCAGCTACGTCAGTGTTGCATTTTGCCTCAATCCATTACTCTTCACTAAATCGTCCTCAGCGCGGAAGTTATTACGTCTGAACAAGACGATCTCATTTACCCGGTGCTTATCTGCTTTGCACTACTCACGTATTCACGATCTATCACCTCCGAACTTAGTATCTCGCAGCATTATACCTCACTTGTAATAACTGAAGCTGCAGAATAATGATTTGTTTATTGGTTTTATTCATTGAGAAGCTCGGCTGAGAACAAAAGATAATGGTGACTGTGACGGGCGCGATCATTGTCACGCTCCGCCGTTCAAGCTGTCACACGGACCGCCATTGTTCTTTTGCTTCCTTTGTCCCGTTTTCAGTACAATGGACCTCCCTCCCGCAGTAGATGACGGGATGGCTATAAAAGAGAGGCCCATTGTTTTGTACCAATCACCTTCTCTTTCTTTACTTCAACGAAGTCCCGAGCCTGCGGCTCCATTCACGTTCTCTTACGACTCTTACTGCCTTTCCGCGCTCTGCTGTATCGAATAGCCTCTCACAAGCATCCAATCCATCTGTATTCATCATGCTCCCTCCTCGCGCATGTGAATGTTCCGATCTCTGTGCTACAACGTACGACTGACCGAGCTACCAGACACTTTCATCGGCTTGAACGGTCTTCGCGTTCTAAGCATCGTTGGGCTCATCCTCGTCTTTGCGAGGTGCGCGTGTTCGTTCTGCGCGCATATCATCTCTCAATTTTCTGCAGCAACGTCGTCACGCTATCTCACGACATTCAAGCCGTCAACCACTTCCAAAGTGGCAAAGCCTCGCCAAGCTCTGCAGCGAATGCCACTATCGTCGGCACAACTTCGACCGATTACATCCCGTGAGCAGCCTAGCCAATCTGTGTAAGATCCATGAGGCTGATACCCCACAGTAACAGCACGGTCGCTGATCAACCTCTCGGCGTCTTCTGGGCTGTTCTCAACCGCCTGTTGCTTATCTTCCAAGTCGTCATCCTTCTTTTGTCCGAGATTGGCTGGCCTGCGGTCTTCTTCAACCGCTTTTTCCCCATCCTCGGGGAAGATTTCGGCCTAGGCGCACTCGGAATCATTCAATGCCTAGTGGGATCAGCGATCCTCTCTCATCATGTGGACGACTTCAGTCTCGTGGCGGCGTTTTTCCTCTTCGCGATCGGTTGCCTGAACATGCTCGTCGGCCTGATTTTCCGCCAGTCTGCCAAGTCTAAGCGTTCCATTACGTCCTGGCGCGAACATGCCAAGAATGCGCTGCCTACGCACGTCGCGGGCGTTGACATCCGCCCCGTCGCGGCTGCTGCTCCGCATGTCGTGAACATGTTCACCGGCAGCAGCGAGAAGTCTGCCAAACAGGACGCCCAGTCCGGTCAGGGCTTTGGAATCAAGGGAGAGCGGGCTGCTGGTCTCAAAGGTGCGCTCCTTCCTGTTCTTGATATCCGCACGCTCATATCCAGCGCTAGGATTCCTCATCTCACGGCCGTTAGAATCTCTGCCCCGTTACGCATCGACTCGTCCTGGTGCCTCGACCTGATCATATGTAATAGTGTCTTGCAAATTTTGATAATCCAGCCAAAACTGTTGTTTCTTGTCGGCGATCGTCGGAGTCCCATATTTCGCAGATCGGAGATAGTCGGCGACATAGTACAAACTCCAGGTGAAGAACCATCCAATTTCAATTCTACATCATCAACAGTGCGACAGTCGAGACAGCGCTCAAACCAATGACCGCGTAGCCAGTTTGATATACACCCTTGACGGTCATGACTAGACAACTGTGAGCAGGAGAAAGGGGGGTGAAAGCTCGTGACGCACACTTCCCAGCGTCCCAGAGCAAGTGACGGACGCCGTTCAAGCTGTGGAAAGCGAATGGAGCGGCAAGGATGGCCTTCGCGCTATATTTGACGGCATCCGGCAATCCAGTAACGAATTCGATGAGATGAGCGCTGTCAAATGTGCCAGGAGCGACGAGATAGGCGAGAGAGAATCCGTAAAGCACTGCGACAGGACGTTCACGTTGGCGAAGAGCGGGAATATGGTTTACGCACGAGTGCTGATGCCGGCTCCGGTGACACGGTTGACGATAGAGGGAATCCATGTCAACTGGGGCTGGTAGATGGTGAAGTGGGGGCTGGAGGGTCGCAGCAGGCGTTGCTTATTGAGGATATCGGTCGCAGCCGAGGGAGGAAGAGATTCTGTTTGCACGGCCCTGCATTGAGGTGCATGAGACTCGACGTTTGATTGTGGACCGGACATGGCTCTACGAACCGTTTCGCGATAGTCGACCGAATCAAGGTCTGGTTACGAGCTGTCCATATTGTGAGAATAGGGGTCAAGAGGTCGAGATGGTACCTACCGAAACTTGAGGAGAGGGCGCTTTTGCGCAGCGACGAGCCCAGTCCCAAAGCGCGAGTGGACATCATAGTTGTGAGGAGGAATACGGGGATCCGGCGGACGCTCGGATCATTTTGGAATCACATGCTCTCACGTGAGCGCTCAGGGTACTGGCTGCTCTAAAAGTTTCACTTAGCTTTCCGTCGCAACGCAGCGAGTGATCTGAGAGGCTCAAAACACTGGATCTGATGACAAGTATTCCATATTACTTGAAAGATATCTTTGGCGAGTGGCGGCGTCGGTCATTCAATCCACCGGCGCATGATAGGTGTCTACGCGCAAATTCGGATTGAAATTCCCTCCTTTCGGGGTCAATAGTTCCCGTCCGGAGAGCTATCCGTTGCAACTGAGCCTATGCCCGGGATCTTGGGTCGCACGGGCATCTTCTGTTGTCTGGGAACGAATTCCCGTACTCTCGAAACACGTGCTCCGATTTCATATCCGGACAGCCGCGCAAGATTTTGAGCCCAGGGTGCGATAAGAGTCTATGTCGTATTGAGGTCAGGTATCCAAAAACGGTATACAGAAATGCAGTGGTATGTAATGCGATGAAAATGAATATGCTATGCGTCGGACTTCGTTTTTTATTTCACTTCTTCATACTTGCAGAAAATCCTCCGTCTCATACAGAGGCAGATATGCGTTGACATGGATGAGTGCCAGGCGCGCAATGTGTTCTGCGAGGGAGCCGATCTCCTCCTCCAGGGCCTCCATGCCCG